CCTCGTGTCCTCGGCATCTTTCCCTGATCGCATCTTCATTCGCGCGCCCGTGATTGCCTGCTTCATGACGTTTCTGCATTGCTTCTGTGCCTAGCGAGAGGGAGCCAGAGAGAGAGAGAAGGAAAGGAGTCGTACGGATTCTGGAGCAGCAGCGATCGGCCGGTCCCATGGCTCTCTCTACTGCTTCGCGAACGCCTCGGCCAGCCACGCAGCCTCGCGTGCCATCTCCTCTGCCGAGCGCGCCGGGCGCTCCTCGTCGGCATCGACCTTGAGGCGTCGGCGCTCACCGCCGCCATCGCCTTCGCTCTTGCTGCTGCTGCTGCTGCGGCCGCCCTCTCGTGCGGCGCGTGCCTGTGCCGCAAAGAGGCCGAGGCCGAAGCGCTCGAGATGCTCGTAGATCTGTCCCAAGCGAGTGAGAGCAGAGCGTCAGCAGCACGTGCGTGTGTGGGGTCTCTGTGCAGAGACGAGTGCCTCTCACCTCGTCGTTGGGCGTAAAGTCGCCCTGTGCCGCGGTGCAGGTGCGCGCGCCCCCGTCAGTAAGAGTGCGCCCCGCCTTGACCCAGCTCGTCTTTGACTGCGGGCGTCGGTACGGCTACCACACTCACGCTTCTCCTCGGCAGCACATGGACATGCAGATGAGGCACTGATTGGCCCTGTGGTTGCCAGCGAATGGGCAAGTGTCAGCAGACGTAGACTCGGTGCGAGGTCCGAGCAAGAGCAAGAAAGAAAGAAAGCAGTAATGCGCACCGCCTCGGGTCCGTCCTGCACCGAAAGCGTCAAGCTAGTGCCTCCGTAGCGCTGCTTGACGACGTCGGCCACCTCATGCACTGTCTGCCAGAAGGCAGGCCGCACTGAAGCGGGCAAGTCGGCGAGCCGAGCGCACGGCGTGGCGGGAATGACAAGCACGTCTGGATGGGTTCACCAGGCTCGGGGTTCAGCCCATCGAGCGCGGGCAAGTGGCAGGCGCCGAGCGGGGCCCACACTCACGTCCCGGCACAATGGGCTTGAGATTGACAATCGCCGCCACGGCCGGCCGGCGCAGAAACGCCTGGCGCGTGACATCAAAGTCGGCGAAGCGCAGGGCGCCGCTGCTGCTGCTGCTGCTGCTGCTGCTGCTGCTGCTGCTGCTGCTGCTGCTCATGCTGCGTGCGAGGCTGACGAGGCGACGCGCCATGTGGCGCACGCTGGGCTGGTGATGCTGCAACTCCGTGCGCTCCTGGCCTTGAGGTGCCTACACGACAGGGCTGCGTGTGGGCGCTCTGGAGGGATGGTGGTGGCGGGTGACAGACGCTTGACGTGGCGCGTGGCGCGCGCGTGCACCCGCTGCGTCCTCGCCGCGCCCCAGCACGCAGAGCCCACTCCACTCCCAGGAGCACGCCCGTCGTGGGCCTTTAGCGTTTCTGTCTGCGCCTCCACATGTCTTGCGCTGGCAGGCGCTGGACCAGAACGCCGCTCGCGTCTGCGCACAGCACACGCCTCACAGCTTGCTTGTCCTCCGCAGCGCCACTGGTCAGGAGCAGCTGCCGTGGCACCTTTTGCGCCTCACTCTCGCCTCGCGCAGCGCCGACGTGCGCAGGCTCGTCCAGAGCGCGCGAGGACACCGTCGAGGTGCGGCTCTGCACTACGCGCCACCGCTCCTCATAGACTCGCCAGACGAGAGTTGGGTCAATCGTATCTCTTGCACCTCTCCCCCAAGCAAGCGCAGACAGGGACACAGCGCAACGAGACGGGGCACCGCCTCTCCCGATCTATGTGCGCGTGCCTCGCTCTCTCCTCCAGCGAGCCGCCCTTTTACGCGCCGTCCGAGGCGACACGGCTCATGTCGAAGGCGTCGGTGAGGTAGCGCTTCACCTCTGCCTCGTGTGCCTTCTTGGAGCCCGTGGCGACGGAGGCTGGACAAGGCGGGAGCAGTCAGCATGGGGCCCGCTGCAGGCACGCGCAGCGCTTCCAGCCAAACACTCACCGTACGGTGGTCGGCCGGCAAAGATGGCCAGCGTGTCCTTGTGGTGCTCCGTGTGGCGGCATGCGGTGCGCAGACGCGGCTGCACGTACGACCATGCGCCACTGCGAGAGGGAACAAGAGGTGAGCGGCTGCGCCAGGCGAGCGAAGCCCCTCCTCCACGTGGGCTCACCCGTTCAGCGGCTCCTCCTGGCAGTACACGAGGTCGGCGTTCTTGTACTTGTCAAGGTGCGGCGTGATCATGTCGTACGGGAAGGGGCTGATCTGCTCGAGACGCGAAATGGCCACGTCGCGGATGTTGTTCTCGCGCCGCCAGTTGAGGAGCGCAAAGTAGGCTGATGCAGCGTGGTCAGCGAGGAGCGGCGGGCGAGGCGGCTGCCAGGTGGACTCACTCTGACCGCACGTGATGATGTGGCGCTTGATCTCGTCGGGTCTGCGGGCGAGCCACGTGTGAGCAAGCATGTTCTGGCGCCAACACAGCCCTGTCCCACGCACGCAACAAGGCCGTCCTTCTCCGAGGTGCTCTCAAGGTGCTGCTCGGGCAGGTAGCGCTGGAAGCCCGTGCCGGGAAGCATGTCGGCCAGCTTGGAGCGCGCCTCGGGGTGGCGCAGCAGCGACTTGGAGAAGAAGCTGATCAGCGGCTTGCGGAAGTCGCGGTGCACCTGGCGGCGCAGCATGTGGAAGACGTTGGCGGGCGTCGTGCAGCTAGGGAGAGCAGCGAGTCAGCATCAGGGCAGAAAGGCGCGCGCGCTCAACACCACGCACTAGACGATGGCCATGTTGCAGTCCTGGTGCTGGCGGTTCATCTTCTCGGGGCTGGGGAAGATGAAGGGGTGGTCGTCGCACAGCTGCAGGAAGCGCTCCGGGCGGCCCGACGAGTGCTCGGGGCCCTGGCCGTCGTAGCCGTGCGGCAGGTTCATGACGAGGCCGCTGCGCTGCAGCCACTTGCGCTCGCCCGACGCGATGAACTGGTCGATGATGCACTGCGCGTTGTTGGCAAAGTCGCCGAACTGCGCCTCCCACATCGTCAGGTTCTTGGGGTCGACAATGCTGAAGCCGAGCTCGAAGCCGAGCGTGCCGAACTCGGACAGCGACGAGTTGCAGATCACAAACGGCGCCTGGTCCTCGCTCAGGTGCTTCAGCGGCACGTGGATCGACTCGTTCTTCTGGTCGTGCAGCACGGCGTGGCGCTGCGAAAAGGTGCCGCGCTCCACGTCCTGGCCCGACACGCGCACGTAGTAGCCCTCCATGGCAAGCGCGCCGAACGCGAGCGCCTCGGCCGTCGACATGTCGATGCCCTCGCCCTCGTCGATCGTCTTGGCGCGGTTCTTGAGAATGCGCGCCAGGTTGCGGTGCACGTTGAAGTCCTCGGGGTACGAGGCGACGGCGTGGCCAATGTGCTCGAGGCGCTCCTTCTCGACGCCCGTGTCCTTGTGGTCGAGAATCTGCTCGGCCAGCTCCTTGGGCGTCGGGAAGCCGTCCCACGCCGACGAGAGCCACTCGCGCTCGCCGACCTGGTAGTCCTTGCTCTTCTCGGCCGCCTCCTCGAGCATGCCCCACACCCACTTCTTGTGCTCGTCAATGTCCTTCTGCGTGAAGCTGCCCTCGTCGACAAGCTGGCGCGCGTACTGCGTCAGCGTCGTCTCCTGCTTGGCAATCGCCTCGTACATGCGCGGCTGCGTGAAGCTCGGCTGGTCCGTCTCGTTGTGGCCGTGGCGGCGGTAGCAGACGAGGTCGATGACGACGTCCTTCTTGTACTTGGCGCGCCAGTCGGCCGCCATCTGGCACACAAACGTCACCGCCTCGACGTCGTCGCCGTTGACGTGGAAGATGGGCGCGTCGATGCTCTTGGCAATGTCCGACGGGTACGGCGTCGAGCGCGCAAAGCGCGGGTCCGTCGTGAAGCCGATCTGGTTGTTGACGACGATGTGGATCGTGCCGCCGGTGGCGTAGTTGGGCAGGTTGTACATGCCCATCGTCTCGTACACGACGCCCTGGCCGGCAAAGGCGGCGTCGCCGTGCATGAGCAGCGCCATGCTCGTCGTGTGCTCCTTGTCGTTGGCAAAGTCCTGCAGCGCGCGCGTCTTGCCGAGCACGACAGGGTCCTCGGCCTCGAGATGCGACGGGTTCGCCACGAGCGACAGCGCCACCTTCTTGCCCGAGGGCGTCGGGCGCACGTAGTTGGCGCCCAGGTGGTACTTGACGTCGCCGCCGCCCTCGCCGTCGTCCGTCTTGCCGGCGAACTGGTGCAGGATGCCCTCGATGGGGCGGCGGATCACGTTGGCCAGCACGTTGAGGCGGCCGCGGTGCGGCATGCCCATCGTGATCGACTCGACGCCGTGCTCGACGGTGCGGTCGATCATCGACTTGACACCGGGGATGAGCGACTCGCCGCCCTCGAGGCCGAAGCGCTTCTCGTTGGGGTACTTGGAGCTGATGAAGCGCTCGAAGCTGTCCGACCAGATCAGGCGGTCGAGGATGGTGCGCTTCTCCTCGATGCTGTACTTGAACGGCTGCGGCGTCTCGATGCGCTCGCGCAGCCAGTCGCACTTCTCGCGGTCGGGAATGTGCACGTACTGGATGCCAATGGAGCCGCCTGGAGGGAGCGGAATGAGCGACGCGCTGCACGGCTCACACATGCTGCACTCACAGTAGATGCGCTTCACGGCGTCGATGACCTCGCGGATCGTCATCTTGCTCTTGCCCGCGGCGACAAAGTTGGGCAGCAGGCCGGGGCCGAGCTGCATCTCGCGGTCGAGGTCCTTCTCCGTCCAGCCGTAGTGCTCGATGGTGAGCTCGGCGGGCACGTCGCCGGAGAGGTCGGGGTGCAGGATGCCGAGCGGGTCGAGCACGGCGATGCGGTGGCCGCGCACCTGGTAGGCGCGCACAAGCAGCTGCAGCTGGAGGAGCAGAGGGGGGTCAGACGCCACCGGCGCCCGCAGGAGCGCGCGCGCTGCCTCACCTTGAGGTGGTCGTTGACGGCCGAGCCGCCCTCGTACGACGACGTGTCGATGGGCGGCGCATCGATGGGCAGCGGCATGAGCGTCGGTGGCGGGCGGAAGGCATTCTCGCTGCTGAGGCCGGCCTGCATGCCGCTGAAGTACGTGGCCCACGAGCCGTGCACGCTGCTCGGGTCCTGCTGCCACATGCGGCGCATCTCGTCGACGTAGTAGGCGTTGGTGGGCGTGATGAAGCTGTCGTTGGGCGAGGGCGCGTTGGGGCGCTGGGGCGCGGCGGCGGCGGCGCGCGTGGGCAGGCCCGAGTGGAGCGCGCGCGAGGCCAGGCGCGCCATGGACGGCGGCGGCGGCACGGCGCTGCGCACGAGGCGGCGCGGGAGGGCGCGCAGCATGCTGGGCAGGGTGCAGAGGAGAGGGAGCGGGAGAGGGTGGGGAAGAGAGGTGCGCAGCCGGTGGAGTTGCGCGGGCGGGGCGTGGCCACGGCGCTGCGCCCTGCACAGCAGAGAGAGGTCGCGACTGCCAGCACCGCACGCCGCCGGATGCCGCGGCGCAGCTCCTCTCTGTCTGCAAGGCATGGCGCGCGCCAGCCAGCCGCTGCACCCTGCCACGCCTCGCCTCGCCGCACAGCCAGCGCACGCTCCGGCTCCGCTCGTTGAGCCGCCGGCATGCGGGGAGAGAGGGCAGCAGCAGGCGAAGCGCACCTTCGGCCGCCTCGTGCTGACGCTGCAGCTCTCGCGACTCCGCCGCGCCGCCGTGCTCGGCCCTCTGCTCCGTTGCCTCAGCGCCAGACACGCCTCGGTCCGGTCCTGGCCGACGTGCAGCGCGCGCCTCGTCCAGCACCACGGCTCCCGTCTCCCTCTTTGCCTGCTGCCTGCCTGGCGTGCACTCTGACTGCACACTGGCGGCACTCACACACTCGCGCGTGCAGACGCAAGCAGCCCGCCGTGGCGGCGCAGAGGTGACAGACGGCGGTGCGACGCTGCCGTGGCGGGCTCGGGCGTGGTGCTGGTGCTGCTCCCGCACCTGCTCCCTCCCCCACACGCTGCACGCCGGCCATCAGGCCTCGCTCGCCCGCATGCACGTCCGCTTGGCCCGCCGTGGGGCAGCGGCCTTGTCGGGCCACGCCAGATGCAGCGCAGCGCAGCATCGCTGCCACTTGCACGACGCGCTTGCTGAGCAGGCGGCCGAGCCATGCTAGCAAGAGCCGAAGCTCAACGGTCCGCCCTCTTCCTGGCGCCGCCTCTCTGGTGCGCCGTGCACGCTGGCCCACTGGCGACGCTGCTGCCTGAGAGCTGTGCTGTGCCGACGATCGACGCTCGCGCTGGAGCGGCGGCGTCCAGCGCGACACCCACGAGGCGGATGATGAGCTCTGTGAGCCGCTGGATGCTGCGCCTCGAGCCGCTGGCATGGGCCATGGCACGAAGGAGGCCTTCTTGCTTCGCTCGGCGCGGTCCGGGGCCTCCGCGCAAGCCACACGCTCGGCGCTGGCGCGGCGAGTCAGGGTCTCGCGGCGGCGGCGCCGTGCCAGCGGGCGGCGCTGCACGGCCGAGCAACGCCGCCGCCGCGCTCTCCTGCCGGCGCGCTCGGGCCACCCGGGCGAGCGCTGGCTGTGCCTTGTGACTTCGAGCCGCTCTCCGTCTTGCGCCTCATCCTCCATCGCCTCGACAGCACTCCATCTCCGCGCCCAACGCCAGACGTGCGCCTCGCGGCCGCTGCGCGCAGCACGTCTCCGGCGCTGTTGCATGCGCTGAGCCACAGCAGCCCCGCCCCTGCCTGCCCGCCATGGATCGCGATCTCTACACGCTCGTCCCCCTGCCGCTCCTCGCCGATGCCACGCTCAGCGTGCGCATTGCCTCGCTGCAAGGGCGCCTGCCGACGCTCTCGCGCGCCCAGCGCATCGATGCGCCGCGCCAGCGTCTCGCCGGCGTGCATGCGGCACAGGCGGCGGGCGAGGCGTGCGCCGATGTGTACGTCGAGGCGCGCCTGTATGCCGACAATCGCCCGCTCTGCCAGCCGGTGCGCACGCGCTATCGACACTTTCGCAGCACGTTTCAGTGCGTGGCATTCCTGAGTCTCTCGCATGGCTGTCGCGCTCGCTGATCAGCATGGAGGGCAGGTTCAATGAGACGCTGCACTTCCCCGTGCCCCTCGCGTCGCTGCCCCTCGGCGCACAGATTGGCTTCTCGGTGTGGGACGCGGCAGCGCCCGAGACGAGCGATGGACGTGGACATGCGCGGCGCTGCATCGGCGGGACCACGTTGCGGCTCTTTGGCAAGAAGGGGTGAGTTGCCTCGCCTCGCCCGCTGGCTCTCCACAAGCTGGACACGGCGACTGACGCAACGCGCTTGGCGGGCTGCAGCACATTGAAGCGCGCATCGCATCGCCTCTATGTATGGTCAGAGACGCCGGCGGACGGCAGTGCAGAGAGCACCACGCCGTCGAAGATGCGTGGCTTGCAGGCCAAGGCGGACGTGCCAGACAGCGGCCCTTCTGCACGCTCTGGCGCCGCAGCGGGCGGCAGCTTCGACGAGATGGGCCGGCTGGAGAAGGTGAGTGAGACAGCGCAGCAGCGTTGGGCGCTCCGAAGCGCGATGACGCTGACTCCGCCGCCCCCACAGCTGATCAAGGCTCACGACTCTGCGCTTCTGCCGCGCCTCTCATGGCTCGACAAGCTCACGTATCGGCAGATTGAGCGCATCAATGCCGAGCAGGCCGCCAACTCGGATGCTTTGTGGTTATACGTCGACTTGCCACGCTGGGAGGCGCCCGTTGTGTGGTGTGAGACGGAGGGAGCGACGGGACAAGCCGGGCAAGAGGCCGGCACTGCGACTTCTTCAGCGCCCTCGGCCGGCCCACAGCCCGTATCTGCAGGCGCACAAGGAGTGGCGCAGGCACCTGTCATTGACGCCGCGCTGTTTACGGTCTTTGATCCCGAGGTCGAAGTGGGCCTGGGCAGTCGAGCGGCACTGGAGAATCTCAGCGAGGCAAAAAGCAGACGCTTGGCTCGAAGTCATCGCAACGGCCCGCTCGATCGAGAACTCAAGCCGAACGCTGGCGTACGCGACGAGCTCAACGTGAGTTGGCCTCGCATCTCTCTCCCGCACTTGGTCTCGGCAGCTGACCCATGTTGCCTTGCTTGCCCCCCCCCTTCCTCGCAGGAGATCCTCTCGTACCCGCCCACGCGCACACTGACGTCACGCGAGGCAGATCTGCTCTGGACGTTCCGCTTCTATCTCTCGCGCTTCGCCTCGGGCTTGACCAAGTTTCTCAAGTCCGTCTCGTGGAACGACCCCGGCGAGGCAAAGCAAGCCACCGATGTGCTGCTGCCCATGTGGGCGCGCATCGGCATGGACGACGCGCTGGAACTGCTGGGTCCTGGCTTCCGAGACTCACGAGTACGCGCGTATGCTGTGCAGCAGCTTGAGAGGGCAGATGATGATGTGGGTGTGACGACTGACGCTGAATGAAGCTGCCGCCTGACTCACAATCCGTCGGCAGGAACTTATCCTTTACCTGCTGCAACTGGTCCAGGCGCTCAAGTTTGACGACACGACGGTGTCTGGCGGCTCCTCTGGCCCCTCGCCAGCATCATCGAGTGCACAACAGCAGCCCGATCGCCGCATCGCGCCCACAGCTCGACTGGCCGAGGCAGCGCCCAGCTCTTCGCCCTCCGCGTCGCTCTCCACCTCCGAGGGCTCGCTGTGGACGTTCCTCGTGCGCCGCGCTCTGCAGAGCTCGGATCCCGTACTGGCGAACAATCTCTATTGGTACCTCACCGTGGAGACGGAGGACAAGCGCTGGGGCAAGTTCTTCAAGACGATCAAGGCGCGCTTTCTGGAGCAGATGCTCGAGGTGAGCTAGCTCTGCCGCTCCTCGGCCGCAGATGGGTTGCTGACATTCCTCGCAGGCACCCAAAGGAGCAGAGCTTCGCGAGCTCTTCCGGCGGCAAAGCGAGCTGCTTTCCCAGCTCTCGGCGCGCGCCCAAGCCCTGCGCTCCTCCAAAGACTCACGGCCCAAGAAGATCGACAAGCTGCGCGCGGCCATTGCGGATCCGCGCCACGGGCTGCGCAAGTTCTCGCCCGTGCTGCCGCTGCCTCTCGATGCGCGCGTGCGCGTAGAGGGCATCGCGCCGGAGGCTAGCACCGTGTTCAAGAGCAATCTCTTTCCTTTGCTCCTGCAGTTCGAACGCAGCAGCACCAGCGGCGCCCCTTCCAGTTCGACCAGCGCTGCTGCTGCTGCCGAGGCACCTCCTCCAGCGCGTACTGAGGCAGGCAGCAGCGACGCCGACGCGGCACCGCAACGGCCGCCGCCGTACGGCGTCATCTTCAAGAACGGTGACGATCTGCGCCAGGACCAGCTGGTGATGCAGCTCTTCACGCTCATGGATCGCCTGCTGCGCAACGAGAACCTCGACTTGCGCATGACGCCGTACCGCGTGCTTGCGACGGGCCCAGTCGATGGCATGGTGCAGTTCGTCGAAAGCAAGAGCATAGCTGCCATCGTCGCACAGCACGGAGGCAGCCTGCTCAACTATCTGCGAGCTCACCATCCGGATGAGAGCAGTCCGGCCACGTATGGCGTCGCGCCGGTGGTGCTGGACACGTTTGTCAGGTCGTGCGGTGAGTCAGCGTCCTCCACCCCCCTCTCCCTTGCAGCCCTCGAGCGCTGGCTGAACGCAGGCTGGCGCGCGTGCAGCTGGATACTGTGTCGTGACGTACCTCCTCGGCGTCGGCGACCGGCATCTGGACAATCTGCTGCTCGCGCCCGACGGGCACTTTTTCCACGGTGCGTGATGGCGCTGCTGGCCTTGCCGTCTTGGCACTGACGCTGAGCCGCGCTGCAGTCGACTTTGGCTACATCCTAGGCCGCGACCCCAAGCCCTTCCCGCCGGCGCTCAAGCTCAGCCGCGAGATGGTCGAGGCCATGGGCGGCGCGCAGTCGCCGCACTACGCGCGCTTCAAGAGCCTCTGCTACACGGCCTACACGAGTCTGCGCAAGAACTCCAACCTCATCCTCAACCTCGTGGCACTCATGGTCGACGCCAACATTCCCGACATTCGCATCGAGCCGGACAAGGCCGTGCTCAAGGTGAGCCCCTGCTGTGCCCTCTCCAGGCAGAGAGAGATGCTGTGCGAGAGATGCTGATGTTCATCTTCGCCTCTCCGTCCGCGCCAGGTGCAAGACAAGTTTCGCCTCGATCTCGGCGAGGAGGAGGCGATCCAGTACTTCGAGGGCCTGCTCAACGAGACGTCGTACGTCACGCTCGTCTTTGACCGCCTGCACGACGCGGCGCAGTTCTTCCGCTCATGACGATGCAGTACTGTGTCCCCATTGCGGCGCGTGAAGAATCTAGAGAAGGGCCTGCTGAGGGCAGAGGTGAGAAGAGGAGCGATGCCTACATGCCGCCGTTGGCCAAGTAGACGACCTCTTCGTACTAAGAAGGGCAGCAGCGCGACGCAAGTCAGCAGCTGCGCAGCGCTCCGCGGGGGGCACAGCAATTTCCCACTCACACACAGGAACGTCACGCCACCCCCGACGATGAGGCGACACAGTCTCGGCGTGGCGCCGCGCCAGAGCGCACGTGTGCCTTCGGTGCGCATGATGTGGCGCGCCAGCGACCAGACGCCGGGCAGCGGCGCGGCGCCGGGCGTGCGTTCTTGCATGCGCGTCTTGACGACGCTGAGCGGGGCGCGGGCGGAGGAGAGGGGTCAGTGAATCGGCCTGAAGAAGGGGCAAGGGAGGCGGACGCACTCGAGTGGTTGAGTAGCGCCTATGCAGGGGTGATGACCGCGTCAGCTTCGAACAATGCCGAAGCACAGCACATCGGCAATCGTCGACCAGACTCACAGACAGTAATGAGGCCCGCCACTGCGCCCAGTGCAAACGTGATGCCGCCGGGCAGTGCCTGTCCCGGTCTCGTGCTCCCTTGCACGAAGTTCTTCATGCTGGAATAGCTGCCAAAGCGCACGGCGCCATGCAGGCCCTGCCGCAGAATCGTCGGCAGCACGCCGGCGTACACGCCGCGCAGGCCGTGCTGCATCAGGGCGGAGTAGGAGAGGCCAGACGCCAGACGCCGAGTCTTGAGTGTCTCGGCCGGCACGGAGACGAGCAGGGCCTCGAGGAGGCCGGCGGACATGCCGGCGAACAGAGCACGGCCGCCCGTGGTGACGCCCTGTGCAAAGCAGTGAGGGTGTGGCGCTGCTTCAGTCGCCGAGTTCACCCGCGCCATGCGTGGATGTTTGCACAGGCCAAGGCACCCACCTCGTCGTTGCGCAGAGAGGCACAGATACGATCGTATGCGATGAAGCGCACGCAGGTCTGGGTTGCGAGGGCAGCAAGGGCAGTGATGTCAGTCCATGCAGCCGCCGAGACTTCGCTACAACGAGGGGCCCTTGTGCTCGGGCCAGCCAGCGTGCGCGATGCTGTCCACGCGGCCCGTGCCTCTCGACTTGCGCAGCTGCGCACTTTGCCTTGCCCTGCGCCTGCCGCTTTGCGTGCGCCCATGCCCCTCGTACATTGGCCGCCACTCACCTTTGCCGCGCCTCCGCCCAGCACGGCGGCGCCGCCGACGTAGGCGCCGCGCACGCCGTTCCTGCTGGCCTGCGCCAGGTGGCGCCACGGGCCGGCGTCGGCATGCTGCAGCTGCGCGCGCGTCTTGCCGAGCTCCAGCGGCACGCCGACGACGACGCCCTCGGCCAGCGCGGCGAGGGCGCCGGCGAGGAGCGAGAGCGGCAGGGCGTCGCGCCGCAGATGCGGCGGCGGCGGAGGCGAGCGCGAGGCCGAGGCCGAGGCGGAGGCGGAGGCCATTGCTGAGGCCGGCGTGTGGGCGCAGAGAGAGAGGCGTGCGTGTATGAGGGCAGCAGGGAGAGAAGAGTGCGTCAAGAGGGTGCGGGTGTGGTAGAGGAGAAGCAGGGGCCGCTCGCGGGCCGCGTGCGCGCCAGGGACCAGGCCTGAGCGTGAGAGCCCGGCGCGCCGCGCACGGGCGCGACGATGACATCACACTCCCCCGCGCGCCCCGCCGCGAGAAGGGCGACGCGACACTCGGCTGTAGACTCGCGACTCTTCGCTTGCTCGCTGCCGTGCTCCTCTCCCGCTCTTTCCATGCGCGTGCCTCGTCTCAGCAATAGCATGCGCATTCGTCTTTTGTAGTGCGTGTCTCTGCATCCGAGCCCTCCGCGCCATGTCGAGTCTGCCGGCGCGGCGAGCTGTCTACCAGTCGGTCCCCGTCACCTTGCTCGCCACGTCCTTGGCCTTCTCCATCAGCGGCTGCAGCTTGCCCGCGTAGCCAAAGCCGTCTGAGGAGAAGAAGAGAGGGACGATGTGTTAGCCCCAAAGCTTGCGCCCATCCGTAGCCATCGGCCCCCTTGCGCTGCGCCACTCACCCAGCCACGGCGTCGTTGCGCTGCGCTTCTTCTCGAAGCTCTTGATGGCCGCCTCGTGCTCCATCGTCAGGCTAATGTCGTCGAGGCCGTTGATGAGGCAATGCCGCACAAACTCGGGCGTCTCGAAGGCATACTCGGTGCCGTCGGCGAGCACAATCTGCTGGCGCTGCAGGTCCACCGCCACCTCCTTGCCCGCCTTGGCATCCTCGCTGATGCGCACAATCTGCGCCGCCGGCAGCGTCACGGGCAGCTGGCCGTTCTTGGTGAGATTGTTGCGGAAAATGTCGCCGAAGCTCTCGGCAATGACGGCGCGAATGCCAAAGTCGAGCAGGCTCCACGCCGCGTGCTCGCGGCTCGAGCCACAGCCAAAGTTGGGCCCGGTGACAACGAGAATCTTGGCCTGCGTGTAGGGCTCCTTGTTGAGCACGAAGCTCGGGTCCGCCTCGCCCGTCTTTGCATCGTAGCGCAGCGGCCAGAAGAGCGCGGAGCCGAGGCCGGTGCGCTTGATCGTCTTGAGGAACTGCTTGGGAATGATCAGGTCCGTGTCGACGTTGGAGCGCTCCAGCGGCGCAGCGATGCCCTTGAGCACGGTGAATGCCTGCACGCCGGAACCGACGGTGGCGATCTGCGACTCGGGCACGTCGCGAATCACATCCTCGTCGGTGGCGATGGCCGGCGTGATGGGCGCAGGCGGGGGAAGCGTCTTGTCGGTGAGGTACGACTTGGGGTCGGAGATCTGCACGGCAAAGTCGGGCTGGGCGGCTTCGTGCCCCACCTTGGCGCCCGAGGTGAGCTGGCGCACGTCGGTGAGGAATCCGGTCACCGCGGCCGCGGCAGCCATGGCCGGCGACATGAGATGCGTGCGGCCGCCGGCGCCCTGCCGGCCCTCGAAGTTGCGGTTCGACGTCGAGGCACAGCGCTCGCCGGGCGAGAGCTGGTCCGGATTCATGCCGAGACACATGCTGCATCCTGCCTCGCGCCAGTCGAAGCCTGCCGCCTGGAAGATCTTGTCGAGGCCTTCTGCCTCGGCCTGCTTCTTGACGAGGCCGGAGCCGGGCACCAGCATGGCATAGATGCCCTGCGCCACCTTGCGGCCGTGCAGGATGCGCGCAGCCTCGCGCAGGTCCTCGATGCGCGAGTTGGTGCAGGAGCCAATGAAGACCTTGTCGACCTTGACCTTCTCCATCGGCGTGCCGGCCTCGAGGCCCATGTACTCGAGTGCGCGCGTCCATGCCAGAGCCTGCGCCTCGTCCTTGGCCTGCTTCGGGTCAGGCGCGTTGCCCGTGATGGGCACGACATCCTGAGGCGACGTGCCCCAAGTCACGGTGGGGGCAATGTCGGCGGCCTTGACCTGCACGTCGACGTCGTAGTGCGCGCCCTCGTCGGACGGCAGTGTGCGCCAGTACTTCTCTGCCGCCTCCCACTCTGCGCCGGCCTTGGGCGCCAGCGGACGGCCCTTGATGTACTCGTAGGTGATGTCGTCGGGCGCGATGAGGCCGGCACGCGCGCCGGCCTCGATGCTCATGTTGCAGATCGACATGCGCGCCTCCATGCTGAGCGCGCGGATCGTCGAGCCGCAGAACTCAATCACGCACCCGGTGCCGCCGGCCGTGCCGATGATGCCGATCACATGCAGGATGATGTCCTTGCTCGTCACGCCCGGCGCCAGCTCGCCCTCGACCTGCACGCGCATGTTGCGCGCCTTTTTCTGCAGAATCGTCTGCGTGGCCAGCACATGCTCGACCTCGGACGTGCCGATGCCAAACGCCAGCGCGCCAAAGGCGCCGTGCGTCGAGGTGTGCGAGTCGCCGCAGACAATCGTGGCGCCGGGCAGCGTGAAGCCCTGCTCGGGGCCGATGATGTGCACGATGCCCTGGCGCGAGTCGCTGAGCCCGAAGAACGTGAGGCCGAACTCCTTGACGTTGTCCTCGAGCGTGAGACACTGCGTGCGCGAGTCGGCCTGCTCGACGAAGGACTTGGTGTCCTTGTACGCCTTGCGCGACACGGTCGGGATGTTGTGGTCCACCGTGGCGAGCGTGCAGTCGGGCCGCCGCACCTTGCGCCCGGCGTTGCGCAGGCCCTCGAAGGCTGTGCGAGGCTGTGAGCAGCTGGTGGGGCAGGAGAGGCGGAGCGCGGCAACGCACCCTGCGGCGAGGTGACCTCGTGCACGAGCTGTGGCGGGCGCGGTCAGCATGCCGGCCGCCGGCGCAGTGTGGCCAGTGGAGCGCAGCTCACATGGCGGTCAATGTAGAGGATGGCGGTGCCGTCGTCGTGCTCGTGCGCCAGATGGGCGTCGTAGCACTTGTCGTAGATGGTGCGCGGCGCTGAGGAGGCGACCATGCTGGGCGATGGGTGGGGGGTGGTGGTGCGAACGCACGGCGGCGAGGGGGCGCTGCCTAGGTGGCATGCCGGCGGCGCGCGTGGGGCAAGCTCCAGGCACCGGAGTGGCGCGCGGCCCGTCGGCCGATGAGCGCCGCGCGCCTCGGCCTTTGTCGGCGCGCCGGCCGAGGCGCACGGCGGCCAGCGAGCGGCGGCGCATTGCCAACCTGAACGCCGCCTCCTTCGCACCCCTGACGCTGAGCGTGCTGCGCTGATGGTGCGCTGACTCGAGTGCCGCGACGGGCATTGCAAGAAGGAGTTGCACGCGGAATTCGAAGTGGCATGCGTCAGGCGGGCCTCTCGGCTGCGCTGCCCGATAGAGGTGAGCGAGTCGCGGGCAAGGGCAGGCGCATAGGCAAGGCGTGCTGCTCCCACGCATGCCTCGCCTCGCCGCCCGCCTCCAAGTGTCGCCTAGGCTGGGCGAGAAGCAAGTCAGGAGCCGCATCACATTATCACCCACTCCCATGCCCCCCTCAGATCGATCGTGCCTGCTCTCAGCCACTGCTGCTGCCAAGTCTCGCGCCCACAATCACCCCAAAGCTGCACACGATGAGCGCGCCGGCGCCGAGGGAGAGCGCCGAGACTGTTGCATGGGCCCGAGGTCGACAAAGGAGGGGAGCGGTGGAGGGGAGCGTCAGCATCGCCTCTGCGCTCTGCGCTCTATAGGGGCCCGGAGGAAGCAGGCGCAGAAGCAAGAGTGCGCTGGACAAGGCGTCATGAAAGCCCTGGAGAGCGTAGCTCGTGGAAACTGGAGCTGTCACGCGCGAGTTCGCTGCAGCGTGAAGAGAAGCTAGAGAAGCTCGTGGCCGCCGATACGTCTGAGGAGAACAGCGATCGCCTCTCGCTTCGAGATCGTCGAGCGTCGCAGCCACGCCGAGCCTCGCAGCAGCATCGTTCCGCCGCCCGCCCTCCGGGCTTCTGCCCTCCTCCTCTCTCGCACGTGCAACAACTCACCCTCAATCCGACTCGGCTCAAACCTCCCTCTCACGAGCGCACGTTGCACCACAAAGTACCTGCGCGCGCCAAAGAGCAGACAGAGGCCGCCCAGGAGGATGCAGAGCGCTCCGATTGGCTTGCCCCTGCCCCCGCGAGCGTGTTAGTCAGAAAGCAAAGGCAGAGGATGGGGACTTTTGGAGCGAAACGCACAAATTGATGCCCGCTCTGCGTGCGCCATCATCGTCGGCGAGCCTGCGCATGAAGCGCAGCAGTGCGACCTCGCCGCCCTCCGAGCCATCATGACCGTCATCGTCGGCAGAGCGGCTGCGAACGAGATCGGGAATCTGGAAGAGCTGCGCCACGCCTATCCCCAGGGAGACGAGGGAGAGAGAGGTGCGTAGATAGGCTAGACTGGTGAGAAGTGAGGAGGGGGGTCAGGAAGGAGGAGAAGAGGGGAGACAGACGACATGCCCTTGGCTCGAGAGGCAGAAACAGCGAAAACTATGTCTGGACATTCAAGGGCAGACATGGTCGGCTTTGAAAGCTGCCCAGGCCGCCATGCAGTGGTGAGCAGGCCCTCTCCCGTCCCGAGCGTTCGACGACGGACTGCGGCTCTGCCACTCCACACCACGGCCGCGCGTGGACGACGCTCCGCTGCGCTCTTCGAATGCTCAGTGCTCTCTGCCTTGCACCCTTGTGCTCTTTCGGCCGTTCTCCTCGCCTCGATGCGGCCCGCGCTCTGGTCGCCTAGCCTCCTTCTTCCGCCCTCCGACCACTGCTGGTCCGTTGCATGCCTCTGCCAGGCCCGCGCTTCCACTGCCCGTGGCGCTGCTCTTGCGTCTCGCTCATCGCGCGCGCTGCACGTCTTGGATGCGCCACTACTCACTACGTGCGCTCGCTGGCCAGATGATCGCGTGCCACCGAGCCGGTGTTCTCGAGCGCCAGAGAGAGGTGCGGCATCGTCGTGTGCGTGTCTCGCTCTGCCGCGCCTTGCCGCTGGCTCGCCGGTGTCTGGACTGCGGGCGGGACGGTGGTGGTGGTGCTGAAGAGAGGCACGGAGAAGCAGCCGCGCATCTTGACGGCGCCGCTCTGACTTGAGGCTGAGTCTGAGTAGAGTGCGGTGGAGGGAAAGGAGGATGGCGCCATGCGCACGGCCCGATGGCGTAGGCTCGAGCGTGGGAGCAGCACCGTCGCGGGAGTCGGGACATGCACGCCTCCTTCGCCTCGCCCAATGTGGTGCGCGCCTCGCCTCTTGCCCGCTCTCCACATCCGCCCACAGCATGGCCGCCGCCTCGTCGCCGCCGCGCTGCCGCTGCGCCGCGCGCGCACAGCTCAAGACGCGCGGCGCGCCGCAGTGTGCCGCGTGCGCCGCGACGCAGCTGGAGCAGCGCGTCAGGAAGGCGGCGCAGCTCGCACTGGGCGCCGTGCTGTGGCGCCGATTCGCTGCGCGCCGCAGCGACGACGCAGGGCAGAGCAAGCAGGAGGAGGAGCAAGGCGGTGTAGTGGCGGTGGTGTCTTCAGGACAAGAGGGCAGGTGAGTGGCAGCGCACCCGCCATGCTCCGAGGCGTGCCAGGGCTGATTGAACACGACGCACCACAGAGCACTGCTGCATCTCCTCGCCTCCTCCTTCCTCCCAGCGCCAGCCATCGCCACCTCTCGCGCGCCGCAGCTGAAGCACATTACGGTGCTGTGCCTCCTTGATGCGCGTGCGGGCGAGGAGGAGATGCAGCGGCAGAGGGAGTGCATGCAGTCGGCGCTGGAGCAAGAGGCGGATGCCAGGTTGCGCCTGCAGTGGCTCGTCGTGGGCGAGCCAGGGAGCGTGAGGTGTGAAGCGAGAGGCGAGCGTGAGTGCAAAGCGTCGAGGCGAGGTGGGGTGGAGATGAGACGCTGACGAGAGCGCGATGCGATGTGGATCAGACATCTATCTCTCCCGCCCCTCCTCTTCCGCCTCCAGCCTCGCCTCTTCTTCCTCTTGCCGCCTTCAGACAGCGCCCTCGATGACGCGTCATCAATCCCTGCACTCAACTCTCGCTTACGCCTCGATTCTTCGGCGAGCACACCAACTGCACGCCTCGGTGCTGCTGCTGCCGAGTTGTGCCGACTGTCTGGCCGCGCACTTTCTCGATGCTCTGGTGGAGGGAAATGGCTTTAGTGCGGGCATGAGAGGCGGCGATGGTTGGATTGACGGTGCGTGCCTCTCTTCTTCTTTGCCCCCCTTCTCTCTCTCTATGCTCACACTTCACGTCCTCCTGTCTTCCTGCGCGCTTCAGATCTACTCATCCTACGTCCCCTGCGCGAAACGAGCGCAAAAGAGCTGGCATTCTATCTGCACGCCAAGCGGCTGTCGTACGTGACGCAGAGAGAAGCGACGATGGGAACGCCAAGCAAGGCTTTCAAGGGCACGATGCGCGGAATGACGGAACGTGAGTGACCCTTCCACCCGCCCCCCCCCCCCTCTCAGCTCCTCCTGGGCCCCGCTGGGCGACTCTTGGCGCTCTCTGTCCTCTCGCTTCTGGCGCGCGCCTCGCGATCGGGGCAAGGCGAGTGGCAAGGGTCCGCGACCTGGCTCGAAGCGCAGCGGTCGCTTAGCTGACGCTGATTGTGCCGCGCTCTCTTCGTTGTGTCTGCAGAGCTAGTGCGGACATTGCAGCTCGCCGCTCCCTCCACTCCTGCCACTGTCATCCGTACAGCTTCCAAGCTGCACTTCGCGGGGCATGCTGCGCCTATTCCTGCCACTGCGCCTCTCCATGGCAATGCGCCGCATGTCGTCGAGGCCGCACCTGAGGGCGCGAGACTCGACGAGGCCGCACACCACCACCACCACGCCGCCCAGGCCAACTGCGCCGCTCAGCACGCCGTCGGCAAGACGCAGACGCAAGTGGACTCGCTGGAGAGGCTGGCGGAACAAGCGACGCTCAAACAGGGAGCTGCAGCGCAGCGCTTTGTGCTTGCGGCGCTCTCGTTGCCCGTCTGGAACACCTCCAGCCGTACAGAGGCGGCGCAGTGCGTGCTTTGTCTGCTTCCCGCCCCTCCTGCTTCTCCGACGGGCGTGCCTCGTACGCCACAGCGAGCCCCCAGCACGGACGCAGCAAGCAACGACGCACTCGAGCAAGGCAAGGCGATGGACATCTCAACGATGCTCTGTCCAGCCTGCCTGCGCATTCTCGAGACGCCTCAAGTGCAGACGCGCAACGAAGCCGTCGAGACGCTCCTGCTGCCGGAGTACGTGCTTCGCGCTGCACAGGCACGGCCGGCGCGGCCGAGAGAGGGAGGGCCGGACGCATTGGAAGGCTTTGGGGGAATGCGACTGGAGGAAGAGGACGGGTACGAGAGGGGGAGAATGGGGGTGATGGAGAGGGAGGAGATGCGCGCAAAAGTGGAGGAGTATCTGCTGGAATAGCATGCACGTCATTTGCATCTCGCTGCTCGCTGCGAGAGGAGAGAAAGGGTGGGACCGAGACACATCGAAGTCGAGACGCGAGCGCGGGAGAGAGGGAGGCAAGCCAAGCCCCGATCTGCACGACGTCGGCGCATATTTTTCGTCCGGTCTTCCGTCTCGGCCGGCGTGCATCTTCCTCGTGTCCCCCTCACCCGAGCGAACCCCCAAAAGCAACATCGGGTATCTATTTTTAGCTCTTGCTCTGCTGCGGCGTGGCTGCCGGAGGGACGGTAGGGACGGTAGGCGCCAAATGCCGTGCAAGCGTGCGGCAAGAGTTCTGTGGCGTGGCGCAAGGGAGGCGCCGCTCGACTTGACGCACTATAGCGTCAAGCTAGGGCCTACATGCAGGTGTTCTTCCTTCTCCAGTCTCTCCTCTGGCTCTTCTTCGTCGTCCGTCAGCTCTTCCTCCTGCTTGATGCCTTCATGCCTGTTGTGGCACACACCGCACGTCAGCATTCGCGCCCACGAACACTGGCTGATGACGGGCGGGAAAGAAGAAGAGAAAGGAGGGGGTTTGGGGAAGAGGGGGGGGGGGAGGGCAACTCACCGGCCACCCATTCCCAGCCGCTTGGGCCAGTGCCATCCATCGCCGTACGGCTCGATTCTTCGCAACGAAAGCACGCTCCACCAAGAGTGCCGCATGTCTTGGCCTGCATTGAAGAAGACGCGCAGATTCGTCGTGCGGCCCACATCGTAGACATTGACGAACGCCTGGCTCACGAGGACGGGCATCGTCAGTTGCGCAGCGCAACGTCCCCCTCGAGGAGTGAGGAGGGCACGGGGACGCATAGACATACCGCTCGTCCTCTCCTCTTGGCCAGCTCGCGATAATGCGAATTGTCATTCGCCTCGACGCTCGTCTCGCCTTTGGCGATCAACAACAGCTGCCAGGCGGCCATGATGGCAAGTGCGAAGCCCATGATGGCGCACAAGACGAATGTCAGGAGAGGCAGGAATCGAGGCACGTATGGTTGGTCCCACTGCGAAGCGTTACGAGTAAAGGGGGAGGAGGGAGGGGGCGGGGGCGTCAGTGTGCGCTTGCGCTGGGCACTAGCTTGACGTTGCCCCTTCGCCTTCCTCCTCTCTCCCTCTCACTTCGCAGGGGAGACAGCGGAGTGACTCACCGGCGTCGAAAGCGCAAAACTTCTCTTCAACAGCGGATAGCTCGTGCATACCACGACGCCCATTCCAAAGGCAAGCCAGAGCATGAAGAGGACGAAGTGTCGCTCGTTGCCCAGTCCGACGCAGGCATTCAGCCAGGGACAATGATGGTCCTGCATGTACAGCAGGCGCACGAGAGGGAGGAGCGAGGATGGGTCAGATGGATCGCTGCGCCACGGCTGAACGAGGCGTGCCTTGCTGCCCCTCTCGTCTCTCAAATTTTGCGCTCATGGGCTGCGCCACTCCTCTTTCATGCGCCTGCGTAACCCCGTCCGTCTCTCTGCCTCCTGGACAGATCTCCAGTACGGCCTCTTCGATGAGGACCACATTGGCCCGCCTCTGCTCTGCCGCCAATCCCCGCCCTCTGCACCTTCTCTTTTCACTCGTCATGCCCCCCCCCCCCCCCCAGCTTCCCGGCTTGCTCCAAGTCCGCGCAACTCACGTATTTCAGCGCACAAGTGCCGCAGGTCCTGCAATGATGCGCGCGCTCCGGCTTTGGCGGCGGCACCAGCTTGTACGCTTCCTCTCCCAACGCCTCTCTGATTTCGTCTGCCGTGTCGCCCCGCACTTGCTCCGGCAGATCCTGCTGCTGCTGCTGTTGCAGGCGAGCGGAGGAGGCGGGCGAAGAGGCGGCGAGCGAGGAGGGCGCGGAGGAGGCAGAGCGCAGAGTACGCCGCACGTCCAGCTCGATGGCTCGCAGCTGAGGAGGCAAGGCGGCCAGAGCCTGCCAGAGCATGACGGGCGGGCATTTCATGCACATCTTGCTCGTCGGCCACAGATCGTCGCCCTCGATGGCGTCGTCCAGACGATGCTGCTCCGCGTGCAGGAGCGGCTGCGCTGCGCTGGCGCTGGCGGCGGGGGAGAAGGCGGCACTGGCGCGAGCCGCGTCGCGCCGTTTGCGAAGCCACCAGGCATCCGAGCCGGGGCCGAGGCGACGCTCGTGTCGCGCCTCGCTGAGGCCCGTGAGGACAGAGCCGGGCACCTCGCGGATGGCGTGCAGGTAGTGCACGGCAATGCTGGTGATGATGTATGCGCACGCCGTGCTGGCGCCGAGGCATCGCAGCAGCGCCAGCGGCTCGGCAAGCACCACGCCGGGCAGGCCGAGGAGGATGTGCAGGCTGCTGCGCGTGCGCAGCAGGCGCGTGAGGGCGTGCGGCAGCGGCGCGACGCCCGGCAGGACGCCGACGAAGAAGGTCCATGCGCCGAGCGCGACGAGGGCGGCGCAGAGGGCGACGAAGACGGGGCCCGCGGCGCCGATGCTCCACTCGGCACACGCCTCGACGCGCCGGAAGGAGCGGTGCACGCAGCGGGCGAGCGAGGACATTTCGGCGCGGCGCGCGTGGCGCGTGGAGGAGGCGAGCGGGGTGGTGGTGGGAGGCAAGGAGGCAAGCGACGCGGGCGTGGCACGTGCAGCGCCGAGTGGAGGGGCGAAGGCAGCAAGAGTCGCGCGACTGGCAGGCAAAGCTTCCAGTTCGCGTCTTCCAGCCTGCTTCTGCTCCATCATCTCCCTCCTCGCTGCGGCCGGCACGATGCGGCGCACCCTCGCCCGTCTCTCCGCGCGCATCGCGCCCGATGCTCCCAGCGCTGCCTCCAGCAGCACGCCGTCCTTCGCCCGCCCCGACACGCCCGCCACGCGTCCGCCGCGCGCACAGTACGGCCAGGCCCTGCCGCACTCCCATCCCCATCTCTTCCCTCGCACCCTGCCCTTTCCCGCGCCCCCTCCTCTCTCCCTCTCCCTCTCAGGCGCCTCTGCGCCTGCACAGGCAGACGTGGCGCACGAGCAGCTCACGCCCGGCATCCCCGCGGCCGAGTATGCCGAGCGCAGAAGCAGGCTCATGCAGAGCTTGCCCGAGGGCAGTGCTGTGCTCGTCATGGCCGCACGCATCAAGTGCATGAGCGGCAACATCAAGTGCGTGTCTGCAGCGCAGCGCCTGGCCCCATCTCTCTCTCTCTCTCTCTCTCCTCTTGCGCTCCGACAGCTGACGCAGCGTGGTGCGGTGGGAGCAGCTACCGCTTCCGGCAAGACTCCAACTTCTGGGTGCGTGCTTCTTCTCCTGCCACGTCTCGTGCCCATTCGCTCATTGTCTCTCGCTGCGCCAGTACCTCACCGGCTGGCAAGAGCCCGATGCCGCGCTGCTCCTCGAGTCCGCGCCCTCGTCGGCCAAGGGCTACAAGATGACCATGTTCGTCTCGCCGCGCGACTCGGTCTCCGAGCTCTGGAATGGCCCGAGGAATGGCATTGATGGCGCGATGGATGTGTTTGGCGCCGACCAGGTGTGTTTGCGCCTTCCCTCCCTCCCCTCCCGCGCCGTGCGTGGGCAAGTGGCTGACGATGCCCTACTGCTGCTGGCAGGCATTCGCCATGGATCCCGTCGCACTGCAAGCGTACCTCAAGACGCTCCTCTCCTCCACTTCACACTTCTATCTCGACTTGCCTTCCTCTCCCTCCTTTCCCCGCCGCAGTCGCTCCTCCTCCTCCTCTTCCACCTCTTCGGGCAATCTCCTGACCTACCTCACTCCCTCTGCCTCCTCGCTCGACGTCTTCAGCAAAAAGTCCGACTTTGATGCCCTCGTCAAGCTGCTGAATGACAGCAAGCGCACACGAGCACTGGCGCCCTTTGTGGAGAAGTTGAGGTTGGTAAAGAGCAGGCATGAACTGGGCGTGATGAGGAAGGCAGGCGCGATTGGAAGCAAGGGCATGAGAGAGGTGATGCGCTTTGCCGAGGTGGGCAGGAGCGAGGGACAGGTGCAGGTGAGTACAAGTTCTGCGGCCGAAAAGAGGGCAAGGTGGCGGTGGAAGACAATGCGTTGGCGACGGCGATGGCAACGCGCGGTTGGACATTGGGTGCAGCGCGTGATTGGAGTGACGCGCAAGCGGGCAGTCGGAGGGCGCTTGGAGTGACGCGCAAGCGGGCAGTCGGAGGGCGCTTGGAGTGACGCGCAAGCGGGCAGTCGGAGGGCGCTTCTTTTTCTCCCTCAAGACACAGATGGCAGACAGGCGGACCCGAGCGTGGTGGCGTGTGGGAGGGATAGGGAGGAGAGGCTGGCGCAGAGTCAAGCATCACAGCTCCAGTCGAGCCTTCAAGCATTACAGCTGCATTTGAGGCCTCAAGGACGTCGACTGATCTCTCTCCCTCACTCACTAGGCAACATTCGAGCACCTCACCTCTCTCCACGGCGCCCAACGACCGGCGTATGTTCCCGTCGTCGCCTCCGGACTCAACGCTCTGACGATCCACTACATCGCCAACGAGTCGCTACTGCATGCCAACGATCTCGTGTGCATCGACGCCGGGCCCGAGGTCGACGGCTACGTCTCGGACATCACTCGAGTCTTTCCCGTCTCTTCGCGCTTCTCGAGCGCACAGAAGGACCTCTACAGTGCGGTGCTGCGCGTGCTGAAGCAATGCACCAGCCTCGCCACGGCGCAAAACGGATACACGCAGGGCGAGCTGCATCGCCGCAGCGTCGAGCTGCTGCGCGTCGAGCTCGAGAGGCTGGGCTTCAATCTGCGCTCCGGCATGCTGGAGCGTCTCTATCCGCACTCGCTCTCGCACTGGCTCGGCATCGACTTGCACGACACGCCAACTATCGAGCGCGGCACTCGGCTGCAAGAAGGCCACGTCCTGACCATCGAGCCTGCGGTATACGTGCCGCAGGGAGACGATGCGTTCCCAAAGGCCTTTTGGGGCATGGGCATTCGCATTGAAGATGACGTGGCGGTGGGGTATGACAGCAACGTCGTCCTGTCGGCCGAAGCACCGAGAGAGGTGGAGGATGTGGAGGCTGCGTGCGCAGGGTGGGAAGAGGGAGTGGAGATTGTGAAGAGGGAGGTGAGCGAGCAAATGAGAAGGACGCAATAGATGCCCCCCTTTGAAGCCATGCAGCGAGTGCACTGCTTGTGAGTTGGGCGCCGGCGAGAGCCCGTGGAGGGGCGAGGACGCAGTGTTGTATCGCAGCTGTGGCTTTTCTTTGCAAGCGAAGCGACTGTTGACTGTAGCGAGCAACCCCCCGGCGCTCACAATGAGAGGTCTGCTAGACCCGCGAGCTCGCCTGAGAGAGAGGCGTGGAACCCTTCGTCTCGACTTGAAACGCCCCATGGCTCGGACCGAGACTCTAGAAAAAGCGACACGTCCGTGCAAGCTATACCGAAGCACGGAGCATGCAGCAGCATGCCTGCACTGTGTACGTCGCCGAGTGCCTCTTTCGAGTCCGAGGACGTCAGTCGGAGCGGCGATCAAGCTTCCCATGCACCCTCGCCGGTCGCTTGCGGTGTGCTGATCGGCTTTCTCTCTTTCTCTCCACCCTCGCGAGTCTTGCTGCACGGGCCGATCAGCTGGCCCAGCCGGGAGAGCATGCATGCGTCTCTGGCATCTGCCTCACCGCTCCGGTCGCCTGACATACCTGCATCACGGGCAACCTGCCCATCTCTTACGAGACTCGTTGTCCCGGCTCGCCACGAGCAGCTGGAGGGCAGCGGCAGCGTCCACGCGCGGCTCGGAGAGCGTCGGAAGCGCGCCGAGGACACGCGCCCGCTTGCTTGCGGCGTGGAGCTGCAGTTCTTGCGGCACCTGCTTCCCAGCCAGCGAGCCCAGAGGCTGCTGTTGCGTGCTCAGCTGCGACTTGCGAGCTGTGTGCTGCATGGGTGTGGCGGGCATCTTGCAGGTGCAGCTTGCAGCTCGCAGCTCGCAGCTTCAGGGCGTTGTCGCGACCTCGAGCCGGCGCTGACTCTGAAGCATGACTGTGGACGCCGAACGGATCCGCGGCGCTTACGCCGGCGCTGCAGCACCCGCTCGAGTCAGCGGCTGAGAGCCCGCGCAGACGACGCTCAGCAAGCATGAAGAGGGCCACCGCTCTCCGCCCTGCCGGATGCACGCCGGGCAAGGGTGCAGCAGGGGCGGAGCTGCAAGTGGCGCAGCGTGCAGCGAAGCTGCCCGAGCGCACGCTGCAGCCTCGTGTGCAGCCTCGGAGCAGAGAAGCGACGGGGCGTGCACAGAGCTCGGCAGTCACAGCAGAGGCGGCGAGAGCGCCATGTCCTGCGCCGCCTCTGCGCTCCGAGCGTACGCAAGAGCGCACAGCAGCCGCAGCGCAAGCGCGAAGCAGCTCGGCAGCGACGTCGGCCAAGAGAACGCGCTCCTACGCGTGCCTTTGACGCGAGTCGCGGCAGCGCGCGCATCGCGGCTCGAGGCCGTGTGGCTCATGGGATGGTGCCTGAGAGGCTCGGACGGGTATACCCCAAGGGGGCAGGAGAGAAGCGGCGCGCGAGGTGAGGTGAGCAGACATGGCATGAATGCCTGCCTGCGTGCTGCTGCGCATGCGGCCGGCCGGCCTTCTCTCTCTGGCCGGCGTCTCGTCAGCGGCCATCACTCTGGCCCTGAGGAGAGATTGCCTGCTCTCGCGCGTGCAAAGTGCCAGGCAGACGCCGCATAGCCGCCGACTCGAGCCGCATGGTCTGATCCGTGCAGGGGGAGTGCGAGGCTTCGTGCGAGAGGCCGGCCGCAGAGAGGTCGTCCGCACGAGAAGGGCGCTTCCGAGTCGGCTGCGACGCTTCCTCTCTGGCCGCGCGCCAATCCCCCTGCGGCGATTCCCGCGCGGCGCGGAGGCCCACGGGGGCTGGCAAAGGAGGGCAAGGCGCGGCGAGAGTGAGTTCAGCGGACGCGGCGGCGGCTCGGTCAGGCACGGCGCGGAGCGGGTCCAGGAGCGTCGGGGCGGGCAGGAGGCCAGTCTCCGCCGCACGCTCGCAGATCCGCCCGCACGCGCGACGCCGCTCGCGGCCTGAGCGCTGCACCTGCGCGCCGGGTGCGGCCTCTCACGCAGCCTCGCGCCTGCCAGCCTCTGAGCTGCAGGCGGCACTGGCAGGTGCAGCAGGGCCGCTCGTCGGGCAGACGCACCCGCGCCGCTTGCCCTTGCTGCTGCAGCTGCTGCTGCGCGGCTGGCCGGCCATGGGGACGCGCGCGGCGGCACGGCCACGGGTCGCGCCGCCATGCGCGATGGGACCGCCGGCCAGCTCGATCTCCCTTCGGCCTATCCGCGCCTCGTCTTCTCCCAGCACCGGCTCCTCCTTCCCACACCTCTCCCTCTCCCTCCTCCGTGCGGCCCGTCTCGCCCGCACGTCTGCGCCCGCTCCGACTTCTCTTGCTCCGGCGGCCCGCTCCCTGGTGCGCGTCACTCGCCATCGCACGCGCCGCTGCCGCCGCCGCGCGCATCTGCCGCTCCTCGCGCCGGCACTCGTCTCGCCGGCCACTGCGCCGCCGCACGCGGGCGCTGCGTGAGTGAGCGTGGGTGGGTGACCGTCTCCGCCTCGGCCTCGGCCTCTGCCGCAGCAGCAGCCGCAGCGACTCGCGCGCCATGTCGCATCCTTCGGCGTCGTCGTCATCGTCGTCGTGGAACATGCCCAGCAGCGGCGGGCCCTCCAACGCAGCCGCGGCCGCCTCGGCCGCCTCGCTGGCGGCCTACTACCCGACGCCGCGCGGCTACGATGCGCAGGTGCCGCATGCCCAGCAGCAGGCCGCTGCCCTGCAGGCGCAGGCGCAGCAGCAGCAACAGCAGCGGGCCATGCATGCGGCTCATGTGCAGCAGGCACAGGCGATGCAGCGCATGCAACAGCAGCAGCAGGGACATGCCGCGGCCGCACCGCAGCTCGCCAGCAGCGCCATGCTGTTGCAACAGCAGCAGCAGACGCAGCAACAGCAGAGCCATGCCGCCTTCGAGGCAGGCGCCAGCTCCTCGCCGCCCTCGTCGCGCAGTCCCTCGCGCGGTGCGGGCGCCAGCACCAACGCCGCGGGCACGAGCACGCCGAACGGCGGCTTCGAGCGGCCGCGTGTGCGCACGGATGGACCGGGCGGACCAGATGTGAAGCAGGGCGCGCGCATTGCGTAAGTTGTCAGGAGTCGAGGTTGCGGCGAGGCCCGGCGTGCTGACGAAGACGTGCACTACGCAGCTGCCTCGATTGTCGCACGGCCAAGGTGCGTAGCCCTGCAGTCGCTGACGAAGGACGTCAGACTGACCCGACGCTCTGCTTCCAGATTCGCTGCTCGGCCCCCACAGACGGCATTGTGCCGTGCAAGCGCTGTGCGCGCCACGACAAGGAGTGCATCTTTGAGAAGCACCGGCGCGGACGCAAGCCTGGGCGATGGTGAGTCGGCCGTGGAGCGCGGCGGCGAACGGATGCTGACGCTCGAGGACATCCAGGAACGGCTCGGGTCCGCCACAACAGCGCGACGACAGCGGCTCGCCGCAGCCCGAAGGCGAGCACGGCGCCGTCTCGTCTGCCGCGCCGCTACAGCCGCCTTCCGCTTCGCTCGCCGCTGCTGCCTCAGCCACAGCCATGGCAGCAGGTCAGTTTGCGCACCACTCCTCGCAGTGGACGCAACCCGCCGCTGCCACGTCGCGGGCGCAGCCAGTCAGCTACCACGCCACGTCGGCGTTCACGCCCGCATCCTCCAACGCGCGCATGCCCAGTCCAGGACGCAACGGCTCGCGTCCGCCGTACGGCAATGCCGGCTCGAGTCCCCAGCTCGGCAGCTCCGGCAGCTTCTCGAGCTACACGGCCCTCATGAATGGTCTGCCGTCGCCCTCGTCGGTGCCTTCCCTCTCCTCGGCCGCCTCTGCTCCTAGCCTGCGCTCCGCGGCATGGCCAGGCCCCATCAGCATGCCTCCGCCGACGCGTCTCAGCAGCGCAGCCACGCTCGAGCATCACACGCCCGGCACGGCACAGGTGCCGCGCTCCTGGCTCGACTTTGCCAGTCCGGGACGCAGTCTGCTGTCGCCCAGCCTAGGCCTCGGTGCATCACCGGGCATGCTCGCGGCGTCGGCGGCGTACGTGGCGCAGCAGACGCAGCAAGCCATCGGCCTGCCTGGCGCACAGTCGCTGCCGCTCACGAGCCAGAGCAACGGCACAGGCCAGTCGTTGGCGCACGCATCGCTGCAGCAGCCTTTCGTGCCAGTGAACCAGCAAGCGGCAAAGCGCAAGGGCGACGAGCCGGCGGCGCAGAAAAAGGAGGACGGCGAGTATGGCAGCGCCGCGAAGCGTGCGCGTCTGGGCGAAGAGGCCGACGAGACGGCTGCAGTGCCGTCGAGCAGTGCATCCGAGGGCACGTCGGACGATGCTGAGGTGGACCAGCTGGACGAGGACGCGCTGGGCGAGGGGCAAGACGAGGACGTCCTGCAGACGCCGCTGCGTCTGCTTGCGCACGCCAGCGAAGGCATGGCAGCCACCAAGGCCGGCGAGCAAAAGGGCAGCACGGGCGCCGCCACGATGGGCCTCGTCTCTCCGCCTGCACGCACACGTTCACGTCCCAGCATGCTCAGCCATCTTGTGGCAGCCGCAGGCGGGCAACATCCGATCCGCACCCTGCCGACGCTGCCCGGCATCGGCACGCTGCGCGCCAGCAGCAACGTGCGGACACTGATGAGTCCGCCCTTTGGCCTGCCTCGTCCCGGCGCCGCAGGTCGTTCGCGTAGCTACACGGCCGGCGAAGGCGCGCAGAGCCAAGCGCGCGTCGATGCGCTCAACCTTGTTGCTGCTGCCGCTGCGGGCGTGGGGCCAGCTACGGCAGCAGCGGTGGCGGACCTGGAACGACCTGCGGCGGCCGCGGCGGAGCTCGAGGCTGGCTCGACGACACCCAGCACTCGCGATGCAGGCGCGTGGGAGTACCGCGGCGGCAAGTCCCGCACACGTGCCAGTGCTCGCGACACGCCTACGTCCAGCAGCGTGGCTGCTCCGCGCGAGGGCAGTGAGGGTCGCAGCGACCCGATCACTGCCGTCGACGACGCAAAGGCCGGCGAGACGGACGCGACGGGCAGCGACAGTCCGCTCTTGACGGCCGCGGCCGCGCGCAATGGCTCCTCAGGCAGTTCGGCCGGCAATGCCGCTCTCAGCGCTCGGCGCAAGAGCATGGCGCGCGCTGCTAGACCGCGCTCGCGCATGACCAATGAGGACGGCTCGGCGAGTCTGCGCATCGATGGCGATGCATCCGTCGGCGCTCATGACGATCAGGAGGCGGGCGCTTCGCATCCGGACTACTGGACCCAGAGTCCGTTTGCTTCCAAGCTTGACGTCGAGCAGGGCGATCCTGTCGAGCTGGGCTTCATCGAGATGTCGGAACTGCGTGACCTGTTCGACATGTGAGTGCGGCCCTGGGGCTCTGTCTGCGCAGCACGCTGATCGCCTACCGCCCGCAGCTTTTTCGCGCGCATCAACCCGCTGCTCAATCTCCTCGATCCATTCCTGCACAGCGTGTCTTACACGCGCAGCCGCTCCGCGTTGCTCACTACCGTCATTGCGGCGTTTGCTGCTCGGCTGAGCGACTCGCCTCGCGACGCCGAGCTGGCCGTGCTCATGGAGCGACACTGGCGCTCGACACTCGTGCCCGAGGTCCTGCTGGGCGGCTACAAGTCCGTCGAGCTGAGTCAAGCCTTCTTGCTGCTCTCGCTCTATGGCAAGCCGACACAGCGGCTCAGCGACGACCGCTCGTGGCAATACCTTGGCTTTGCCTGCCGCATCGCCACCGAAATTGGCATTAACCGCCGCGTGGCGCCTAGCGGCAGCCTGCAGGACTCGGAGCAGCTGCGCCGACGCATTCGCAACCGCTGGCGCACCTGGATGTGCCTCTTCATCAGCGATCGCACGCTCAGTGCGCAAACGGGACGGCCGTTCACTATCAGCGAGGACGACCTGATCGCGGGCGTCGCGACCAACTTCCACCGTGCAGACTGGGCGCTGCCGCAGGACGTCAGTCTGGTGGCGCTCATTCAGCTGCGCAGGCTCATCGCGCAGCACGAGGAGGCGTTCAACACCTTCCTCCACGAGGCGCTCGGCAGTCTCTTGCGGCCTCGCACCGCCGATGCAGATCCTTCGGCACCCGTGGCAGTCTCGATCGCCGGTCTGGAGCTCTACCGCAAGACGGCCAATGCTGATCTCGAGCGCTGGCGCGACAGCTGGTGCATCTCTGCCACCGACGAGGCGCGCGTGCAGAGCCTCGCCATGGCCGACTTTCTCGTGCGCTGGCGTCCTACGGCGATGCTGCACTACGAGCACGCAAGGCTGTACCTCAACTCCATCATTCTGCAGGCGTTTGAGCAGTACAACGCCGGCAGCGGGCCCGCGACGGAGCTGGCGTCGCCCGTGACGCTCGACTGCTGGAGCACGGCGACGCGGCTCATCGACGTGCTGCTGGACGACATCAGTCAGGAGCAGCTCGAGTCCTCGCCCAACCAGACGGCCATCATGGCGACGTGGGCGGCTCTGGCCGCACTGCGCCTCACGAAGCTCGATCCGGCCACGCATCCCTGGGTCGACCGCGACGCCATCGTCTCGCGCGCCAAGCGCCTCGCCATTGCCCTGGCGCGCGCCGGACGCTCCCCTGCGCACCGCAACGGCGCGGCAGGCCCGTACGGCTCGTACCTGCGCACCGTCGTCATGGAGCTCTTTGCGCCCGCGCCGTCTGAGGACGAGGATGTCAAGGCCGAGGACACGCTCGAGACTGAGCCCAAGGCCAGCACGCCTCAGGAGCCGGCGCCACCAGCGCCTGCGCTGCCCGAGAAGAAGCGCAGCTCGGACGACAACCTGCCCACGATCGCCAGCGCAGATGTCCTCGCCGCCAACGCCTTGCCGGCTGTCAACGGCTCGCTCGCGTCGCCCGTCGAGCTCAGCATGGCCGATGCCAGCTCTGCACTCCGTTCATCGTCACTGGCCAATGCGCGGCTCGGCACTGGTCTGCGCCTCGATGCGCTGCCCGTGGCGACAGCAGCAAACAGCATCGTCGAGACCTCGACGCCGCTCGCTGGCTTCTCGTCCGACGTGTGGGCGGCCGCAGGCGGGCCGGATGGCGCAGGCGTCTTTGCTGCCGCCACGAGCGCAGAGCCAGAGAACATCGACCTCGCATTCGACTATCTCACCGCCTTCGAAGGCTCCGGCGGCTTCCCGGGCGGCCTCTGGACGCCGCAGACGACGTGGGGCGGCAACGGCGCCTAGGCGAGGAGGCCTCTCCGCACGCACAGCATCGCACAGTCACCGGACGACCTCTTCCCTCTCCCTTCCTGGTCCCTCCCTAGCACTCGTCCTCTCCCGTTCCCGCCGCGTCATTGAAGCCTCCTCTCTCGCTCGCTCCCCCGTCCTCTCCCCGGAACTCACTCCGCATCGCTCGCGCCGCTCTATTTCTCATATCCCTCGCCCCTCGGCGCCCAGGTCTGCGTCACCTTAGCCTCTATACTCAGACTGCTCGTCGTCTCTCCGCGCGCGCCTTGCGCAGGCGCGTCTCGTTCCCCGCTCCATCGCACGGCCTTGCTCGTTGAGCAGCGCCTCGCGCATACAACGTCACCGGTCCTCTACAATTGCACACATATGGTCTCACGCGCGTGGTCTGACAGGAGAATGGCTTGCACGGAGGCGAAAGACACGCGCGGGGCAGGAGCAAGCATGGAGGCGGAGAGAGACCAGGAGAGGGTGACAGGAGGAGAGGGTCGTTGCCAGCGTCGCTCGCTTGGCTTCGCTCAGTGGTGGTGCGAGTGCCCTGCGTGGGCGTGGGCGTGGTCGTGCGAGTGCGACGCGTGGCCCTTCGTCGCCGCATGGCCAGCAGAGTGGTCGTGCGAATGATCGTGCGAGCCATGCGCGTGGCTGTGCGACGAATGGTCGTGCGAATGCTCATGCGAGGCGTGCGCATGGCGGCCATGCGTGTGGCCCGCTGTCGCTGCATGGCCAGCGTCGTGCGAGTGCGCGTGCGAGGAGTGGTCGTGCGAGTGGGAGTGCGAGGCGTGGTCGTGCGACGAGTGGTCGTGCTTGGCGTGCCCGTGAGAGGAGTGACCGTGCGAGTGGCTGTGCGAGTGATCGTCGTGCGAATGGCCGTGGTCGTGCGAGTCCACGTGGTCGTGCGAGTGGCCATGGTCGTGCGAGTGATCGTGGCCTCCGTGGTCATGGCCTGTGCATCCTCCGCGCTCGTGCACCTTGTGCACCTTTTCGTAGTGCTCCTGCACGCCCTCTCTTCGGCACTCAATCACCAACTCTCCCGCTCTCAGGCTGCCTCGCATCGACTCTCCCGCTCTCAGGCCCGCGCCCGCTCCCAGAGCCGGCGCCGCCAGCTGCCAGGCCCATCTCGTGACGTCGAGGACATCGGCATCGTCGGCATCGGCGCGCAGGAAGATGCGCATCGTCGCTACGAGTGCTGCGGCCTTTGCGGCGCGCGTACCGCCACTGCCTGCAGAGGCGGAACCGCGACGAGAGCCAGAGGCTGGCAGGGAGCCGAGAACGCCGTTGCTGGAGGCGATGATCGCGGACGTAGGCGGCGTGAGCTGCCACAGGTGCGGCGGCGCCACATAGGTGACGAGTGGGTGCTCCTCGATCTGCAATGCGCTTCGATCAGCGTCCCGTCAACGCGCTTCAGGTGTGTGACTGCCACTCACTGTCCGCATCGTGTGCCGCAGCTGCACACTCTGCGTCTGCCACGTCGGCGGTGCGGTCTGCAGGAGCACAAGGCCCAGCGCCTTGCTCGCGGGCCAAGCGACGTAGATCATCGCTGCGCTCTCGAGACCAGCGAGCACCTTGTCAAGCGCAGCGACCTGGAAAGGCGGCATGACGATGCTGGCAAACGTGAGGGCCGCGGTGAAGAAGAGGACGGTGAGGCTGAATGGGTTGGAGAGGAGGTGCAGAAACGGACCGGCAAGCGTCGTGGGGTCGACCAGCACGGAGTTGGATCGACCGTGACCGCGGCGGGGACGGCCGGACTGTGCTTCTGATGCCGCGGTAGAGATGCCACAAGCTGAGGCAAAGGAAGGTGAGCGAGAGTGCCGTGACAAAGTCCGAGTGCACGACTGACCAGCAACAAGCTTGGCATGGTTATGCAGCACGAGACTGCTGAAGACGCCGAAGGCCGTCGCCGCCAGCAGCAGACCAGTAGGCAGCACGAGCCCCGCGTCATCCTCGATGTGCACCTCGTCGCTGCCCTCGAGCAGCGCATGCTCAATGGACTCTTTGAGCACGTAGATCGAGGCAAAGACGAGGTAGATGGACTGCACGAAATGCAGCAGCGTCTCCATGCGCTGTGGTCTGCAGACCAGCACGATGCGTCAGTGGGGTGCTGCGCGGGCCTGCTCGTCTGGCAGAGCAACTCACGCGTACACCTTGCCCTCGCCTGCCGCCGCCTCGCGGTGCCAATCCTTGACCCATCGTCCACCGATCTCGCAGAGCTCGCCCAGCGCATCAAAGACGACAAGGTAGCCGAGGCCGCCAATAGCCAGCGAATCTCCACTCTGTCCCGCCACCCAGAGCGCGGCGCCGAGCGCAAAGTGCGCCGCTGCAAAGAGCATGAGCGGACGATCAGAGCGCGGCAGCGACGAAATGACGCGTCGCTCTTGCTTGGCTGACTTGAAGGCCTGTGCGCCGAGCACGGGAGTGAGGGGCTTGAGAGGCGAGGAGGGAGAGCCTTCGGGCGGGAAGTAGGAGAGCGGATCGACGTGTGGCGAGTGAGGCGAGAGGAGCGAAGGATTGGAGCCATTGAAACCTTGCACGCCAAGACCCTTGCGCGGCGTACTGGGCCCACCTGCCAGGGCAGAAGAGGCGGCGGCAGCGTCGACGTTGCGCGAGTCCATGACGCTGTGACGGCGATGATGGCCGCGTCGGCTGCGGCTGGGACTCAGACCGGCGCCTGTGCTGCCCTCAGTTGGCGTCGGCAGCAGCGAGTCTTCCGAACTCGATGCGCCAGCAGAGACGGGCGCACCGCCGCGGCCAAAGTTGGCCGCTGCCGCAGCGCGGTCTGCCTCGGCCTCTTGCTCCGAGCCAGGCCGCGGGAAGAAGACGCTGAGGTTGCGTGCGTGCACAGTGCTATGCTTGCGGCTGTGCTCGCGCCGCTCGGCCGGCGTCATGGCCGCCAGTGCCGCATCACTGACGCCGTTGGCAGCTCCGCCGGAGGCCAGCGGCGGCAGCGACGAGGTAGAGTCGAACGTGTCGAGATCCTCGTACTCCTCCTCCTCTTGCGCCGCTGCCTCGCTGGGCCCTGCTCCGACGACGTCAGAGAAGCTGCTGCTCAGCGGCGTGGCGGCCTGGATGTGCACGGCGAGCGACGGCAGCTCGCGCGGCTTCATCACGGGCGTCGTGGTGGTGCGCTCTGCGCTACGACGCGGCGAGCCGGTCGAGGCTGCAGGCGCCGAGGCGGGCGGGTCGCGCGCCGGCGGTGCAGGCAGCGGCATCTTGGTGCTGGTGGGGCTGGCGGAGCTCGAGGCCGACGAGCCGGCGTACGAGCTGGGATAGGCGGCGCTGGCAATGCCTGCGATGCTGCTCTTGGCGGCGCGCAGCTCCTCGGGAGTCAGACTGGAGCCAGAGCAGGTGCGTGGACGAGGCACAGGTGCGTCGCCTTGCAGTGTCGAGGGATACGTGGCGCTGGCGAGAAGCACGCTGGAGCGGCGCCGGTGCCCGCGCGCGGCGCGCGGAGAGCCGTCGGGCGAGACGAGGGCGCCGCTGCGGCTGCGTGGACTGTTGCCGGCGCTGCTGCTGCCGCTGCCGTTGCCGTCTGCGGGCGAGGGCGGTGCGAGCGACGAGGTGGTGGAGCTGGAGGTGACGCTGCTGTCGTAGTCGCGCGTGAGGGAGCGCACGGAGCGATGGCGGCGCACGCTGTTGCTGCTGCTGCTCTGCTGAGCGGAGGGTGCTGGAGAGGTGCTTGGCGGCGATGAGGAGAGAGATGCAGCTGCCTCTGCTGGCATCTTTGGGTGCTGCGGTCGATCTCTGAGCTCTCTGCGCGCGGCGCTGGCGACGAGGCCCGAGCTGCTGGAGAAGGGACGTGCGCGCCTCTCTGGCGAGACTGTCGGCGCGCGACGAGATCTCTACAAGCGGGCACGTCTCCTAGCAGCAGCAAGGTGAAGCAGCTGCGGCGAAAGTGATGCGCAGGCTGCGAGTGCAGCGGCGAGGGAGAGAGAAAGTGTGGGGGTCCGAGTGGCCGGGAAGGTCGAGGCAGCAGCTGGAAGGGGTGCCGAGGGCGCCGAGGGCGCGCCTCGAGGCTAGCGCGCCAGGCACGCCGCCCGCACGTGAGGCGCGCCGCGCGCCAGCTGGCCGCCGCAAGCGGACGCGGCGCCGCGCCGCACTCGGCCCGACGCGCTGGCACACCGCAGAGGTCGCCTCGCCTCCGCCCTCGAACGAGCCCCGAGCCAAGCACAGCGCCGCAGCGAGATCTGCATGCTGCTGATCAGCAGCTGGGCACGTCTGCGGCGCTGTGCTCCGAGAGCGGCAGCACTGCGCATGAGGGCCTGCGCGCAGCATCTCGAGCACTCTGGTCTCTGTACTCTTACTCTTGCGGCAGCGGCATGGCTCGGCTCTGCCAGCCAGCACCCGTGCGGGAGGTCTCCGGCCGGCCTTGCCAAGCAGCAGCAGCAGCGATCCCGAGATGCGGCTCAGCACCCGACACCGTCCTTTTGATCACTCGGCTCGGGACTCTGTGCCGCATCTCGGCATCAGCACGCAGGGTGCAGTTGGCAGCTGCATGGGATGCGCTGCGAGGCCATGCCGTGCTCCACGCGCGCCAGGCCCAACGGCCGCCGCATGCGCCGAAGCCCCTGCGCCGCGCGCTGGAGGCAACCGCGCCGGCGCGCACAGCCCGCAGCACACCCTCCCTTCAAGGCTTGCACGCCTCCCCCAACTCAGCGCTGCATGCTGCAATCAGACTTGGCTTGCGAGGGTCCAGCATCAGGTGCAGGACCGACTGCGACGACTGCCTCGACTTGTGAGATGGACAACGCGGCGCAGGAACGAGCGCCTGGCGCGACGTTGGCTCCCACGCAGACTGCAGCGAGCCGAGTCTTGTAGCAGTCGAGTTGGCGTTGCTCCGCATCGCGTCGCCCGTCGGTACTTGTGCTGCTGCAGCAGCCAGCTGCAGCAGCCAGCCTCTTTCATCGCATCACATCTGTCTGCACCCGCTGCGGCAGCGTGCGATGTCTCGCCAGCGAGTCTCGGCGTCCGAGCACCGCTCCCACGCGCGAGGCACGGTGCTGCGCAGGCCGCAGGCGCCAGAGAAGAGAGACTCGGCCGTCCAGAATGCACCCAGTAGCATCGGTTTCCTTGAAGAGACGAGAGCGGAGGGGATGCTGCTCTGCCTTGCGTCTCAGGTGGAGGTAGTGAAGCGAGCAAGCCGAGGGTCAGAGCCTCGCGCGGCGCGTCCGGGTGCGGCACGGGCACCTCCCGCGCCGCAGCAGCACCGCACCCTCTTCATCTCCTTCCTCCACACCGTCCATCTTCGAGCTCTAGTCCACGCTTCGCTCCGAGCGCCGGCTCTACACTCGCTCTCGGCAACCAAGCAACGCCTTCGCAGACACGACATCCGCGGTCTGAGCTTGCTTGATCTTGCTCGCCCGCGCAGGGTGAGGGCGCAGCTGTGGGCGCGCGCATACGTCGCGCAACGGCTCGCCTGCAGCGGCCGCGCGTTCAGGAGGCGCCTTGCTTGCGCCGGCGTCGCACCGCCATCGCCGCAGCCGCCTCTCCTCCAGCAGGACGAACCGAGCGGGTGCACCTCGAGACTGTACCTTGCTGCTTGCTGCGGCTGCTGCTTGCCCCTGTGCGAGCATGCACGCCGAGGTGCCCCTGGACGATGCTGCGGCGCTGCAGCTGCAGGGCAACGATGCGTGATGGCCGCAAGCGTCCGTCGGGCGCTGCCGCTGCGAGGACGGCGCCGGCGCTGGTGGACGGGGCAGCACAGTCCCTCAAATAGCGAGCCTCCTCGACGGACGCCTGCGTTCGCGACATTCACCTGCTGCTCTTCTCCTCCTCAATCAGCTCCGCACGCCCATCCCTTAGCTATCCGCCCTCTAGGACGCTCGCCGCAGCATTCCCGCTTGCCTCGCGGCAATGCCCAAGTCGCACAGCAGCAGCGCTCCCTCCGTTCCCCGCCGGCAGTCGTCCTTCCTGCAGGCGCTCCCTCTGCGCAGCTCTCCCTCGTTCGAGGTCTCGCTCGCTGGCTCGCCCGTGCACGCTGGCGTGCAGGCCTCGCCGAGCGGCAGCGACACATCGGGCTGGTCGGTGCGCACCTCTCTTTCCGAGGTGCTGCCTGCCATGCCGCTCTTTCCGGCCGCACAGCACAGTCCGTGCCAGACTCGAGGCGCAGGCAGGTGCAGTGATGCAGCTTGCGTGGACTGCATCACCTCGGGCATGGGCTTTCTCGATGTCTTTGCGCCGTCCACTTCGGCACGGAGCATGGGCATGGCCAAGTCCGACTGGCGCTTTCCGCAGGGCGGCAGCGCTTCGAAGATGCGCGAGTCTGCATCGACGCTTCCTACGTCAAGCCACAGCTCTTCAGACCGCTCCACCTCGGAGGACGAGTCAGACGTGACGCCCACCGCCTCGCCCTCCGTCTCGCCCAAGTCTCAGCCGGTCGAGTTTGCCAGTCGACGCAGGGCACTCTCGGCGCTGCGGGAGGAGTCTGAGCCTGTCTCGCCTGCCGTGCTCCTTGCGCGCTCCGCTCGGCGTGCCCGTCAAAACGGGCCACTCGCAACGCATACTCCGCCCGCTCCGATGCGCCTCGACGAAGTGCGAGCCATGCACCTGCCCGAGACTTGCCGCAATCTCAACTCGGCCTTGGCGCTGGGCTCTCCCTTTCAGTCCGCACCGGACCGAGGGAGCGTGCGAGGCGCTGCCCTTTCGTCGCCAGTGCATGTCAAGGCTCCGTCGCTACGGACTGTATCCGCTGCGGCCGATGGCGTCTCGCCCGGCAAGCCATTCTTCGACGCACTCTCTCCTCCTCGCTTCGCAGCCTCGCCCTATTCTACCGCCAGCAGCAGTGCAGCAAGTCGCTCCCTCCTTGCTCGCCGCAGAGACACGACGCCTTCTCCCTCTGCCCGCTACAACCCAAGTATCTTCAGTGCCAGCTCTGCCGGTGATTCACCCGTCGCTGGACGCGCTTTTCGTCCGCTGCCAGCTCAGGCGCCGTACCCGAAAGCGCCACTGCCAGCACCGCCCCGCAACGAAGCTGGCACGAGGCCGTCGGCCCGCCCAATGTCCGTCCCGACGCCGGAACGCGGTGCCGAGGCAGACATCAGCGATGCAAACGACACGCCCATGCACGAGCGCACCGAGCGCAATGAGCAGGAGTCTCCAGACGTGCCGCTGGTAGCACAGCGCATGCATGCCCTTGTGCATGCCTCTGCTATGCTACAGCGTGAGCGTAAGGAGGCGGCCAATCGCAAGCTTGCAGCGTCCGCCGAGGTGTCAGACTACGGTGCGCAGTCGAAGCGCAAGCGGACCGCAGAGCAGCTGCTGCGAATCAGCACCGACTCGAGAGGTCGAGACTTGCCAGCTTTGTCTTCGCCGACGAGGCCGCGATCCTCTACCATCGACGAGCTGATGCGTCAGTGCATGACGGACGCCAATGGCGAGCCAGCGGAGCCGCGACTCTCGTATGCGTCCGATTCGGTCTTCGTGCACAACGCCACCGGACCAGTGCTGCCTCGCGACTCGACGTCTCTGCGGCCTCGACTGCCATCGATTGCGCCGTCGATCGACGCAGCAGGCATGGCACTCTGCGGTGCACCTCGACCGCGACCTTCGCGTATCCTGGGTCGCGTCCGCTCCTCGCTGCTTCGCAATGCTCGTCCGTCCTCGTCGTTGTCTCTTCGGCGTCAGGCCACGCAGGAGACGAGCGTCAGCAGCCGGCATCCCGAGCGCGTCGAGAGTCCGGAGGTCTTCGTCATCAGCGCTGCTTCATCGCGCCGCACCTCCGCGTGCGACTCTGACGGCTCCGAGGACTTTGAGATGGAGGCAGTCGAGCAGCGCTACGGCATCTCCTTGCAGAACGCGCTGAGTATGACGCCGCCGACTCCGCACATCGCAGCGTGGGCGAGCGGCACCTTTACGCCGCCGAGCATCGACATTGTCCGACCACACGTGTCCATGGGTGACTTGGCCGTCGTCGCTAGCACGCTGGTGCAGCTCGGCAGCGAGCGCTCGGCAGCGCAAGCCGCCGAGCGTGCGAACGCTCCTCGTCCGGCGGCTGCTTCGCGCAGCTCTCTGCAGCTCAGCTCTTTGGCAAGGCGAGCGAGTGCACCGCTGCGTGACCTAGCGACACGGCAGCGTACCTCGCAGGACGGCGACGACGGACCAGATGGGATTCAGCGCTCGCACACGATCTCGCGGGCATTCTCGTCGATCAACCTCGGAGCGAAGCGCCGCAAGCATCTGGATGACCGACTTGCAGCATCGCACGACGAGCCTCGAGCCATGCAGGTCTCGAGCCCCACACTGTTCGCCTCGAGCGCCTCCTTTGCTGCTCTCAAGTGCCAGCCGCTCGCATCGGCATCGCCTTCCGACGTCGAGGCGCTGCACGCCTTCTCGAACGCACAAGCACCGTCGGCGGCTGCCGCAGAAGCCCAAAGCGACGAGGAGGACGCGTTCCTCGACTCTTCGGACGAGACGCCGATGAGCAGTCCGAGTCTCCGTTCGCCTCGCACGCCGAGGCTGCTGGACTACCGCATGTCCAGCGTCACCACGCCAGGTGCGATCTCGCAAGATGACGCTGCCGTACTGCGCGCCTTCTACGCGGACGACAGTCCGATGCAGACGGAGCAGCAGCCTGCCTACCTGTCGCCGCCTCAGCGCCGCCCGGGCACAAGCTGCAGCGGCAGCAGCGAGAGCAGCGGTTCCACCTCATCTCCTGCTACGCCACGCGAAGGCTTCTCGCCACGCCGCGCGTCCGTCAGGCCACGCATCGACGCCGACGATGCGCTCGCGCCCGAGACTGCCGGTCTGCTCGCTGCCTTCTGGCAAGCTGACGCAGCCGACTCCTGTGCTGCCTCTCCAAACACCTGCGCTGCCCCTCCCAGCGCCTTCGCCGCCTCTCCGGCCATCTCGCACTCCTCACCTCCTCCGCGCCCGTCAGGCCGGTGCGGCACGTACTTTCTCGCACCGCCGAGCGCCACGGACTCGCCGACGCTTGGGCACCTGGCGGCGCCGAGCTGGGCCGCTCCCGCAAACGAGAAGCTGAGCGTCAACAGCGTCGCCTTTCCTCGCCTCGGCGCATACTGGGCCGATGGACGCAGTCCTAGCCTAGCAGCGCCGCCAACGCCCGACTGCAGCGTCGAGCAGAAGCCACAGCAGCACAGCCAGCCCAAGGCGCAGATGGGCGCCGGCGTCGCGAGCCTGAAGGCCAGACTGGGCCTGGCCTAGACTGCCTGTGTCCCTCAATGCGCTCGCGGATCCTCCGCCATGCCCCTCAGGTCTCTTCCACGCCTTCTGTTCTTGTCTTTCCATACATACCCTGTCCCTCGTGCTCTCTCATCGCAACGCAAGCATGCCTGTTCATCGCCTGGCTGGTACGAGGTCCACGCGCCCTCCCTCATGATGCCCGCTTGCCATTTCGCCATCTCGCCCCGTCCTGGTGCAGTCAGTCATTAGTCTGTCATTGTCTCTCCGCCCCTCAGTCCTGACGCGACCGCAGCACCCGCTCGATGACCTTGTCCGGCGTGCTAGACACAAGCACGTGCGTCAGTGTCGATTGGCTCACAGCCGCTGCACCGTACTCACATGACGCGCACGATGGCACCCCATCCTGACAGCGCATCGCGCTCGAGCGCACCCAGCAGTGTTTGCGAGATCGTCTCGAAGAGCTCGTCCGGACCCTGTGGTGCGGCGGAGCATCAGCCTGCTGTCCAGCACCGATAGCTGGCTGTGTGACGCAAGACCAAGACCACAGTGGCGGACGATGGAGCAGACGCGCCGGCAGCTGAGCACACCGGGCCGCGATGCTGTCTGCACCTGCGGCATGATACGCGGCGGTGCTCGGCCTCCAGAATTGGCACATCAGGCGAACCGCAGGGCTCGCGGAGCATCACGGCGGCGGCAGTGACCGCAAGGTTCAAGACCTCCAGCGAGCATGGCAATCGACGTGAGAAGCACCGTAGGGCTGGCGTACGCCGGCTCGAGCGCCCACCGCCCTTTCCTGCGTCGCCGCGGCAGTCTCTGCCCTCTCTTTCGCCGTCAAGAGGACCTGTGCGGCACAGACCCGACGATACGAAGCGAGTACGGCTGCCAGACTCACCAGACCCTCCTCCCACAACCCTTCTGCCATGCCGAAGAGCTTGTCGCTCTGGAAGCATGCGGTGCGTCAGCCGGCCGTGCAAAGAGATCTCTAGCGGCCAGGGGACGGCTCAGGCGCCTCGCGCAGCATCACTTACAGCTGTGCCTGCGACGACGAAGTCCTTTGCAAAGTTGAGGCAGCCGATCAGATCGGCGGCTGCGATGAAAGGCTTGTTCGGCTCTGAGCTGTTCGGGCCGGTGATGCCTGCGATGACCGGCTCGATGAAGTATGGCCCGAACCTGGCAGGCGTCAAGGTGAGCAAGTGGAAGATCCAGCCTCGGTTGCGTACGTCTGGCACAGAGGCCGCCGTCACCAGCTCCAGCCCGCTCAGCGCACTCACCGCTTCTCGTACAGCGTGCTGCTGACGAGGTGTGCAAACGTCTCGGGCTCAATCTCGCGCTCCTCCTTGAGCTCGTACATCTTTGTGCGGTAGCGGAAGCGCTGGCGCAGCGTCTCGGTGTCCGACGCCAGGCCGGGCATGCCGAGGTAGCAGCGGTCGGTGATGCGGAAGACCTTGTCGTGCGCGCACGAGAGCGTCAGCGCCTGCTGGCCGAGACGCAGGTCCGACGCGATGGCGACGCAGTTCTCGCCGACCATGGCGAGCACACTGCCGCCGTTGAGCTCCATTGCCGACATGCTGGGCAGAGGGTGTGAGGGGTGAGGTGCTGTGGAGTGGTGGAGGCGAGGCAGGAGGTGAGAGTCGAGGGTGCAGCCAAACTCTGGCTGCGCCGCGCGGCGAGCTGACGACGCGCGGTGCTGCTCCGTGCACGGCGCTGTCAGCTTGTTCCCACGCATGCCAGACGGGTGCGAGCGACTCCCCTTTCGCCCCCGCGCCGCCCGAGCCAGCCGCCCTCCACGCGCCGCCCGAGCCTTGACCTCGTCCATCACACCCTCTTCCGGCAACGACTCGCGGCGTAGCCCTGTGTGCGCAACGCTCGCTAGCCGCACTGCTCAGTGTCCGGCCTCGCACGCAGAGGCCATTGGCTCGGCTTGGCCTATGTCACGGGGGCGACGCGACAATGTGAGCCAGGAACTCGTTCGAAGCGGCTCACTTCTCGTCTCGCGAGCCACGCTCGAGGCGGCTCACTTACTGTTTCGCAAGCCACTCGTCACACAAGATAGACGTGGAGCAACAGCTCGATTGCAAGGAACTTTTTACAGTGACGTGGGGGAGGGGGGACCGTATGAACAAGCGAAGGGCGGAAGAGGGTCGCAGCGAGACGCTTAGATGCCGAAGCGCGGCGCATTGAGGATGATGGCCATCGGGATACCAGCCAGCATACCGGCGATCGGAATCGTGACGATCCAAGACAGCACGAGCAAACCCACACGTTGCCAGTTGACGGCCTTGTAGCCACCGAGCACGCCGACGCCGACGGTGGCGCCCGTGATGCACATCGAGGTCGACACCGGCAGCTTGTACTGCGAGAAGACGAGGATGGTGATGGCGGCGCCGAGCTCCATGGACGTGCCGCGCGAGGGCGAGTGGTAGGTGAGCTTGTTGCCCATGACGCGCATGATGTTGTAGCCGTAGAAGACGAAGCCGGCGACGATGGTGAGGGCGACGACGGCGATCTGCCACGTGGCGACGGGGAGCTTGGACTTGGCGGCGTCGCCGGTGGACCAGGCCGAGTAGATGACGGCCCAGGGGGCGACGGCGTTGCCGACGTCGTTGGCGCCGTGGGCGAAGGAGGCGGTGCAGGCGGTGATGAGCTGGATGAACGAGTAGGTGTGCTCGACCTCGTTGGGGTACTTGGTCGCGTGCGAGTAGACGCGCTCCATGCGGTTGCCCTCGGGCGTGCCCTCGATGCCGGCCTGCGCCGTGTGGATGTCGTAGTGCATGCCGTAGAGCGCAGCGACGACGACCATGGCGGGGATGCGCTGCACGGCGCGCTTCAGGTTGTGCGTCTCGTAGATGGCGCCCTGGCCCATGGGGTGGTCGTGCAGGTAGCGCATGGCCCAGCCGATGGCGCCCTTGTTCTGGCGCAGCTTGGCGTAGACGCGCTCGTCGGCCTCCTGGTTGAGCTCCTTCTGCGTCTTGAGCGGGCGGATCTCGGCGACCTGCTCGACCATGATCTTCTCGTCGTCGACGGAGATGTCGTCGGTGCTGTTGCGCGCCGACTCGGGGCCGTGCTGGATGACCGAGTAGTCGGGGACCTTGGCGACGGCGTCACCGGTGGCGTAGGGCGTGGCCCAGAGCGCCGGGCCGGTCAGCACCTGCCAGCCCTTGACGTTCTGGTCCTTCTTGATGACCTTGGCGTGCAGCCACGGGACGAAGAAGATGGCCGAGAGGATGGCGAGGCCGACACCGGTGCCGACGGACACCGAGGCGATGAACCACGGCGGGCGCTTGTCGAGGCCGAGGTTGGGCGAGCCCTTGTAGACGATCGAGAGGGCGCAGACCGTGCCGGCGACGAGGAAGAAGAAGGGAGCAGTCCAGACGGCCCACGGAACGGGGTTCTTGCGGACGTGGACGATGGTGCGGATGAGGCCGAAGATGATGGCACCAAATGCTGCGGCGCACACGGGAGCCATGGCGAGGCCGGCGAAGATGGCACCGAGACCCTTGCCGTTGTTCCAGCCCCACTGCACGTTGCGCGCACCGGCCGTGGCAACACCGACACCGGCGACGGCCGAGATGAGCGAGTAGGTCGACGAGACGTGGGCCGAGTTGCGCGTGCACCACATGACCCACGACGAGGCACCGGCGAGCGCGCAGGTGAAGGCGAGCATCTGCACGCCGGCGTTGCCCTGGAACGTCGACGGCGGGATGATGCCATTCTTGATCGTGTCGGCCGTGCGGGCACCGACGGTCAGAGCGCCGAGGAGCTCGAAGACCGTAGCGCAGACCATCGCGCCGCGGTAGCTGATCGAGCGCGAGGACACCGACGTGGCCCAGGCGTTGGCGACGTCGTTGGCACCGTTGTTGAATGCGTCAAGGAGCGCAAACATAGTGCCTATGGCGAAGATGTAATCATACTGGCTGAGGACCGGCATGGCGAAGGAGGGGGTGAGGCTTGCTGAGGAAAGGGCAGCTTCGGGCGCGCAGGTGCTGCTCTTTATCCTTCTGCGCAGCCCGGTGAGAAGGATGGCGGATGCGTGTGCCTCTCTCGCAGGTGCGCCGGCGGCGGCACTCCTCCCAGCCGGACCTTCTCGCGGAGGCGCGCGCACGAGTTTTCCGCTCGCCACGCTGCACTCCATTGCGCCGTGCTGGCCATCGTGCAGCGTGCACGTTCACTCTGCGGCCCTGGAGCGGGGCCAGGCTCGGTCTCTGGTGCGCCGTGGCTCCTTCTGGGTGGCATGCGGCGCGGGGGCGCGCCCGGGCACGAAGCGGCGGGAGCGTCCGCAATGCCGCAGGCCCGCTGCGGGCGGGAGCCCGGCCGCCGGCGCCGCAGGGCGCAGGACAGGGACAATTTCACGCAGCAGCCCGAGGTGCCCGAGGCGCTGGCGGCGGCGCAGCACATCGACAGAGCAGCAGCCGAGCAAGGGGTCCTGCCTCTCCGAGGGAGCGCACGCCGGGCGGGAGGCCTAGCGCGCCACCCGCTGGCCTCGCGGCGCGCCGCACCGGGTGTGCATTGCAGCTTCTCGCGCCAGAGGCGGCGGCGGCGAGAGCGGGAGCAGCCTCAAGCCGCAGGCCGGATGCCGCCGCCTCGGGCAGCGAGGAGCCGTCGGTTGCGGTTGCGGGAGGGCGTTCGACACCTCTGCGGCGAGAGGAGCGGCACCGGGCGCAGGCACGCGCGGCTGCATGGGGCAGCGCGACGCGCGCACACACAGGCGGCGTGCCCCAGGGGTCCAGCGCCACGCCCGCGTGCCTGTGTTCTGTTGATGCGCCGCGTGCGGAGCCGCATGCGCGGTGCACGCTCGGTGCGGTGGCATGGCGCAGGCGCAGAGGGGCCGGGCCATGCAGCCTTCGTGCCAAGACCTGCGCATGCAGCACATGGCACTAGCGATCTGCACGCGGACTCCCAATCTGGAGCATGGCGTCTGCGTGCGAGACAGGCGGCGCGCCGCCGTCGAGGCGACGCCCATGAGCGAACGTGCGCTCGTGGTCTTGGCATCGTCTCGCGCAAGCGCCACGCACGTGCTCATGCGCCCGCCCCGCGCCCTGACTTCTTTTGGCGCAGCGTTCTGCCGCACCGTGCGAGAAGGCGCAACATCCAGCTGCAGCTGCAGTGCCGGGGCTGCGGTACCGCACGCCTATCCACGCCTGCTCTCACGCTCCCAAGCACGCCGGCGCGCCGCCGTCGCCGTCCATCGCACGCGGCGCACGCCGTGCTCCCGCTCCAGCACCTCCGACACGCAGCACGCTCGGCGCCCTCGCCGCGCCACTCGCTGCGCTGCAAATCCCTGCTTCTGGCGCAAGCGGCGGTCTCAGCGCTGCCCCGTCGGCCCCGGGGTCTGGCGCTGCCGGCGGCTCGTGTGAGCGCGTGCGCTCCGCAAGGCTAGTCGCTGGCTGCTCTGCTCGCCGCCGCTCGCCGAGCGCAGATTGTCTCCGTAGCGCAGCCCTGCCTCGTGGGAGCGTGCGGAGGCGCCTCCGAGCGTGGCGAGACTCTCGCAGCACCTTGCCGCGCCTGCCCGAGCGATGTGAGCAAGGCATCCAGGCGCAGCTTGCTCGCCATCGCTCGCAGTCGCTGCGATGCACGTTGCATGCGCATGTGCGATCTCAATTTGACGACGCAACACCTGCACCTGCGCCACAGCGATGTTCTTCGCGATGGCAGCCAGCTCCGCTCAGCGGCTGCAGATGTGAGCAGCCACCGAGTGCGCGCGCCCTCCTGCCTGTGCGCTGGGTCTGCATGTCGTCGGCCTCCGGGCCGCCCGCTCATGCGCATGCTGCCACGGCTCTCGCTTCCGACATGGCCGCGTGTCTTCCGACCTGTCCGCTGAGAACCGGAAGCTCACCGCAGAGCACATCAGCATGCCGTTGCTCGCTTCGGGCATGGTCCCGCACGGGGCTCGAGCAAGAAGGCGCCTCCTCGCCCCGCTTCCTGGCAGCGCACGTGGACCAGAGCCGACGGCCAACCCGAAGTGAAGCCAGCCCGGCTTCCCCGCGCTGCACTGTCCCTCCCGGCCCACGAGGGGTCCAACTCGCTGCTTTGCTTGGCATACAGGAGAGCCTCGCTGCATTGTCGGTGAGCGGTGACTGGCTCGCCCGGTGATGCGTCAGATAGCGTGCTTAGGCCAGCCTCGGCCCTATCGAGCACGAGGTGAAGACAGCGAGAGAGCAGAGTCCAGAAATATCGCATGATTACGCTGAGGGCAGCATGGACGGGTGCACACCCACAGGCAGGAAGCTCGGCTCGGCCACGTCGCTCGGCGCAAAGGCAGCGCGGGCAAGCTCCGCCCGCGCTTGAGACGCGTTGACCACGTTCATGAGGGATGGCGCCGGCGTTGTGTGGGACGCCGTGGCGGGAGCATAGTCCCATGCGCGCAGCTGCGCCCGCAGCTCTCTTGGCGCCTTCGATGGCTGCACGACGAGGTGGCACGGCGGACGCATTGAGCCCGCGGCACGCCGCTGCACGGCGGCGCTTGAGAGACTCTCGGCGAGGTCGAGCGCGAGGCTGATGGCGCCTCTCTGCCCACGAGCATCCGCGCCCACGATCACGTACGTCTCTAGCGGCGCCGCGAGCACATGGACCGCCTGCGCCGACAACGCATGGGCGCTCGGCGTCTCGATGCGCTGCACGCCTGCATCTCCAACCTCGTAGAGTCGAGCAAGCCGCTCGCGCGCCAAGAGTTGCGGGCGGTGGCGGTGGTGACTCGCCGACGCGTACGGAGTGAGTGAGTCGAAGAAGGCCCAGAACATCTCGTCCTCCTGTCCTTCGAGGTACTCGAGAGGCAGCGCGTTGGGGTAGAGGTCGGAGAGCAAGCTCGTTGCGATGCTGCGCTCGTCGGCGGCCGTGCCCTGTCCGTGCCAGACGAAGGGCGAGCCAAGCACCGAGGCAATGTAGGAGAAGCTCGAGCAGAGGTTCGAGGTGGCCAGGTCGAGCTGCTCCAGGGTCACGAGCGTCTCCTCAACTCGCAACTCGTACAGCGTCGTGCCCTCCTCCTCCCAGTGCGCGCGCGATCCTTGCCGCGAGATGAGCGGCCGGCCGAGCGTCTCGGCCAGCTCCTTTGTCTCTGCGCCTTGCGGCACGTACACGGGCGTGGCTGCGTAGCGCGAGGCGAGCTGCTGAAGCTTGGCGAGCGCCAGGCCCTGCGGCTGGGCAAAACGGCCGACGCGAACCAACACGCTCGTGGCGACGAGCCCGTCGGACGACTTGTGCCGGTGCACCAGCGCAAGCAGCTCGGACTCGTGCATAATGTGGTACTCGTCCGGGCGCAGCGCAGTGGTCTCGCCTGCGCTGGAGATGGAGAACATCTCCAGACTGACAGTGCGCGGCTTCTCTGTCGCCTGCCGCGGCGAGCGCATCGAGCGCGCTTCGGCAGCAACGAAGGACTGCAGGTCAAAGCGTAGAGCAGGCTGCGATGGGATGGCCAGTTGCACGAGCGTCGACGTCGGAGCTGGGCTGCGAGAAAAGGGCATACTCGCCGGGCCGGCTGGCGGCGATAGCGGCGACGAGCTGATCTCGGTGCCGTTGACGAGCGCCTCGAGCTTGCGCGCGCCCGACTCGAGCTTCAGCACGCTGGCCGAACGCGTGAGTGACGCCGCGGGGGCCTGAGGTATCGGAGGACCGCCGGCGTACATGGTGACCGGCCGAGCACCCGAGCCGCGACGGCTCCGGGGCGTCTCGCGGCCAGTTTCGGCGCCGGCGGTGCCCCACCGAGCGGCGGCAGCAGCAACAGACACGCCGCCGGCCTCGGGCTGCTCGACCAGGTCTGCGAGAGCAGGCCCGCCACCGTAGACGCTGTTCGGCCGGCTGAGCGTCCGTCGGCGGGCGCGCGGCACAGGCGCGGTGCCGCTGCCGGCCGAAGCGCTGAGCGGCGGCGTCGTGCCGAGGACGATGCCGGGAGAAACTGGGCTGCGAAGACTGCTCTCCGGCTCAGGCGCGGGCAGTGCGTCTGGCGTCGGAGCCATCGGCCGGGCAGGCAGCTTGTCTGGCGATTTGGCGCGGATCGTGCTGGCCCACGGGTTGCGCTCCTCCGAGTGGTCGGTCTGCGGCACGACTGGCGGGCGGTCAAGCATCGCACGCGTGCCCTCGACGATGAGGCGATGCTCCAGCACGTGAATTTTCTCCTCGAGCGAGGCCAGCGTGTCGTCGCGCTCGATGGGCACCTCACGCACGAGCACCGGGCTGCCTCGGTCCACCTCGGCGACGACCTCGTGCACCATCACTCCGGTCGAGCGAATGTCGCCGCGCTGAAAGGCTGCAAACGCGCGCTCAATGGCCTGCGCTCCGTCGAACGCGCCCGGCAGCGCTGGGTGCAGGTTGATGATGGGCACGGGGCGCGCCGGCGCCCAGGCTGGCGCCTTGCTGCGGCCATCTCCAGCATGGCCCATAGCCGCGAGGAATACCGGCGAGACGATGTGCATGAAGCCGGCCAGCACGATGAGATCTGGCGCACGCCCATCGTGCGCATCAATGATGATGCGCGCCAGGTCCACGTCGTACTCGTCGCGCGTCGCACCCGGATGCTTGCTCTGATACGTCTTGAGCGATGAGACGGCGGTCGGGATCGGCGGGTTGGACGTCGAGGCGCGCGTGAGGCCGTACGCGGCCTTGCGGTTGGAGAGGACAAATGAGATGTATGCGCCAGGCAGCGCCGTCGACTCGATCAGCGTGGCGTCGATGAGTGCCTGCAGGTTGCTCCCTGTTCCGGCGCGCGTTAGCCTGAATCGATGCCATCGCACGAAGCAGTCTCACCGTTGCCAGAGATGAGCACCGCGATGCTCTTACCACCCGTCGCGCGCACCCTGCCAAGCTCCTTGACTCCGGAGCGCAGCCCTTCCTCCACCTCTCGCACGCTCATCTTTGAGCGCTCCATGTCCATGCGGTCCGACGGCACGATTCTGCCGTACGTGTCCTGCCCAGTGCCGATCAGCTTCGACACCGACGGATCGGTGTCGGCGGGCACTGAGCCGATAAAGTGCGAGATCGGAGCAGGCTCCGCAGCAGGCTGGGCAGCAGGGGCAGCTGCTGGCTGGACCGCCGTTGCGGCGGAAGCAGTAGAGCCGCTCGTGCGCGATCGCTTCGCCGGGCCCTTGGCCCTGCCGGCGGTCAGCGGTGCCAGGACGCCCGACTCGGTAGACGAAGCCTTCTGCTCAAGCGCCTTGAACGGCGACTGCGCCCCGCCCATGCCAGGAAGGCGGACTGGCGCAGCCACAGCGTCATCTGACTCTGTGCGCAGCGCAGTCGGGCGCACAGGGCTGCGAGGCCGCGGTGCGCCGAACACTGGCGGTGAGACGGGTCCGCCAGATGCCATGCCCGGCAGCGCAGTCGCGCTCTTTCCGGGCGCCCACGGCTTCTTGGCAGCGGGCGAGGACGTCTCGGTGCTGGCAGTGTCGACAGTCCAGCGCTTCACCGGCGCAGCAGGCGTGGGCGTGCCCTGTGCCGGCGCTGGAGGCGTCCACCTGCTGGCTGCGGAGGATGGCGTCTTGGCGGGGCTATTCCTCGCCGGCAGCTCGATGCTTGGCGACGCAGCGCTGCCAGCAGCGTCCCGCTCCTGTGCTTCGCGCAGACGCTGCTGCACCATCGAGCGGCCGCGCAGACGGGTGATGCTCGCGCTCGGCGTTTTCTCAGCGGACGTAGGCACTGGCGTAGAGAAGGCGGGCGATGGCTTCGGCGAGGGCGAGTTGAGGCCCTTTGAGAGCTCAAACGAGGTCTGCCGCATGGGAGAGGCGACCTTGGCCGGCGAGGTCTCCACAGGTGCACGCTCGGGAGAAGGCGCGTGCTGCGTCGGCGCGCGCACGGGAGAGAGCGGTCGCTGGACGGGCGCATCTCTGAGCGAGCTCGCACGCGTCGGAGACGGACCTCTGGCCACATCCTTGAGGGGAGAAGGCGCGCGTCCAACAGGCAGAGCAGGACTGCGCAGCGGAGACGTCTGCGCTCCTGACTCGGCGTTGGCCTTGCGCGGCAGACCTGCTGTGGCGGCCCAGTCAGGGCCAGTCGACTTTAAAGCAGGAGCGTCCTGAGGCTTTGCCGGACTGAGCGGCCGGGTGGACGACATCTGACGCGCAGGCTCGGAGCGCGAGTAGGCGCGAGTGGGCGACGACGAGCGCACGGGCTCTGCAGGCAGAGCTCTGACAGGCTCGTCCCATGCGCGAGGAGCTCGGACCGGCGAGGCCGCCCGGCCGCCAGTCGGGAGAGTGTCGCGCCGAGTGGGCGAAGGCAGGCGAGCTGGAGCTGGAGCTGCCTGGACTGGAGAAGCAGCGCGCGGCAGATCGCGAGCCTGCGTAGGCCGCACGGGCGAGGCAGCACGTGGCGCCTCCCACTCCTTGACAGGCGATGCCGCGCGAGGTGCAGCTTCTCTGACAGGCGATGTCGGCCGCACGCTCGTCTTGTCGGGCGACGGCGGGCGACCGGCAGCCATCTCGCGCTTGCGAGCCTCGAGCATGCCGGCCATGCCGCCGCGCGGCCCGACTTGAGTCATTCCGGGCAGCGCACGCGGTGCACTGTCGGCATCGGCAGCCTCGGGCGGCGGTCCGCGTCCATCGCCTGCCAGCTTGCCAAGGCGTGGCCCGGTCGCGCGTCCGCCCATGAAGCTGGCCAGCGACGTCGGGGCGCCGGACGAGGCCATGGATGCGGTGCCGGTCGGGCCCGAGACACCGCCGTAGCGTGCAAGCAGTGCTGCACCGCGAGGCGTCGTGGCGGATGTAGGAGCTGGATGACGTGTGTGAGCGCCGCCGAGGCCCGTTTCCGGTGCATCCGGCACTGTTCACTCACGCTCGTCACTGCTGCGCTGGCTGCCGCCGCTGAGCCGGCTGCGGCGCCGGGCGCGCTCGTCGCGGCTGCGCTGCACCTCGTCCTCGAGCTCCTGGCGCGACTGCGACGCGGGCATGCCGGCGCCGGTGTGCGAGGCGCCCGAGCGCACCGTGGCGACCCAGGAGGAGAGCGGCGCGGCGGCGTCGGGGGGCGGTGAGTAGGACATGGCGGGGGTCGTGAGGTGCGTGAGATGGAGCAGGTCGTGAGAAGAGCGGGCCTTGGGTGGTGGATGGCGCCGGCGTCGGACGGCCGGACGACACGCGCGAGAGTGCGGGGTTGTGTTGGTCTCAAGGACAGCGCGCTTGGCTCGCGAAGCACCGACCCGGGCGGCGCTCGGCGGATGGACAGGGGCATCAGCCAGCCACGGCGCCAGCACGCGTCACGTGTGCGCGCGCGCCGCTCCTTGGCGACCTACCACCACCACCCACCAGCATCTCGCTCGCTCGCTTGCCCCGCTCCTGCATCGCGTATCGTACCTGCGCCGCGCACACCATGCCAGCTGCCGCGCCGGCGTCGCTGCCCGGCTCGCTCGAGGAGGCCAAGGAGCGCTACGAGTCGACGAAGCGCGCGCTGCGCGCCGGCCTGGCCAAGAAGCGCACCATCGACCGCACCCTCACGGACCTCGAGTCGCAGATCTTTCTCTTTGAGGGCTCCTACCTCGCCGCCACGGCCGCGTCTGGCGGCAACATCGTCAAGGGCTTCGACTCGTACCTCAAGGTCGGGCCCAGCCGGCCAAACGCTGCCGCGGCGGCCGCCTCGGGCCTGGGCGCCGATGTGCCGATCGAGGACCGCCTCTTCAGCACCAGCTCGGCCACGTACACGCGCAGCCTGGAGCTGAAGGCCAACGAGGGCCGGCGTGCCGAGGCTGCGGCTGCTACGGCCGCTGCAGCTGCTGCCAACGCCGCGTCGAGCTCGCAGGGCCAGCAGCGCGCCAGCAAGGAGGGCACGGCGGATGCCGAGAGCGCTGCGGGCACGCCGACGGTGGAGAAGAAGAAGAAGCGCAAGGATGCGCCGGGCACTGGCGGCAAGGACAAGAAGCGCAGGCGCGAGGAGGAGTGATTGGGCCTTCGAGGTGGAAGAGGGCGTCGTCACTGCGCGAGCCATTCGATCGCTGCCTCGACAGCCACGCGCACCCGTGCCGCGTCCTTCCTCCATCTCCGGCCTTTGCGCCCTCTGCCGCGCCCGAGCAAAGTCTTCAGTCGCTCCTCGGTCGCTTCATCGCCCGCACGCGCTTCACACCGCGGTCCTCTTGCGTCGCACCAGAGCCGTGTCGCTTCGAGACGCAGTCCTTTCCTGCGCAGCATCTCCAGCCGTAGCCCACCATTCGACCCTTCTGAGCATCTCCAACATCTCTCTACTACCCAGTCACCATCTGTACCCATAGCCGTGGCTTCACATGTACTCGTAATCGTCATTCGTGCCTAGCGCGTGAGAGAGGTCTGAGAGTAGAGGGTCTGTATCGTATCGTGACTATCGTGCCGCGCCCGGTTGGCGCCGACGTGGAAGTGGCTCATGCGTGGCGAGCTCAAGCGTAGCGGAAGCGCGGATGGCCGCCGAAGCGCAGGCCGATGTAGCCGAGGATGAAGTAGGCCGAGCTGCGGCGGCGAGACGCGTGTCAGGGCTCCGGAGGTCTCGCTGCAGCTTGGACGCAGACTCGACTCACGAAAGGAGGACCAGAAAGCCGGCGCATGCGCCAATTCCGAAGCGCTGTAGGTCGTACTGCGCCAGCACATCGGCACCGGTGCGGTAGCACTGCGCAGCTCCAGCGCTGCACTCGAAGGTACGGTCGCCGCCGAACTCGTTCTCTGCGCAGCGGACGCGTCAGGCCGATTGCACTACCAAATGAGCGGGTCTTCGTGGACTCACGGGCAAGAGCGGCAAACGAGTAGCTCACTGTGTGAGAGCGCTCGAGTGTCAGCGAGTGTCGCCATGGAGCAAAGCATCAGGACGGCGGAGGTCGCGCGCACGGTCGACGCGCGTGTGGCGCGTGTGTGCGACCGTCTTGAGCGCCTCTTCGTGCTCTGGCTCGACTTACAAGGCGAGATCCTGGAAGCACGAGTGCATGTCAGCAACAGCAGAGTAGAAATAGTCATCGGCGCGCAGCACCACTCACCAGTGCAGCCAGATGAACCTGCAGAGGAAGAAGGACGCGGTCAGCCTTCGTCCCGCCGTCGGCAGGCAACGCATCCTCGTACCAAGGTGGGATCGAGCTCAACGGAAGCAGGGAAGACCCAAAGAGCATCGCCACGACGCTGGGGGTGTTAGGATAAAGTCAGTGGTTTGGCGACGGGATGGCTGCACTTTTCACTCACTTGACGAGAGGCGCGAGTACGCCAGCTAGGGTGATCGAGGGGACGGCGCAGCCGATGGCGAAGCCTTGGCCTATCGCCGACAGCACCTGCAGCTGCGTAATACCGATCCAGATGAAGAAGGGACCGGCGCCAGCACGGAAGCCGATCACTGTGGGATAGAGGTCAGAGCGCGTATGCTTCGGTCGCGCCCTCAGGTCCGCTTACTCCAGTAGATCACAATATAGTAAACTATCGTCGAAACGACAGTGGAAGGCAGAGTGACAAGCATCTTGGCGAGATAGGCGCTCGTGGTGCCTGTGCAAGTGGCGCGTGAGACAGGTCGTCAACACGGGTCGAGCGCGTCCGACTCACGGTACTGGCCGCCGCTGCGCTCGCGGATGATGATGGAGCGCTCGAGCGGGAACGGCGCATACGTCGCAAATGTCACGGCGAACGCTGCGTTGACGGGCACGATGCTGCGTGGGAGTAGATGCGGTCAGTGTCGGCCATGCGCAAGGGTTCGGCTCGGTGCCACCTACAACAGCGCGCCGACGCGGGCAAGAACGTCGCTCTGACTGTTGCCCAAACGAAAGTAGGCAAATCCGATGAAGATACACAGAGCCACCGTCTGGCCGATGCCTGCAAACAGGACCGACTTGTCGCGGATGAGCTGGAGCCAGACGCGGTGCGTCAGAATGGCGAGCTCCTTGTGCCAGGGCGTGGGCCACGAGGCTTGGTCGCGTTCCGCGCCGGCGTGCTGCTCTACGTCGCGCTTGGCGTCGATCGTGTTGCTGGGGCTGTGGCCGTCGATGCTGCTGCTGGCCGGGTAGTCCTTCTCGTAGCTCGCGACGAAGGCCTCGCCGCGCTCGGCCCAGGCCGAGAGCAGGCCGAGCACGCGAGCCTCGGCCTCGGGCGTCTTCTCGAATGCCTCGGCCATCGTGATGTAGTGGTCCGGCGGCGAGACGCCCTTGGGCGTGCCGTAGCCGAGAGACTCGAACCACGCCTCGGCGATGTGCGGCGGGCCGTTGTAGTAGACGGCACCACGCGCCAGCAGGCTGATCTTGTCGAACAGCGAAAGGACGGCGAAGGACGGCTGGTGGATGGTCATGAGCACGGCGATCTGGCGCTCGCGCGAGATGTTCTTGAGCAGCTCGATCGCGTTGGCGGCCGCAAAGGCGTCCAGACCGCTCGTCGGCTCGTCGAGCACTGGCAATGCGACCTGTCAGATTGATACTTGCAGACACATCGCAAAGACCTACTGAGCAGTGACACGTCCGAGACCAGTTCGACGGCGATGCTCGTGCGCTTGCGCTCGCCGCCCGAGACGCCGCGAGCACCAGGCGTGCCGATGCGAGTGTGCTGTGCCTTCTCGAGGCGAAGAGACTTGATCGTCGTGTCAACGCGTGCCTGCTTGTCCGCCTCGCTGAAGAGCTTGGCTGGCAGACGCAGCGAGGCGGCGTATTCAATGGTCTCGCGAACGCTCAATAAGCCGAAGAGTTGATCATCTTGTTCGACGTATCTGAGCATGAAGAAGATCAATCGAGGTTGGCTTCAACAGCAAAGAGCGCCCTGGCTCACCCTACGGTGCGCTTCCACGACGCCGGGTTGCGCGGCTTGCCGTCAAAGGTGATGGTGCCGCCGAGCTCGCCGGTCTTGCCGATGCGAGTAGACAGGGCGTTGAGTGCCGTCGTCTGAGAGGGAAGACGCGTGAGCAAGTCATCGCAGGCGCTTCGTCAGGCCAGCTCACCTTTCCCGCGCCCGAAGCGCCGAGGATCGCGACCATCTCGCCGCGGCGCACCTCGCCCGAGATGCCACGCAGGATGTGACGCATGCCAGCGTCGATGCCCGAGTCCGACGTCTGCACATTGCCGGTCTCGGACTTCTCGAGAGTGCTGTCAGTTGGGTCGACGGCAGCACGGGCGCGCGCCTCTGCGGCGGCCTTCTTCGGCAGCGGGATGGAGTAGCGCAGGTTCTCCCAGCGGAGGCCGCTGGCGGAGAGCGACATGATGCAAAAGCTTGTGGGTGCTTGAGGGCGGCGCAGTTGTGCGTCCGAGAGGTGGTGGGCGCAGCGGCGAGAGCGGGAAGACGGCGCCGCTTTTTGTATCTGATTGCTGCCGCTGCGAGAGGCACGTCCCAGGGGGAGGCCCGACGCTGCCGCACACGCCAGATCGAGCTGACGCAAGCATCTCAGGCACATGTTGCGCCCGCGGCCTCTGCGCGGCCGCTCACTGAGCGGTCCGTCCGCGGAGGGCAGCGCCAGAGCAACGCGAGAGCAGCGCGCAGCAGCAGCCGCAAGCCATGCACGATGTGCGTGATGCGGCGTCCTTTCCAACAGCGACCCGTGAGGCTGCGCTGCTGGTGCTGCGTTGCTGCCGTCCTGCGCCTCGAAATAGACGCTCCGCAGAGGTCCAGGCCAGCAGAATTGTGGCGCTTGGCGTCAGCTGCGCTCACAAGCACCGCGCCGCGCCGCGCGAGGGCCGCGGAGGGCCTGAGCTCCGTCCGCGGACCATGTGAGAGGCTGCCTCCTGACGGCTCGGCCGCATGAGCTGTCTTGCGCCCGCGGCTGGGTTGCATTCCATGCAGCATGCAGCGCAGACATCATCAGCTCACAAGCGCAGAGCCAGCCACGTCCAGAGCGTTGCTTGGCATAGGCTGAGGGTGCAGCGTCGGTCTGGCGCGATTGGCGGCCCCGCGGCTTGGCCCGCGGTGCGCGGCGAGGCGGTTGTTCCCACGCCGATCGGCGTGACGCTCGCGCAGCCGCCTTCGACGGCGGCTTATCCCCGGCAGCGCAAGACGCTCTGGCCGATGCTCCTTCTTTTGACCTCAGAATCACGGCACGGACAGCAGGTACCTTCCTGCTGACTCTCGAATTCAGGCGCCCAACACGGCTTGACCCACGTCCGGTGCGGATCTGCGTGCTGGCCTTTCCGTGGTAATGCGCGTGTGACTTCTCGGGTAAGCGCCAGGGGGCAACATTCAGGGCAGCCAGTGCCTGATTCGCCCCCCTGAGCGGCGCGTTCGGCCCGCCCATGCCGTATAGCTGTCAGAGTGCAACGCCGTCGTCGTCGCTTTGTCGTGTCGGTTGACAGAGGGAGCTCGTCGAAGCTCACTCCTTGACAGAGGTCACGTGATGTCAGCTGAGCTCACGCACGGACCAACACGAGAACGTGCACGTGGGCGGCGGATGCTTGGCAAGACAGCGGAGTCTTCTCGACTTGCACGTTCTCGGCGTCTCTGCCTGCCGCTGGAGCAGGGCTTCCTTCTTCTCCACCATCACGAGCAGCGACACCGTCTGCGCTGCATCCCTCAGCTTACACCTCGTCAGCATGTCGCTCGTCGCCGCCGCCTCGGCGCACCTCGAGTCGCGGTACACGCTCGTGCTGCTCACCTACCTTGGCACCTGCGCCGTGCTCGTCGTCACGAATGTCGTGCGTGCGCTGAGCTTCGGCGGCGGCGCCGACGCCGCCACGCGGGCCAAGTGGCTGGTGCTGGCTGCGGCGAGCCTCGGCGCGACGTGGTACTAGTGAGTCTGGCAGCAGCGCGGCCGCGCCGCAGCGCTGACGCTTCTGTGCCCAGCATGTTCGCCTTCCTTGCGCGCTCGTACAGCGACTACGCCGACGGCGTCGTGCTCAAGGCATGCTCGCCGGCCTGGTCCGCGCAGTGTGCGCCGACAGTGGCGGCCTGGCTGCGCGACACGCGCCTCTTCGAGCAGGCCTGGGGCCACGTCGTCTCGGGCGCCACGCAGTGGTGGTGGAGCTCCGAGGTGTGCCTGTTGGCCGTCGGCGCATGGATCGTCAAGGGCCGCGAGGAGTGTGAGTGGCAGTGCGTCGCTCAGCAGCTCTCCGCTGATGCCTCAGCTCCTCAGCTGCGCTTGACCGCCTGCCGAACCTCTTCCTCCTCATGCTGCTCGGCCAGGCCGTGGCCGTCTCCGTGGCGCTCTGCCTCACCTTCCTCACGTTGGCGCAGACGCCGTCCGTCTCGTTCCGGCCGACGCAGCCCGGCCGTCTCTTCATCGCCGAGATGGCGCTCATGGCTGCCGGCGCCTACAGCGTTACGGAGCCGCCGACGACGCTGCTGCGTCTTGCCGCCATGCACGCGCCGCCACTGGTGCTCTCGTTCCTGCCGGCGCGCCCCGTCCGGCGCAAGGTGCTCTACGCCTTCCTCTTCCTCTACTCTCTCATGATCCGCTACAATCTCTCGCTCGAGATCCGCGCAGCACTGCCGGCTGGCGCCAGCTTCTTTGCGACGCTGCGCGACACGCTCTGGTCGCACCCGGCACAGAGCTCCATCGGCCTCGACAATGTCTGCTCCACCGTCGCTGTGGCGGCATACGTGCTGCAGGAGCGGAGCGAGCGCAAGGGCCCGCAGAGCACCGCCTGGATCTTGGCGCTCCTCGCGCCGGTCCTCGGTCCGTCTGCAATCCTCGCGGCGTGGGGCGGCCTGCGCAGCGTCGACCGCGAGATCTTCGTTGGCCCGGAGGAGGCAGCCGCCGCAGAGGAGAAGAAGGAGCAGTAGACACTGGGAACAGAAATGCATTGCACTGCTCGTCTGTCCTCAGGGCCGCCGGTAGTCTGACAGCTCGCTCCAGTCCAAGAAGGCGCCAATGGAGCCTGCACCCTTGCCCTCCTTGTCCTTGGGCTCGTCGCGCGTGCCGCGCACGGCCAGCGCCGCCAGCACGTGGCCGGGGTCCTCCGGCGCCAGCAGCTGGTTGTCGGCGTGCAGCTTGATGAACTTGGAGTGCTGCTCGCCCATCGACTCAGCGCCGTTGGCACGGATGTCCGCTTGCATCTGAGGTGTGTGTCAGCGCTGTGTGGCGTGAGCAGCGCTGCTTGACTCACATCGGTAGCGACCACGCCAGGACGCACGGCCCACACGGCAAGCTTGGGCTCCTCGACGGCGAGCACACGTGCCAGCGCGTTCATGCCGGCCCTGAGAGGAGTATGAGCTCTGCTGCACACAATTTCCACCGCTGTGACTCACTTGCCAGCGCAGTAGGGACCCCATCCAGCGTACTGCCCCACGGCGGCGCCCGACGAGACGAGCACCACCTTGCCCGTGCCGCTCGGTGACTCTCGCAGGTGCGGCGCAGCAGCGTGCAGCGTCGTGACGAGCGAGACGAGGTTGATGTTGAGCTGCTCGGCAAACGATGCCGGGTCCTGGATAGCGGCCGCCTCAGCGAACGCTCGTCGACTCCTCAGCTGACCCACTCACAGCATCGGCAAGGCGCGCGAACTTGACCACGCCAGCGTTGAGGATGAGCGCATCGAGGCGTCCCCACTTCTCCACTGCCCCATCAACCGCCTTCTGGTTCGTCTTTGCATCTGTCACGTCCCCCTGCACGACGAGCAGCGCCGGCGAGTCATCGCTGCTGCCGCTGTACTCCTTCTCGAGCGCAGCCAGCTCGTCGGGCTTGCTGCGCGAGATGGCCACGACGTGTGCGCGCGGCAGGCGAGAGGTGCCGCGCAGCAGCAGCGTGGCGGTGGCGAGACCGAGGCCGCGCGAGGCGCCGGTGAGGAGCACGACGGGAAGTGATGAGGGCATGGTGATGGTGATGGGAGAAGAGGTGCTGCACGACGAGCGCCGCGCAGCTTCGCCTGCAGCCGCCGACGCGCGCGCCCTCCACATCCCGGTGCACCGTGCATGCTTCGTGCTGGCGCTGCGCACAGGCACAGACGCAGCCTGCAGACACGGAGTAGAGCTCACACATGCCCTGGACGGAGCCAGCTAGCAGTCGGCCTTGTGCTCACACCTCGTCAGTGTCGCAGTGCGGCGCAGCGCTAGGCGCTGCCCCGCGAACGCAGTTGGAGGGATGCACAAGGCAGCGCTCTCGCCCTCTCCGTCATGACAAGATATCATTTTGCGAGGCGTACAAGGGGACATGAGATTGCTCTGCGGGACCGGGCGGATGGCTTTACTTGTTGCCGTCCTCGAAGCGCACGGGGCGGCGCTCCGTGTCGCCGTCGGACACGAGCACAACGGCGTACTTGCCGCTGATGCGCCAGCCCTTCTCCTCCTCGTCGAGGCGCTTCGACACCTCCTCCGGCACGCCGACGACGACCTGTGGGTGGGGTGGCGCGTGATGAGCGGCAGCGCTGTGCAACAACTGCGCGCGCGACTCACGTCGGACTTGATCGTGCGCAGCGACACGACCGGCGGCGCACCGTCCTCGCTGGCGAGCGGGCCAATGGCAATGTCGAAGGGCGTCTGCGACGGCGCCTGGCAGTCGTACGTGAGCTTGCTGTGGGCGCAAGAGGGTCAGCGATGCCGCACCAGCTGGCCTCATCAGCCACGCACCGGTGGTTGAGGTCGCCCTTGAAGTACACGCAGTCGCTCTCGGACAGGTGCAGGAACAGGTCGGGCGCCTCGCTGGGCAGCGACCAGAACGAGTAGCCCGTGCACCAGAAGGGGTGCTGCTCGTAGATCCACTGGCCCTCGTTCTCGTAGCCCTTCCAGCGCGTCGCGAGCTGCTTGAGCGACGCCAGCTCGGCGTCGGAGCCGTCGGGGAAGAGCGAGCCGTACATCATGCTGTTGAGGAGCCAGTCCCAGTCCTTGCGCGTCACGTCCGACACGAACCACGCAAAGCGCTTGCCGTGGAAGCGCACCTGCTTGGCGATGCCCGACTGGATGAGCCAGTCGGCTGTGGGAAGGCGTGAGTGTGGGGCAACCTCGGCGTGCGCGGCTGCTGCTCACCGTAGACGCAGTCGCAGTACAGCTCGAAGCCGGCGTTGTCGAGCACGAAGTCGATGCGGCCGTCCCTGCAGTGGAGTCAGCCTCGGCGCCGCGCACCACACGCACCGCCGCACGCACTTCATCTTCGACAGCATGTTCCAGATCCGCTCGATGTGGTTGCCGAGGATGTTCTTCTCCGTCGCGGCGAGGTGCTCGCCGCCGGTGCTCTGCAGGTTCTTGATGTCCTCCTCGGTCATGTTGATGAGCAGGCTGAGGTCCGTGGCGTTGCCCCAGAGGCACACCTGCGTCAGCTCGTGGAAGACGAGCTTGCGCGCCTCAAGCTTCTCGGCGTCCGACGCGTTGGCCTCGTAGTGGAACGGCTCAGCGAAGCGCGTGGACAGCTCAAACACGGCCGTCGACGAGCGCGAGAAGGTGTCGCACTTCTGGCGGAAGAAGACGTCGTAGTCCTTCCAGTACTTGGAGATGGAGAAGCACTCATGCAGGCGGCGGTACTTGTACGCCTCGGCGAAGAACCACGGGCTGTGTGGGGTTAGCGACGCGCCCTGTGCGGTGGCGCAGCGGCGGCGACTCACGCATCCATGAACGTCTTGCCGCGGAAGTAGCGCGCCAGCTCCTTGTTCCACAGTGCCACGTCGCCCTCGCCGTCGTCGATGATCGGCCTGCGTAGGGTCAGTGCTGCGCACTGCAGCGCCCGCCCTTCTCCGCACTCACCGCAGCTTGGCGTTGTTCTGCAGGTCCTTCATCAGCACCTGCATGCGCTCGATGCACTTGAGCAGGTCGACCATGCGCTCCTCGTCGCTCTGCTCGTTGAGCGTGCGGATCGTGTCGTCGATGGCCTTGCCGAGGATGGTGGGCAGGCGCTTGCCCATCGTCTCGTGCGCGAAGGAGAACTCGTGGTAGCCGCGGTACGCGGGCCACGGCGGGTTGTTCGGGTCGACGCGCGACGGCGTGCGCGGGTAGGACTGGGCAGGGGTCAGCGCCTGCGCTACGCGGCAGTACACCGGGCCACACTCACGCCGGCCGAGCCGAAGCCCTCGCGCTTGGGCGGCAGGTTGCCGAGGTTGAGCACGGTGCGCTGTGCGGGCTTGGACATGCTGGGCGAGAGTGGGGTGTGGATGGAGGGGTGCGGAGTGGGGCCGCGAGAGGGAGGTGGTGGAGCAGAGAGAGGGTGCAGCGTGGCGGCCGCGGCGGCTGTCAGGAAGAGCGCGCCGAGAGCAACAGGCACCAGGGGCGCCGAAGGGCCAAGAGAGCGCACGGGCATAGCGCAGCGGCGAGGCGGCAGGGCTCGCAATCGCGAATCGCTGCTCGAGGTCGAGGTCCGCTGCTGCACGCTGCCGCCGTGCCTGCTCATCGTGCAGCCATGCGAGCTGGGCCTTGCTGCCGTGCTGGAGGGTCGTGCTGCCCCTCTCGGCCTCTGCGGCTGTGCTCGGCGTGGCTCGGCGCGCGGCGGCGCCTGGCCCGCGCGCAGCGGCCTTCCCACGGGCCCAGCGCCCGTTCCTCCCCGCAGCCGATGCGCACGCCCCCTCTCTCCGCACGCCGCCCAAGGTTTGGCTCGCTCGGCAATCCCCGCGCGCAGGCCGCGGTCCGCCTGCCGAGCGCGCCTCCATCGCAGCCTCACCAACCTTGGACGGCACGAACCCCATCAAAGGAAAGAGCTGGAAGGAGCTGGCGCTGCCTCTTGACTCTCGAGCTTGCTGTGGCGCATCTTCCTGGGCAGCTGGCAGTGAGGAGGAGCCTCGAGCGTGAGTTTAGCCAGGCGCTGCACCCCTCTGCGCCCGCGACGCGCGCCGACGTCACGGCAAACGCCACGCCGCTCCGCCTGCAGCCTGCAGCGCAGCGCGCGCGCGGCGGCGACGCCTCGTGGCGCTCGCGACGGCGCGAGAAGGAACGAGGAGGGACGCGGACCGGCATGCTCCTCGCCGTCGAGCCCGAGCCGGAGCCCTGCTGCTTCTGGTGCTCGTTCAGGGTTCGACAGCCGCCGGACGGTACAGAGCGCCTCGGCTCGGACTGAACGTGAAGCTTCGCAGCGGCGGTGACATGCTCGACGGGTCGCCCTTCTAGAGACACAGCAGACAGGAAAGCCTAGCAGCCAGCACTCGTACACTCCGAGGCACGTCCCGTCGCCGTCGCCGAGGAGCTCCGAGGCAGTGCGGGACTCTCGAGCTGCTATAGGCCAAAGGCAGATCACCGATGAGAAGCTCGTCACACGCAGAGGGGGATGATCGTCATGGCATTGCACCAGCGTCTCAGCGCAGCGTTTGTGCGAGGAGCGGCAACAATGTATGTGCTCAGCACGCTCAAGCGTCGTAGTAGTACTGTCGAATGCGACGCCCAGTCAGCAGCAGCAGCAGAGTGGCGCAACGGCGCTACGCACCTTGGCGAAGAGCTCGGCGCACAGCTCGTCCTTCTTGCTGATGAGCTCCTTGAAGTCGGGGTTCTCCGTGTGCTGGCCCATGGCCTGGCCGTCCTTGTACTGCTCGACGATGGAGATGTACGTCTGCAGCGGGTGTGAGTGACAGAGCTTGGCATCGATGGCGGGCCGAGGCGATACTCACAGGGTCGTGCGCGCCCTGCATCACCTTGTACTGCGTGAGGAAGGTGCGTGAGCATGCTGTGCCGCACGCCGCTCTGCCACGTCTGATGCGCCTTGCACCACTCACGAAGAGGCAGCCGGGTTCCTCGCTCGAGTTGGCCTTCTTGCTGATGCGGTTGAGGATCTCGACCTGCGGCGTGTCGGCTCAGCATGCGCTGCCGGTGCTGAACGCTGCTAGCACTCACGGCATCCTTGGCGGCCTTCTCGCTCGTTGCCTTGATGGTGACGACGAGGTTGATCGGGCCGCCCGACGGCGGCTCCACTGGAGGAGGCAGGGCGTGAGCAAAAGCGGCGCATGCACAGGGCGGCAAGTGACGCACTGAGGTTGTCAGGCGTGATGTTGACCGGCATGCTGGGTGTGTTGCGGCGGGTTGTGGTGGTGATGAGATGCGGAGCGAGCGAGGCCCAAGCGGCGCTTTATGAGCCAAACCGGCCTCAGGGAGCAGCGGCCTGTGCGTCCGGCATCCCTTCGGCACCCCACGAGTCTCCGAGGCGGCGCGCGGAAGTGGAGAGCGGCAGAGCAGGTCCCGCTGGGCCGGCGGCATTCCCCGCTCCTCGGCTGCCGGCCCGTGCGCATCGACGCGCCCGAGCAGCAGGAACGCTCTGGCGGCGGGCGCAGATGCCGTCCGGCAGCGCAGCATGCGACAGCAGGCAGCTCCCTCGACGAAGCTTCAAGCTCGGCATGTACTGCTGCAGACTAGGTCAGGCCGCTGAAAGTTGAAGCAGCACCTGGGACGCAGCAGACAGGAGGTGGAGCGAGGGGCTGGGCTGGGCTTAAGTCCGGCGATCACGTGCTGCCTCGGACGACACGTACGGCTCGGCAGCACCCTGAGCTGGCGCGCTGCGGGGCCTGCATCCTTCGCAGCCGCCACCACCTCCCTCGCTCCTCCGCCATGGCAGACAACATCGCCAGCACCTCAGCCGAGCCATCGCTGTTCAAGAAGAAGTCGCGCGCGCCCCGCTCGCTGCGCAAGCGCAGCGTCTCGCCAGGCGGCGCTGCAGAGGGCGCATCGGCCGAGGCCTCCTCCTCCACCGCCGCTGCGTCCGAGTCCAACGTCGTGCAGCGCAAGGCACGGCGCACGCACAACCCGCTCGGCGCCAGCACGGGCCGCAAGCGCGCCAAGCTCGACCTCTCGTCGGACGAGAGCGACGACGACGCGGCAGACGTGGCGCCCGCACACCACCTCGACCGCCTGAAGCCGAGCGCGGGGCGCGGCAGCGATCTGGCCGGCCACAGCTGGGCGTCGGGCAAGGGCGATGGCTTCGCAGATCCGGCAGACGCGGCGCGCGGGCAGATTGCCTTTGGCATCGAGCAGGCGCCGGCGGGCGAGAAGGAGTCGAACGCAGACGGCGTCTATCGCGGCGCCGCGGCCTACGACTCGTACGTCGCCAAGCGCGACGATGGGCGGGCAGGCGCGCAGAAGGCGACGGGTCCGATCCGGCAGACGGCAAACGTGCGCACCATCACCGTCACCGACTACCAGCCCGACGTGTGCAAGGACTACAAGGAGACGGGCTACTGCGGCTTCGGCGACACGTGCAAGTTCCTGCACGACCGCTCCGACTACCTCGCCGGCTGGCAGCTCGATCAGCTGCCCAACTCGGCGGCGCGCAACGCCGGCGACGCAGAGAGCGAGGAGGAAGAGGACGTGCCATTCGCCTGTCTGCTCTGCCGCCAGGACTTTACTGACCCCGTCGTCACCAAGTGCGGCCACTACTTCTGCGCGGCCTGCGCCATCAAGCGCTACGCAAAGACGCCAAAGTGCTTTGCGTGCGGCGCACAAACGCAGGGCATCTTCAATGCTGCGACCAAGGTGCTGCAGCGCATGGAGAAGCGCAAGCAGGAGCGCGAGCAGGCGCGGCGGGACGGCCGCAAGGGCTGGGGCGATGAGAGTGGCGATGAGGAGGAGGACAGAGGCGGCGAGATGCTTGAGGGCGTAGAGATCGGCGGCGACGGGGCTCAGAGTGAGTAATCCAACAGCACGCAGCCCTCGGATTGGCAGCAAGCAAGTGCTTTGAGATTGTGTGCGTGCAGTGTGTGCCGAGTGAGATGACCTGCGAGCCGCAGCGATGTCCAGACGGCAGGGGTGCGCTCTCGTGGAAGGCTCTGCTGCGAGATCCGCCCGCTCGTATCGCCTGGTCTTCTCGAAACCCCGTCCTTGCGCAGCACCCTGGGTCTGCATTGCCGGCTCTCCGACGTCCGAGCTCTCGCCTGCGGTTGCTTTGCCTCCCGCATGTCATCGCCGGAAAGAGAGCGACCGACGCCCGTCCTCGGGGAGCTTAGGTCGGCCCGTAGCGTTCCGCGAAAGTGGCTGGCGGCTTCATCATATCGCCAGAGCACTCTGCGGAGAAGCGATGCCGGGAGCAAGAGTTTGTGCGAGAGCGGCGGTGGCTCCCCGCAGGCCGGACTGTTCCAGCTGCTGGAAATAGATTGAGCTGGGCGGACCCGACGGGCGCGGGTGAAAGCAGCGGTACGCCTGCATGCCTGCGCCGAGATCTGCCCTCGTCAAGCGAGGTGCCCGCTTGCGGCGCTCGCATCCGAATAGCCAGCTGCTGACAGTCGACGTCAAGGAAAAGAGGCGCCTTGTTGCCGGCGGTCTGGTGTCGAGGCAGCGCAGCGCAGCGGAGGCAATCCTGCATCTGCATCTCTGCGGCGCCCGTCTAGCGCGCCGGCTCGTGCTGCGCTAAGGCCGCAAGCGCCCGAGGCGTGTCTTTGCGAGGTGACGGTGCTGGCCCGCCGCCGTGATGATCAGTTGGGCAGCCTCTGTGCAGTGTCAGGGTGCAGCCGATGCAGCTGGCAGCGGCAAAACAACGTCGCCGACCGTCGCCGACGCACAAGGGAGGTGCCGGAGGCGGATGACCCTGACGTGCAGCTGCGGCAGCGGGACGACGCAGCTGTCACCCATCACGGCGCAAGGCGGCGTCTGCCGGCGGCGCTGCGGCCGGAGTGCAACGCCTGCACGCACCCTCGCAGCTCTCCTGCATCCGCCGCCCGCTGCATCAGCCGCAGCCGCAGCGACGCTCCGTCTGTGCCGAGGTGCTGTGGCAGAAGCGCCGCTTCCATGCCAGCTGCCATGCGTGCGTCTGAGCTGCGGCCGAGGCGGCGGAGGCGCCTCGTCTTGCGCACTCCGCCGCTCGCGGCGTGCGCGCGCGACTTTAGGCGCGCGTCCGCTAGCGCGCTTTTGCGGTGCGCCGCGGAGGACGGCGAGGAGAGCACTCCGGCACGGCTGCGCTGCCGCGGCAAGCCCCACTGCGCCGCCGGCCAAGGAGCTGGGCTGCCTGCTGACGACGACGACGACGACGACGAGCCGGGTACAAGGCCGAGCCGGGCCAGCCACTTCTCTGCTCAACACCATCACCACCACCGCCGAGCTCGACGCCGAAGCTCGCACCTGCCGCTGCTCCCACGACGCAGCCGCGCTCTTTGTGTCACCCACCGGGCGGCGCTCGGCTCTTGTCCCAGCAGCTGGGCCCCTCTCAGCGGCAGGGCTCATCGATCAGCAGCGCATCAGCGTCTCTCTTCTCCTCCGCATCCATCTCCTCCGCCTCGTCTACGCTCCGGCAGCCCGCTCCTCGCACGCCCTCCACCAGCTGCGCATACGCACCCCGCGCGTGACACATGGCCGCTGCGGCGGCGCCAGGAGCCGGGCGCTTCCTGGCTGTCTGCGGCGCCGTCTGCCTGCTCGCAGCCGCGGGCGCAGCTGCCTCGCGCCTCGACGATGCGCCCGCGGCGCTGCTGTACGAGCGGGCTGCCGAGGCAGCGCAGCTGGGCCGCCGCGCCTCGGCGGTGAACCCGAGCGACGACTCCGTCTTTCTCCACCTCGACGCGGAGCACATCCAGGCGCTGGTCGCAGGGTAAGTCACCTTCGACGTCTGCGTGCGCATACCTTCGCTCATCGCTGCGTCGCAGGCTGGTGATCGTCTCGTTCTGGCTCGGCGCCCTCGGCTGGGACGTGCTGAGCACGCTGGGCTTCGACTACATCCTGCTGCGCCAGACGCGCTGGCGCTCCATCCCATCCGCCGTGCACTCGCTGGCCTACCTGCTCTCGCGCTATGCCAACGTCGCTTGGCTCGTCGTCACGGCGACGAGCACCATCACGCGTACGGACCAGTGCACGCAGCGGGCGAGGCTCAGTGCGGGCCTGTTCGCTGTCGGTCTCTGCTCGAGTGAGTGCCGCCGTGGAAGCGCCTGCCAACCACCACCGTGCTCATGCCGTCGTCGCTGCAGCCACGCTCGTGTTCCTGCTCCGCACGCTTGCGCTCTGGCACTTCCAGCTGCGCGTGGTGGTGCCGCTGACCGTGTCCTGGCTGCTCGTCGTCGCCTGGTCGGCAGTGATCCCGGTGCAAACCGTCATCCGCCCGCTGGCCGGCGGCTTCTGCGACTGGACGCTTGACCACCTCGGTGCCGTGTACCTCTTCGCCTTCGTCTTCCTCTTCGACGCCCTCGCGCTGGCCTTCACCGTGCTGAAGCTCAATCGTGCGGGCTGGCGTGGCCTGGTGCGTGGCCTGCTGCCGCAGACCGGCGCCGACATCCGCGGCGAGGACGCGGTGTCTGTCATGCTCGTGCAGCGCACCACGGCGTTCTTCGTCCTGCAGTACGCTCTGCTCATCAGGTGAGTGCCGTGGTCTGGCAATATTTCGCCCCTGCTCACCCTCTCCGCAGTGCGATCGTGCTGTACACGCGGTCGCGCCATGCAGCGTACCGCCTCGTCCAGATCGTCGCCTGCCAGGCCGTGTCTGCCATCATGGCTGGGCGCCTCTTCCGCAAGTCGTGGCGGTTGACTCGCGGCAAGAGCACAGCCCAGGCATACGCCGCTCCGCCTCGCTACTCGTCTGCCTCGGCAGACATCGGGCGGCGCGACTCGGAGCGCCCCGACGACGGCGGCATCAGCGAGGTGCCGCTGCACGCCGCACACGTCCGTCCGGACGATCTGAGCAAGGAGAGCGTGTACGTCGAAGGCGACTTCCCTCCGCTGTTCAGCCCCGGCAAGCGCCTCTCCGTTCGCTCCCTGGGCCACGCGCGCGACTTGCCGACGTCGGTCGATGCGGCACTTGAGTCGCAGGACTCCGTCTCGGTTCGCATCGAGAGGCAAGACGGCGACGTCGACCTGACTCAGCATGAGAAGCGCATGACGCTCTCGCGCTGGCCGGGCGATCCGACGTGGCGGATCGATGCGCCAAATGTGGTCCCAGCGCTGGACATGTACGGTGCGGCGTCGCCGCCGCGCACCGCTGAGCGGCGCTCGGTCACTTCGCGCTCGTCGTCGAACCATCACGCCAGCCGACCATGCACGGGCGACACGCCACCATCGACCAGCAGCCGCTCGGCTGAGCGACGTGGCTTTGCCGGCCTCGCCGAGGCGTTCCACGACAGCATGTCGCGCAGCCACGACCCGCCTGCTGCTGCGCCCTCGCGGGTGCGCGTCCGGCCAGTCACGTCGCCGTCCGACGTGCGACTCGACATCGACCAGCCGCCAGAGCGCAGCCGGCTCTGTCTCGACCTGCATGCCTACCACTCGCAGGGCGGCGAAGACGGCTCCTCGTCGCTGGCGAGCAGCGCCATGCGCGGCTCGATCAGCTCGCGCCTGTCGGCGCCGCTGCTGCGCAACACTGACTCGTGGCACGAGTCCGTCGCGGGCTCGCCTATCGCCCGTCCACGGAGCACTCGACGACGACCTCGCGACGCGATCGTCGATAGTGCCACGTCAGCCGAGCGCCGTCTGGATGAGCACGCCCGGTGGCGCTACGCCCACGACGACGGCAGCAGCTCGGCAGACGGCTCGATGCGCACGATTCGCGCCAACGCCGGACGCGCTCGCTCTGGTAGCGACGGCACGGCCATCGCTCGTCACTCCTCACGTTCCTTCCTCGCATCGCCGGCCATCAGCGGCGGAGCTGCGCTCGGCTCGCCGCGCGAGCGCCACACCTACGACCTCGATGCCCTGCGGGCGGCGGCGCACATCCCTGATCCTGCCGTCTCGCCTACTTCGCAGCCCGCCGCTCTGCCTTCCTCGCCGCCAGTCTCTTCTTCTGGCCGCATTGCCGCACATGCCGCGCAGCGCATGTCGCAGTCTCCTGCCTTGTCGTCGTCGGAGGGAGCCGAGCGTTCTCGCACCCGAAGCGTGGCGGCGCTCTCCCGTCAAACGCGCACGAGCTTCTCGGCATTCGCAGCCGACGACGACGGCGACGATGCGCTGCATGCCTTCAGGCAGGTCATCGATGCCGATGCAGCTGCGCGTGCCATGCGCCCCAGCGTCTGGACATCTGCGAGCTCGGCCGCTGGCGACGATGCCGGACGCCCGCGCACCTCACGCGGCGCTGCACTTGGTGCTTTCGGCCAGCCCAGACTGGGCACAGCCGACGATGCAGACGAGACTGCCCGCCCGACTACCAGCCACAGCCGCGGCGCCCGACGCTCGCCGCGCGCCTCAGTGCCCGAGGCTGACTTCGAGACGCCCTTCCTGCACGAGGTGCCAGCTCTGCCTTCTCAGCCCGCCGCGCTGCCCGACGCCGACGCGGCCGCGCAGCCCGAGTCGTTCATCGCCGAGCAGTTCGAGCGTCTCGCTGCGGCTGCTGCACGCCCTTCAGCCGAGTTTGGCATGCGTCTCGACTCGCTCTCGCCGCCGCCGTCGCCCGAGATGACGCGCTCTCCTTCGCTTGCATCGAGCCACGACCTGCACATGCGCTGAGCTGCGCTCGCCCGCACCGCATCCTCCCTTGCCCCACCTTTGACCCTCGCTCATTCCTCCATCACACCCTGCCTGTGCGCACTCATTCACTCGATACCACCCTCTGCATTCAGTCCCGTGCGCCGCAAGGCAGCCAAGTCATTCATTCATTAGATCAAGAACGTCAGAGAGAGAAGAGAACTTAGGAGACGGAACGAGGTAAGGAGAACGGGGAGCCTTTTCGAGGAGACGCAAGCCGAGAGAGCGGGCACTCAGTAGCGCGGGCGCGGCGGCGGCGGGTCATCGTAGCCACCACGGCGCGGCGGAGCGTCGTCGTAGCGACGCGGCGGCGGCGCATCGTCGTAGCCGCCATGACGAGGCGGCGGCGGGTCGTCGTAGCCACCGCGGCCGCCGCCCGGCGGACCACGGGGCGGGTAGTCACGCGGAGGGTAGTCGCGCGGCGGGTAATCGCGCGGCGGACCACGGTCGTAGCCGCCGCCGCCGCGAGGGGGACCGTAGTCGCGCGGCGGACCGCCATAGCCTCCACCAGGAGGGCCTCCGTAGCCTCCGCCCGGCGGGCCGCCGTAGCCACCGCCGTAGCCACCGCCGTAGCCGCCGCCGTAGCCGCGAGGAGGCAGGTCGTCTGGAGATGGAGCGTCAGGCTTTGCGACAGGCTGCATGATGCAGGTGTACTCACTGGCCTTCGGCGGTCCGTAGTAGCGGCCGGGCGTGGGCGTGCGTCCGCGTCCGCGACGGGCCTGATGTAGACATAGTTCGTCAGCCGAGAGCAGAGAGAGCCACCAGGAGGCACGACGCACCAGCTTGACGGAGATGTTGCGGCCGTGCAGCTCCGCGCCATCAAGCGCCGCAATGGCCGCCGTTGCATCGTCAACCTCCTCCATCGTCACAAAGGCAAAGCCGCGCGGCTCGCGCGAGTGCGGGTCGTACATGATCTGCGTCTTGGCGATCTGCGGCACGGGTGTCAGTCACAGGACACGCGCGCAAAGCAGGGGCAAGGGACACTCACCTTGCCGTACTTGGAGAACATCTCCTCGAGCTCGCCCTCGGTCGTCTTGTAGCTCAGGCTCGAGATGTGCATGTTGCGGCCGTCGTTCGGGTTGTCGTTGCCCACCGGCATCGGCGGGCTGCAGAGCGACCGTTGTGAGCCGGCCGAGACCTAATGCTACGCCGCGACATAGTGCGCATCTATGCCACGCCACGCAGAGCGAGCAGCAACACTCACCGTCCACGGTCATAGTCGCGCGGCGGCGGTCCACGGTCGTCGTAGTCACGACGCGGCGGCGGGCTGCGCTCGCGGCGCTCGCTGCCACGGTCGTCGCGCAGCGGGCTGCGCTCACGCTCGCGGCGAGGCGGCGTGCCGGCGCCGTTGCGCGGCGCAGGCGAGATGCTGCGACGCACAGGACGGTCTAGTGATGACGAATGGACCAGACGAGATTGTCAGCGATGAGGAGGCGAGTCGTGAGCGGTGACGTGACGTCGAAAGAGGCGTTCGGACGGGAGAGGAAGAAGATCGGCTGGCCGCGATGCAAGCAGGTCTGCCGGATCGCGAATGCAGAGGACTGCTTCGTAGACTAGCGTGTCGAGCACGCGACGGGCTGCCGTGTCGCAGCTAGGCGACGCTCTGCCGTCTCGGCATAGCGGGAGATGCGCTGCCGAAGACAGGAGCAGCAGAGGCGAGCTCGTCTGCTAGTCGAAACGGCGTGGCCGAGGGGCGACATGACGTGTGGGCCGAAGCGTCTGCAGAACGGGTCGAGACGAGGCGAACGAGTCGGAGCGCAGTGGATGACACAGCACTGTGATGTCTCGAAAGGATGCAGTGCCGCTGGCAGGATGCTGCAAGTGCCGAGAGGCGTGGGCAGCAAGCTGGGCGTAGCCCGACGAACCGAGGACACAGCCAAGCGCCGTCGCGAGACTGGGCCGACGCGAGGCCTGACGTGTCTCGAGCACGTGTCCCAAGACGTGGCGGCGATGGATGCCATGCGTGCGGCCTGGGCTGGCGCGCAGCAGGCGAGGCGAGAGTAGAGGCTGTGGTGCAGACGGACGCGCGCGAGAGGCAGGTGGAACGACGGCCGAGGAGCGACGCGCTGCGCGCACGCACGCTCTACGGCGGCGCACGCAGCAGCGTGCGGGGAAGAAGTGACGCACCGTCGTTGTCTCTGTCGGCCATGGTTGGATGCGGGCTGCTTGGAGGTGGTGGAGAAGCGCACGGAGCAGAGCCGCGAGCTTCCCGTCGTCGCCTTCTCACGCCCCGCAGCGCGAAGCACGCCACGGCCGAGGCGGCGCACCGCCCGCCGCCCGCCTGCGCTGGCAGCGGCAGCGGCGCGGCGCGTCGTCGAGCCTTGCGGCCGCTGCTGGCCTGCTGCACGCTGCCTGCTGCGGGCGCCGCCGTCGCGCGCCGGCTCTGCTGACGCGCCCTCGGCTGCGCGTGCGGGCACGGGAGCAGTGTGCTGCATGCTGCGGCGCGGCGCGGGCGCGGCCGCCTTATAAGGCGGCATACTTGCGCCCACGCGCCCGCGCGCCCGCTCGCTCCTTCCCTCCGCTCCACGTCCTCGCACGCGCCGCGCACCGCCGCCAGCCTCTCTGCCGTCTGCACGCCCGCAGGCACCGCTGCTGCTGCCAGTGCTGCGCGCACGCCGTCGTCGTCGTTCACGTCACGAGCCAGCCTCGTCTTTCAGACGCACCAAAAAAACACATCAGCCTCGCGTTTCAGTCGTTCGTTGAGCTAGATTCGATCGTGCACCGCGTCCGCCTGCTAGAGGCCACTCGCGCGCGCGCCGGCTCGCCCCTTCTCCAATCGCGACGATGGCCGTGGGTGTCGCACTGCCCGGCGCGTCGGGTGCCGCAAAGGGCGCCTCGGCCGCGTCGCCGCCGGCAGAGGGCAGCAGCAGCAAGGGCAAGGGCAGCAGCGGCGATGTCGTCGACCGCGCCGCCCTCGCCGCGCAGCACCCCGTGCCGCACGGCGAGAAGGAGGCCATGAGCCTCGAGCAGCAGCTCGCCAGCGTGCATGGCATCGTGCCGACCCTGCAGTGAGTCATTGCCCTGGCTCCTGGCTCGCCATCGTGTAGCACCGCCCCGCATGTATGGGCCGTGGTGGTCTCGACTCGCGCGTTTCAGAGCACCGAGTCTGACAACATCCGCCGTCCCTGCTGTCCGCTCTCGCTCCCTCCTTGTGCTGTGCCCCTCCTGTAGAAACATCGTCGCCACCGTCAACCTCGAGGTCCGTCTCGACCTCAAGACGATTGCGCTGCATGCGCGCAACGCCGAGTACAACCCTAAGGTGAGCCTGACATCCGCCGCGTTCCCTTGCTGCCCACCAACTCACACCACCGCAGCGTTTCGCTGCCGTCATCATGCGTATCCGCGAGCCCAAGACGACGGCCCTCATCTTTGCCAGCGGCAAGATGGTCGTCACGGGCGCCAAGAGCGAGGACGACTCGCGCCTGGCGAGCCGCAAGTACGCGCGCATCATCCAGAAGCTCGGCTTCGAGGCGAAGTTCAGCGAGTTCAAGATCCAGAACATCGTCGGCAGGTGAGTCGCGGAAGCACGCCCGTCTTCCGTTCTTGCACGTGCTCATGCTCCGCACGCAGCTGCGACGTGCGCTTCCCGATCCGCCTCGAGGGCCTGGCCTACGCCCACGGTCACTTCTCGTCGTACGAGCCCGAGCTCTTCCCCGGCCTCATCTACCGCATGGTCAAGCCCAAGGTCGTGCTGCTCATCTTCGTCAGTGGCAAGATCGTCCTCACGGGCGCCAAGGTGCGCGACGAGATCTACCAGGCCTTCAACGCCATCCTGCCCGTGCTCTCCGAGTACAAGAAGCCTTGAAGTGGCTGGCTCCTCGTCGACGCTTCACGCATCGCCTTCTCGTCACTCGTCACGCACGCATCAAGACACTCTCAAAAACCCAACTAATCGCAGCGCAGCCGCGCTCTGGTGGCGCGCACGGCGGGCAGATCGACACTTCCACGTCTCTGTCTGCGTGCGCCCTCGGCTTCACACCCCTCGCAGCCGCACCAAAGCGCACCTTCTTCCCAATCTTCACCCAGCATTTCCCTCCACACTTGTTCCTCCCTCCCCACCCCTCTTGTGAAGCTCCACGCAGCTGTCCCACCTCGATGTCATCTTGTACTCTAATCACACGCTTTGTTGTCGTGCTTGTCTGCGGAGATCCGCGCGTGCTGTGCTCATTCAGTCGAGCGGCGCCAAGCCGAGATGGGAAGGGCCGGCCCACCACAACGGTCGAGACTGGGAGGCCGTGTCGGAGCAAGGATGCTGTTATATGCGCTGGGAGCCTCGCTCGAGCTGTCGAAGCGCGAACGCGTTCATGTGCCGCAAAGGAGATTCACTAAGCCGCTCTGCAGCAGCACGGATGACACGCCACTTCGCGGCGGCATGCTGATAAACAGCTGGCAGCGCCGCAAGAGGCGCAAGAAGGGTCCTGAGCAGGAGAAGGGTGCGTGCTTGCTCCCGGCCGGCGCGCAAAGGCTGCGCATGCGACCTCCATGATCAAGTCTGCTGATGCTTTACGCCACGCACCACAGGACCCGGTCAACACCTCATGAAGGTCTCTTGCGACACCCAGAAGCCCAGTGGCACGCTCTGCCTTGGCCTGCGCACCAACTTCTTGGTGCTTTGGGACGCAGGGTCGGTGAGTATGAGAACCGTGCCACGTGTCAATGTGCTGACCTCACTTCTTGCTGTCAAGTGCCGCAGACCGTTGACAAGGCGTGGCCCGTCAAGTGTCAGTGCCTTGTGCGCAAATTGCTTGCGATCCTTGTTCTTGACAGCCTGCACAAGAAGGGCGGCAACGGCCTCAACAAGCTGCTCGGTCCCGCCTCTGTGGCATTGGCAGTGCAGACCTCGACATCAACCTCTCTCAGCAAGCTCCGCGGCAAGATCTAGAATGTCCGTCGTCTCCGGCAGCATGACAGGCGCGCTCATCCACACTGTACTGCACCGAGTGCACGGCGGCGCCCATACGTCGCTCAACTCACACGCGCCGTCGTCACTGCCGTCATCGACGCAACCTGGCTCACCATCGTTCTTGATGATGGCATGTCAAAGCCGCCCACATGCGTGTGCTAGCGCAGTGAATCCTCTGCAGCGTCTCCGCAATCCTCCCTCCGGGCCCGCGCTGCGCGCCCTTTAGCCCGCGGATGCACATCAGCAGTCGCCAGATGCCAGCCACACGATGCTGTGCTAAGCTTGTATTGTATGCGCGCACCTCTATCGTGCATCCTCCCTTCCGCCTCTCTCGTCCCTCGACGAGCCCACGGCGCCCTAGCCCTTCCCAACGCACATCCTCACAGAGCGCCAGTCTCCTCTGCGAGATGTGTCCCTGACTTTTGAGCTATTCTCACAGGGGCCAGGCCTGCGTCAGTGCTGCGACTTGGAGGTCCGGAAACTGCTTCCTGGCTCGGGAACGCCTTCTAGAACTCGAGCCGGCGAGGCACGGCTGTGCGCGCCGCACTCGTTTGCCGTGCTCGCAACCAACACGCCAAGCACGACGAGACGTCCTGCAGGCGCTCGCTGGACATGCGTGCGCCATGTAGACTGTATCTCATGAGAAGGCGAAGGGTGCGCGCGCCCAAGCCACGCTTGCACGCTCGCTTCGAGTGCTGGTTTTGCGGTGTCTGCCCGCTTGCCGACACCACAACGCTTCCACAACGCACAGCAACTCGGCACTGCAGACTCACTCATCTCAGTGACTCAAGAAGCGTCTCCCTTGCGCACGTCTCCTTGCCAGCATCTTGCGTCCGCCGCGCGTGCGCAGGCGCGCAAGGAAGCCATGCTTGCGCTTGCGCTTGCGCTGCGACGGCTGGTACTCTGCGCCGTAGGTGACGAAGCGCACGCCTGACGGTGCAGCTGCGTGGGTGCGCGGGGCGATGCGTGCCGAGAGAGGAGTGGAGAGACGAGGAGAGAGACGTGCGGCGAGTGGCTGCCGCGGAGAGAAGAGGGCGCCGGAGCGTGCTGCGGCGGCGGGCACGGCGCGCGGAAGAGTGCGCGAAGGGGCAGGAAGCAGCACACTGCGACTGCTGCTGCTGCTGGCGGCGCCTGCGCTGGTGCGCAGCGAGCGCAGGAGATTGAGGCGCGGCATGGCGAAGGACGGGTGGAGAGGAAGGAGGCAGCGAGCAGGGCCGTGGGCAGCAGCACAGCGCCGCAGGCTGAGGCGATGCATCGCGCACGTGACCGCACGCGCTGCCGCCCCTGTGCCGCGCCGCCGCGCGCCTCGCTCGCACCAGGGGCTCGCCCGAGCACGGCAACTTCTACTCAGGAGCAGGGGGCAGCGGGGGCAAATGAAGGCAGCTGGTGACCTCAGCACGGCTCCCTCTGCGAGGCCTGACATGGCCGAGAGGACGTTGGAGGGCCATGAGGCGAGAGAGAGAGCATGGCGGAGCGGCGTGTGCGAGAAGGAGGTAGAGCAGAGGCGGCGGCGCTCTCATGCGCCGGGCGCGCGCCTGCCGTTGCCGGCGCGGTGCCGCGGAAGTGACGCAGCGCGCAGCTCAGGGGCTGCTTTTGATGCACAGCCGCCGCGCCGAGCAACACCTGATGCGCCTGCTGCTGCTGCTGTGAGCGGGCGCACCGGCCGCCGGCACCTGCTTCTGCTCCTCCATCTCCCGCCCTCGCTGACCCCGCTCGCCGATACCCGCCGCGCTCGCGCAGGCTCCTCAAGCTCGCCCTCTAGCAGCCCGCAGCCGCGCGCTCGTGGCTCCACACGCCGCACACGCATCATCACCGCCGCGCCTGAGCACGCGCACACAGCAGCCAGCGCTCCTCTCGCCTCGCTGCTCGACGGCCCAGCCGCACCCCGCAGCGCCCGGCGCCATGTCCGCGCGCAAGCCGGCACCCACCTACGCGCCGTCGCCCTACGCGGCGGGCGAGGAGGAGGAGGAGCTGGCCGCGGCGTATGCGCCTTACGGCGCCAGCAGCGGGCACGCGCCCGAGCTCTCGGCCAGCTTCTACCACGAGGCGGCGGCTGCGCTGCGCGCCGTCTCGCCGGCCGCCACGGCCAGCAGCCACGGGCAGCATGCGCAGCAGAGCAGCACGCCCAACCCCTTCCTAGGCACGCCCAGTGCCTACGCGCCCGCGCCCAACACCTACGCCGCCACGCCGAGCGCATATGCCGGCACGCCGGCGGGCGGCGCCAACCCCTTCACCTCGCCCGCAGACTCCTACATTCCCTCCTACTATGCCTCGGCCGACGCAGACGTCGAGCGGCTCGCCTCGCCCGCCCACGCGCACCACCACGCGCTGAGCCCGGGCAGCGTGTACGACGACAACACAGAGGTGGCGCACACGCCGATGCCGGCGCTCTCCTATGCGCAGCATGCGCCGCCGCACGACGCCTACGCGCCACCGGCAGATGCGTACGCCGCGTACCCCGGCTACGCCGAGCAGGAGGAGCAGGAGGTCGGCTATGGCTATGAGAAGGAGTGGAGCCGCCTCTCGCACGACGGCGCAGGCGACGGCAAGGAGGAGTGGCGGGAGGAGGAGCGCGACCATGAGGCCGAGGCAGAAGTGGAGATGGAGCAGGAGACGATGCACTTCGGCCCGGCGCCGGCCCGAGGAGCGCAGCTGCGGCGCAACAAGACTCGCAAGGCGGTGCGTGCAGGACCTCGGCTGCTGCTTCCCCGGCTTGCCGCGCCTTGCTGACACTCTCTCTTCACAGGTCAAGCTGACGCAGGGCAACCTCGTGCTCGACTGTCCCGTGCCGACGAAGCTGCAGAGCTTCCTGACGCGCCGCGGCGACGACGAGTTCACACGCATGCGCTACACTGCCGTCACTTGCGACCCGGACGACTTTGCCTCGAGCCACTTTACCCTGCGGCCCGCCATGCTGAGTGCGTCTTGTGCTTCGTGCTGCGACATGACTAATCGCTGATCCGCTCCTGCCGTAGATCGCCATACTGAGCTCCGTGCGTAGGAGCTGCGGACGCGGGCGAGCTTGCGGCTGACCGACGGATCCTCTGCGCGCAGACATTGCCGTGACGATGTACAACGAGGACGAGCTGCGTGGGTGCTGCGCTGATCCGCCAGGACATGCCAAGCTGACCCTCTCTCGCAGTGTTCACGCGCACGATGCACGGCGGTGTGTCTTGCTGCAGTGTTGCGCCACCGCACCTCCAGCTGACCTTCCTCGCGCGCCAGTGATGAAGAACATCGCGCACCTCTGCTCGCGCAACAAGAGCCGCACGTGGGGTCCCGATGGGTGGAAGAAGGTGGTCGTGACCATCGTGGCCGATGGCCGCAAGAAGATCCACCCGCGCGTGCTCGACTGCCTGGCGGCGCTCGGCGTGTACCAGGAGGGCGGTGAGCAGACGCGAGCGCGTGCGGGAGAAGGCGGCGCAGGCTGACCGCACTGCCGTGCAGTGGCCAAGAACATGGTCAACGGCAAGCGCGTCAAGGCGCACATCTACGAGTACACGACGCAGCTGTCGATCGACTCGAACCTGCAGTTCAAGGGCGCCGAGCGCGGCCTGGTGCCGATGCAGTGAGTGTCGCTGCGACGGATCGCCCAGCTCAGCTGCATCGCTCACGCCCGCTCCAGGATCGTCTTCTGCATGAAGGAGGTCAACAGGAAGAAGATTGACTCGCACCGCGCGAGTCCGCCTGCAGCGCCCGCTGCTCGTCGCTGTGCTAATACGCCTGCCCGCAGTGGTTCTTCAACGCCTTTGGCCCGATCCTGCAGCCCAACATCTGCATCCTGCTCGACGTGGGCACGCGGCCCGAGGCAAAGTCGATCTACCACCTCTGGAAGTGCTTCGACCTCTGCAGCTCCGTCGCGGGCGCCGCGGGCGAGATCCAGGCCGACACACGCGGCAAGTGGGGCCTCGGCCCTGCGCTGCTCAATCCGCTCGTCGCGTGCGTGCGGCAGCAGGTGGTTTGGTCTCGAACTAGTGCTAATCCGCCGTCCGCTCTTGCAGCGCGCAGAACTTCGAGTACAAGATCAGCAACATCCTCGACAAGACGACGGAGAGCATGTTCGGCTTCATCTCGGTGCTGCCTGGCGCCTTCTCTGCCTACCGCTACGTCGGTCAGTTGGTGCACGCACCTCTGCCCTCTGCGGCGCGCCTGCTGACGTCCTCATCGCCTGCAGCGCTGCAGAACGACGAGCTCGGCCGGGGGCCGCTGGCATCGTACTTCAAGGGCGACAACATCGAGGGCGTCGAGCAGACCTTCTCGCATGCCAAGTGCGTGGCCGCGCGTGCCAGATGTCTCTGCCCCGCTCACTCCGCTCCTCTCACCTCAGCATGTATCTCGCCGAAGATCGCATGCGAGTAGCCTTCTCCAGCGTTGCGCTGCGCCCCTCTCTGACCTCCCGCGCAGTCTGGCATTCGAGCTGGCGGCAAAGCGCAACGAGAGCTGGGTGCTGCGCTACGTCAAGAGCGCGCGCGGCGTCACCGACGGTGCGGCTGCGCACGTCCGCGCATCTCGGACAGCACGCTGACGCTGCTCGCACCAGTGCCCGACACGCTGCCCGAGCTCATCAGCCAGCGCCGTCGCTGGCTCAACGGCTCCTTTTTTGCAGCAGTGAGTGCCAGGAGTCGGCCGCCAGCTGATCTCCCTGGGCTCACGCATTTGCGCCGCAGCTCTTCTCGCTGCGCAACACATTGCAGTTCATGCAGACGGCACACGGCTTCTGGCGCAAGGTGTCGCTCTTCATCGAGGCGATCTACAATGCCGTCAACCTGATCTTTGCCTGGCTGAGCCTGGGCAACTTGTGAGCTGCCGGAGAGAGACGCGAGTAGCTGCCGCGCTGACACCCTGCTCGCAGCTACATCTTCTTCCGCCTGCTGACGCAGTCGCTCGAGTCGAAGGAGTTCAGCCTCAAGGGCATCGGCTACGTCAACGTCGCCGCGCAGTACCTCTACCTCGGCACCACAATTGGCTGCTTCATCCTCGCACTCGGCAACCGGCCGCAGGGCTCGCCGTGGAAGTTCCTGGCGTGCGCCGCCATCTATGCCGTGCTCACGGCCTACATGATGGTCGCGGCCGTGCTGTGCCTCGTCAAGGCCGTGCGCAACGCCGAGCACGACGCCATCTACTCGCAGATGGTCTTCAGCGTGCTGGCCACGTACGGCGTCTACTTTATGGCCTCCGTCATCGCGCTTGACCCGCTGCATTTGATCACGAGCTTCGCGCAGTACTTGCTGCTGGCACCGACGTACACGAACATCCTGAACACGTACGCCTTTGCCAATCTGCACGACTGTGAGTTGCAGCCGCGGCCGGCGAGGTTCCGCGCGACGCTGACGACGCCGCAGTCTCGTGGGGCACAAAGGGCATCACCGCCGACGCAAACGACCTCGGCACCGTCGTGTCGACGGGCAAGGGCACGGTGGAGGTGGTGCTGCCCACGGCGCAGGCGGACATCGATCTCGAGTACGACAAGTCGCTGCACAACCTGCGCACGCGCCCTATGATCATCCGCGGCGAGGCGGCGCGCGAGGAGAAGGACGCCATGCGCCAGGACTGGTTCCGCGACATTCGCACAAACGTGCTGCTGCTCTGGGTGCTCAGCAACGCCATCCTCGCCGCGTTCATCCTGGGCGGCGACAATGTCGGCACATTTGATCCGGGCAGCGGCACGACGCGCAGCAAGGTGAGCAGCGCAGACGTCCAGTGCGGCGCGCAGGCATGGCAGCTGACCCCTTGTTCCTCCCAGGTGTACATGCTCGTCATCCTCGTCTTCATCGGCGCCATGTCCTGCGTGCGCTTCGGCATGTCGACGCTCTTCATGATACACCGCCTCTTCGTCGGCTAGGCCCGGCCAGGCGCCCTCTCTGTTCTCTGCTAATGCGCGCGCTGCGCAGCCCTAACGACCTTTCCCTCCTCGCGGCGGCATGTCCCGTCGCCTCATCCGGACGTGCTCGCCCTCTGCTCCTGCCGCTGCCTGACTCGTCTCTGCTTCTCCTATGCCGCCCTTGTTGACGACCTGCCGCACCAACGCTGTACCACGAGACCTCTCGAATGTGTCACTACTGCTGCTGCAAGACGCCGTGTACCAGAGCGGGTGTAGAGTGTAGCGTGCCTCATTGGGAAGGACCCTCGCCGAGCACACGTGGAGAGCCGTTGGGCCCGAGCGAACAGCCACCAGCGCCCTCCAACGGAGGACCCTGCATGCGGCAGACGCCGAGTGGACTGCCAAGTGCTGCACAGCGAAGTGGCCCGGCACGCGGGGTCAGGAGCAGGATAAGCATGACGAGTACGGCGCGACGCCGCCAACGCCGTGGCGCAAGAGGAGCGAGGGCCTCGCGCCAACTTCTACGCTGCTCCCGAACGGCAAGACGGGTGGGCGAGGCGAGCGCCTGACAGCCGTGTCGAGAGAGACGCACGTCCGCCTGCACCTGCGCCAGCGATGCACCAGCAGCGAGCGGAGGCAGCGACTGGCACATCAACAGATCGTCGCCGCAGCCGCGGCCTGCGGGGTGCAGGCGAGGCGAGCATGCGGCGAGCATGTGGTCCAAGCGTGCGCAAACGCGAAAGCCGGACCCGAAGCCCTCACGAGTTCACGACGTCAGCATCCGCACGCCGCGTCCGGCGCTCGAGCTTTCTCTCGTGTGACAGGACGCCGCGTCATGCCACGTCTCGCAAAGGCACCATCTCACAACCAAGACGCCGGCCAACGCGAAGGTCTGTCAACGCGACACGCATGCGGAGCAGCAGCAGCACAGCTCGGCAAAGGATCTGCATTGCATGACGGCGTGCTGCCGCTGCGTGCTGCACCTCGGCTCCCATGCACAACCACGCACCACGCCCGCGGCCAAGCAGGAAGGGTAAGACGCCGCACTTGGACTCCGACGCCGTTGGCGGCGCAACAAGCGCCGCTCGCGAGGCGCGGCCCCTCGCCTCAGCCATGCTGCCCCGCTGCCGTTTCGCGCGCCGTGTAGAGAGGCGCGTCGCTGCGCCTGCTCGCTGTCGGCGCTCCTCCGCCCTCGGGCTTGCCCGCCTGCCGCTTCGAGAGCAGATGCTGAATGTTTGCTGCCGGTGAGGGCCCTTATGCCGTGCGCTCCAAAGTGCGGAGAAGGGCAAGGTCCGGCAGGGCAGGGCGACAGCAGGATGCAGATGCAGGCAAGGCACGGCAGCGGCAGCACCAGGCAGGTAAGGCCGCACCGCCAGCTCGCACCCACTCCATCTCTCTCACCCTCACCCCCTCACGCTCCTTGCACCTCATCACCCCGCACTGTCCGTGCACACACTCCTTTGCTCTCTCACTCGCTCTCTCTCGTCTGCCGCTGCATCACGCGACCACAGCATCGACACGAGCTACGCCTTTGGCGCCTGCGCACGCGCCCTCCTCTTCCATCAGAAAGCAGCCATGCCGGCACTCCAGGCCAGGCAGGCACTCACGGGCGTCACGAATGGCATCGAGGCGGGCGTGGGCGGCGCAACGTGCGTATCTAGAGCTCACTGGAGAGGGAGCATGGTGGAGCCTGGAGTTGCGCGCAGAGAAGAGCGGGCGAGATGAGGCGCGACAGGGACTGCGACGCTGCCGGCCGGAGCGCGGGGGGTGCAGCTAAGACGCTGACCGCGTGACCTCACGCACCCCATGCTCGGCGATAGCATACGATCCTTGCCTCTCACGCTCACATGCCGCGCTTCCTCAGTTCCGCCGCCTCAGCGCATCTCAACGGTCTGTCCGCTCCTCAGATTCTCGCCGTCGCAGTGGGCTCCGTTGCCTTCATCGCGCTCGCCATTCTCGCCCTCTGGTGTCTCTGTCGTCGACGAGCGCGGACGCGCGAGCTTCGCAAGACGCACGAGAGAGAGATGGATGCGCGTGCGCTCCTCGCTCGCAATGCAGGCGGCGCAAGGAGTGAGGTGGAGCTGAAGCAGCCGCACAAGCAGGCGCAGCAGGCGCAAGGCATGAAACCGAGCCAGTCTCAACAGAGCTGGAAGAGCTTCGAGGCGGGCCAACTGTCGCCGCCGAGAGCGAATCGCGGCGATGCGTATGCGCAACAGCAGTATGCTCAACAAGCTATGCCGATGCCAGCGTATGGAGCGCCGCAGCAACAGTCTCAGCCGCAGCAGAGCTACGCTCACCAACAGCAACAGCGATGGAGCGGCGGTGCAGGCTATGCGCTTTGATCGCGCTTCTTCTCTCTCGCCGCACGTGGCTCGCAACCCACCTTCGTCGTCCGCCTTTCCTCTCTCTAAGCTCTGCGCTTGGCCTCCTCGCTGCCTCGGCTTGGGCGCTCGTCGCCACACGCTCGTGCAGCTCGTCGGCCGCAGGTCACACAAGCTCGGGCTCTTCTTCACGGTACGCCAGTCGCAATGTTCGTAGTCTCGCTGCGAGTTACTTCCGGTTCTACTCTGGCCCGCTGCGATGTACGAGCCGCACTCGGCTCGTCCATGCGCGGGCCGGGTACAGCTAGAAGTGACTCGCAGCGCAGCCCATCTGCATCATCTTGGCTTCGCCGCTCCTCTCGTTGGTGCCCTCAAATACCCCCCCTCCTCGTCCAGCCGTGCGGCGCGCGTTTTCTTCTGCGGCCACCGCGCCTGTGCCTCTCTCTCTCTTTCGTCTCGCCTTATTTGTACACCTACGTCTGTAGCTTCTGTATCTGGCTCCTCGCGCGGCTGGAATGTATCTGCGTGCGCTGTGCTGGCGAGGCGCACGAAGGTCATCGCGCGCGGCGTTGCCGAGTGCGGCGAGCACTCGACTTGCCGCCGATACGAGCGCGCTGATCAGGCTGCCTTGCGACGCGGTCGCCATGCTCTGCCGCTGCTGCATCGTTGCCTTTGCCCTGCTGCTGCTGTGAGGAAGTTTGTCGGAGGAAACGGATTGCTGTGCGTGCGCGAGGGAAGGTGAGGCTGCTGCTGCGGCCGAAGGGCCTGCGTGCCGGAGGCGCAGGCGAGGCACGCAGCGCCACCGCCGGCGCGCCGTGTGCTTCTCGGCGTGCCTTGCGCGGCCGCGTGGCACGAGCGTGACGTGGAGGGAGGGCCTGCGCTTCCCTCTTTCTCTCCCGCATCCACTTCCTTTCCCTCTCCTCACTCTCCATGGGTGCCCGCACCAAGCGGCACACGCCGTCCTACCCGAGCGTACACTCCTCGCCGTCTTCCTCACGCTCCACCTTCTTCTCGTCCATACGCACGCCGCTCCTCGGGCTGCTGGCGCTCCTGCTGCTCCTGCGCCTCTCCGCACGCGTCCTGGCACAGCCCTTGGACGCCGCACAGCTCTTTCCTTCCCTGCTCCTCTCCTCCTCGGCCTCCGCCGACACACCCGCAGCGGCGGCAGCAGGCGGCATCTGCCGGCCCTCGGGCCGCATCTCCGACGCCGCATGCGACTTTGAGACCGTCGAGGCGTCGCTCAACACGCCCGCGTTCTTCAGCACCCTCGAGCAGCTCGTCGCCACGCGCTACTTCCGCTACTACAAGGTGGACCTCTTCAGAGACTGTCCCTTCTGGAACGAGAATGGCCTCTGCATGAACCGCGCCTGCGGCGTCGAGACGGTCGGCGAGGTGAGTGGGCACGTGGCATGTGAGGAGCAAAGGTGGGGTGAGCGAGTCGCGGAAAGGGAGGCAGGACAGACGGAACGCGGCGCAGGACAAAGATGAAGACGTCAGAATTGGGCCCGCGAAGAAGCTGTACCTCGAGCATGGAGTCCCGGGTAGGCGAGGCGCGCGAGGGCCAGGCGCCAAGATCAAGGATGGCAACCACGCCGTGCGAAAGGGAGCTGGTCTGAGGAGAGAAGAGGTCGCCCATCTGCTGTGCCAGAGCAGCTCAGTTGCCGAGCAGGACACAGCGCATCCCCGTCCTTCAAGGCGCTTCTCGCCCTGCTGGCCCCTTTGGCTGACATGCTGCGCTCTCGCCACTAGACGGACGTTCCCGACGAGCTGCGCGTCTCTCGTCTCTCGTCACTCGACACGACTGATGCGTCCGAAGTCTTCCCACCGTCCTCCTCCTCTTCCGACGCCGGCGGGGCATGCGGCTGTCGTGAGAGCGACTACTGTCACTGGGAAGACGAGGAGACGTCGCAGGAGGCGGCATGGGTCGATCTGACGCAGAACCCCGAGCGTTTCACGGGCTATGCCGGTGCCTCGGCCAGTCGCGTCTGGCGAAGCATCTACGAGGAAAACTGCTTTGGGGCAGTGGGCGCCGGTGCTTCCTTGCTTTCGTCCAGCGCAGAAGGCTTCGTCTCTCGCAAGGAGCTTCGCTCGAGAGGGCTGCCAAACCTCATGGCCTCCCTAGCCTCTCCACCCGACGCAGGAGCCTCGGAGCAATGCCTCGAGAAGCGCGTCTTCTACCGCATCGTCTCGGGCTTGCACGCCAGTATCTCCGTCCACATTTGCGCCGAATACCTGCAAGCCGACGGCGTCACATGGGCGCCCAACCTGCAATGCTTCCTCACGCGCATCGCTCAGCACCCGGAACGCCTGCAGAATGTCTACTTCAACTACGTCCTTCTTCTCCGCGCACTGGCTCGTGCGGGAGACTACATCGACGCCTTTGTCCTTCGTCCCGGCGACGCAATAGCCGATGCCTCGACGCGCGACCTGCTCTCCTCGCTCGTGCAGCAGGCGCGTGCAAGTCCGCCGAGCTTCGATGAACGCACCATGTTCCACGGCGCCGATGCGCGCGAGCTGCAGGAGGAGTTCAAGACGCGCTTCCGAAACGTCTCGCGCATAATGGACTGTGTCGGATGCGACAAGTGTAGACTGTGGGGCAAGCTGCAGGTCAATGGTCTTGGAACGGCGTTGAAGATTCTGTTTGGACATCGCGTGGAGGAGTTTGAGTGAGTCTTGAGCCCACCTGCGCCACTGCTGCGGACGCTGTAACTGATGCACGCCTCTCCCCCTCTCTCACATACACTCTTCGACTTCCAGCCCGAAGCGCAACCCGCAATTGCTGCAGCGTAGTGAACTCGTAGCGCTCATCAACACAGTCCATCGATTCGCCGAGAGCGTGAGTCGCCCCCCCGCTGTCGTCCGTCTCTCGCTCCATGGCGTGATCATTGACTTTGCACCTTGGCACATTGCAGCTCCGAGCCGTCGGGACGTTCCGTGAGCTGTATCAGGCGAGTCTGAGGGAGACGCCGGAGGAAGATGCGGTGGTGCTCGAGGACATTGCGGCATCGGATGCGCAAGTGCAGTCGTCTTCGGTCTCATCAAGCCCCGCCGCCTCTTCGCCGTCCGACATGTCCCGCCGAGAATCGTCCGAGGCGCGGCGCTCGTCCGATGCCTCCAAGCCGCCTCCTTCCTCCAGACAGGCGCGGCAAAGCAAGCCCTCTGGCTGCCCCATCGCCTTCTTGAGACGCCTACGCTCCAGAGTCACGCAAGCGCTCAAGCACACGCAGCTCGTGTGCCGGAGCAGCGCCTCTCGCTGCGTCGCTTGGCTGCAGGAGGCAGTGCTGCGTGTTCGCACGGAGCTCTGAAAGGGTCGCGCCTCATCAAGGTCTTGTCAGTCCTCCCCCCCCCCCCCCCCCACAGCACCCCTCTCTTCCGCGTCGGTGCCGCATACTGTATACTAGAGCCCGCCTCAACGGGCACATCAAGCATCTTTCTCCTTGGTCCTTGCGGCGCGATCTTCACCAAGCGGACAGTCTGCAGCGCGAGACGAGAATGATGCATGTCAATGTCAAGAGGGCAAGAGGGAGGTGACGCAGTAAGGCGTGGCCATGTGGGATGCGCGTGTGCGCAGAGGTAGATACAGCAGTGAGAGCCGGAGGGAGCAGAGAGTGTGTGAGGAGGAAGAGAGAGAGGGGGGGGGGGGGGAGGGAAGGATGGGTTGTGATGGTATCAAGCCTCGACTTAGCCAAGATCGGCAGTATGTACAACGCAGCGCGCTAGCTGGCCCAGGGAGCGCTCCTCTCGCTGCTCAGGCGACGTGAGGCGGCGTCTTCTCGTGCGTGAGAGACTGGTTGCTGCCGCCGCCGTTCCTGTTGGCGAGCCACTCCTTGTGTTGCCGGCGCTCGCGCGGCAGGAACATGAAGCCAATGACGTAGATGAGCGCCACGACGCCGGCCCAGGCGTAGATGATATAGCTGGCGTACGCCGGCGGCTGCCACGTCCACAGCTCGAAGCCCTCGTGGGCGTTCCAGACGGCCAGGCCGAAGATGACGACGCCGGTGAGGGCGTGGAAGTAGCCAAGGTAGCGGAAGCCAGTGCGGCGCACAATGATGTGGCTCAGCGCACCCATCAGCGCCTGGAAGATGACGAGGATGAAGATCGCCAGGCCGAGCTGGTGGTGCAGCAGCGAGAAGCTGTCCTTGTCCTGTGCCATGACGTTGTGCACGGAGAGCGCAAAGCCGACGATGACCAGCACCACAACGAAGAGCTGCAGGCCGGCGTGCGTGGGGAACCACTTGAAGAGCGTGCGGCCGTAGCGCGCCACGAGGATGCCCAGCGGCGCAATGACAATCAGGCCGACAACCATGAAGATCTGCGCGGAAGAAGGTGAGCATGGGCCAAAGGGCACGGCCGATGGCGCAAAGCACTCACCATGTGCACGAGATACACGACCGTCGTCATCTGGCTCAGGTCACGGTTGCGCTGGCCGTAGCCGGCGCTGCCGCTGCTGGAGCCGTTTGAGTCGGTGCTGCTTGGCGTCGTGGCAGCCACGTTGGGCAGGCCGGCGGGCGCGGTGCCGTCGTAGGCTTTGGACATGTCGAGGGAGAAGTAACCGTATGTGTCGTGCTGGCGCAGCGTGGCGCCGCTGTCGCTCGACGACGGCGCCTTGTTGCTGCCCGCATAGCCGTAGATGTGCGACACGGTGCCGCTGGGTGCGCTCGACGCCGGGAAGAGCCAGGAGTACACGCTGTACTCGGCCGTCGTCGTCGTCTGCGAGTTGGCGGTGAAGGCGGGCAGATTGTTGGTCGCCACGCGAGCCTCGGTGGGCATGACTTCGCCCGAGGCCGAGCGGTGCGAGATGGTGGCCGAGCCGGGGCCGTTGACCCATCCGATCTGCGCTGCCGTCTCAGCATGCCATGCCTCGCCCGGCAGCCTGGGCGCGAGCAGCCACTCACCACCATGTTGGCGCCCGCCATGCCCGAGCCCACACCGACGCCCGTCCAGCCGTACGGCGTGTTGCCGGCCTTCTGCACCACGACCGTGTAGTTGACCGCCTGCGCGGAAGGCACATACACGCCCGTCACGCAGAATTGCCCGCCCTGATGGCGAGGTCACGGTCAGCCGCCGAGTCAGCGGCAGCGGACATGCGAGAGACGAGGCGAGGCAGGCAGCACCCCCCGCGATGCGCGGCCACGCACGTCGTGCTCGTGCGCTCGTCTGCAGCGCTGCGCCGCGCCAGAGCAAGAGCGGCAGCGATGCGGCGAGGCGCATGGCTGCCGCTGGCCGCTGGCCGCTCGCCTCGCTCTCGCTCTCTCCTCCTGCTGCCATGGCGGACATGGCTGCGTGTGCCACTCACGCTGTTGCAGTACGAGTCGGCCGTCATGCCGCTGGCCATGGCGATCTGCGCGTATGCGGCGGGCAGCGCGGCGGCGGCGAGCGTCGCGAGGGCCGCGAGCGGCGAGGAGAGACGCATGGTGCAGAGAGGAGTCGTGAGGTGGTGGTGGTGGTGGGAGTGTGAGTCGAAGCGAGTCTGCGGCACGCAGATGCCGTCATCCGCCGCCGGCTTGGGTGAGAAGGGGCCATGACAGGCTGGGCTGTGCTGAGGTGCTGCGGTGCAGGCCGGCCACCGCACAGGCGGCCCCAGTGAGCGGCGCGGCGTTTGGAATTGGGCGGAGCGGCAGCGGACCGTGGAGGCGGCGGTGCGGCACGCCTGCTGCATCACCGCGCACCGCATCACACCACCGCCGCCAAGGCGCGCGCGCCGCCTCTGCGCTGCCCGGGCGCGTCCCCTCCTCGCGCCTCGTCCCATCTGCCCCCTCTCCGCCCTGCCGAGCCCGAGGTCGCCGCATCGCGCTCATCGCCCTCTTGGCAGCACACCTTGAAATGGCAGCCGGGGCGCACGGACAGGCTCCTGTGCCGCAACGCCCAACGCCCACGGGCATGTCTCGGTCAACGCCGCGCTGCAGAGGAGGCAGATCTCACCAGGAGCAGCCGGCGCGGCATCCAGCCGCTGGCGACGCTCGCAATGATGGTCAGCGGCAGGGAGTTGCTATGCACCGGCACGGCAGAGGCTGGTGCTGCTGCTGCTGCTGAGCGTGGCGAGCGAGTGGCACGCCGAGCATCCTGCAAGCCTCGGCCATGGCCTGCGCACCCGATGACCTGATTTTCGCTCCTCCCCGCAAAGCAGGATGCAGCGCGCAGCCGGCAGGGCCCTGCCGCGCTAAAGCCCGGAGCCGGCAGACGGTGGGATCGACACGCGTGTCGGGCGCAGCAGCGCAGCAAGAGCAAGAGGCGAGGCAGGCGGCGGCGCGCGGCGGTGCGGCATCTCTATGGGCTGCCGCTGCTGCAGCTGAGGGCTGAGCGCTGCACTGCACGCTGTGCTGCAGCGCTGATGCTGATGCTGCAGCGCAGCAGCAGGCTTCGCCGTCATCACCGCACAGCCAGAGCGCCGCAGCCGGCGGGCCGTGCCTCTTGAGAGCAAGACTTGGTTGCACGGCTTCTAGATGCATATCTCGGATTTGAAGTGCGGCCCGGCATGCGGCAGCCGAGGCCGCAGTCCGGCATGCGCAGCCGGCTGTGATGGTGTCCGGCCCAGATGCAGCATCTGCCGCAGCCGCCAGGAGTCAGACAGCGAGCTGAGCAGACATGCGCGGATGACGGCTGCAGCTGCCGCTCTGGCTGCTGGACATCAAGGTGCCTCGTCGTGCACGTCGAGCGACGGCTTCCTGTGCGCCTTCGCAGCCCGCCATTCGCGTGCGCCATGCACGTCTGCGCGCGCTCATCGCTGTCCATGACAAGACAGTCCGTGCCGCTCTGTGCGCCTCGTCGTGCCGGGTGCAATGCCCTGCGTCGAGCCGCAGCCACAACCTCCTCATCTCCCCGGTCCCTGGCGGAGCTCGCTTCTCAGCACAGCCTCTTGAGGCCTGCGCAAACTCGGTTGCAGAGCCGCAGGCGCTCGTGCCGGGCATTTGAAGTTGTCTCCCTGCAGCTGGCTCCTGTGCCTGACCCGAGATGCTGCCACTGGCACCGCCGCTGGGGGCTGTCCGCTGTGGCTGTCGGCTGTGCCGAGGAGCGGCTGCCTGCTGCGTGCTGTGTCGAAGAGCAAGATCATCCGGCTCCGCGTGCCTCGGCTGGCCGCTGCGCGAGTCTGAATGCCGGCTCCTTGAGTCCCTGACAAGCGCTGCGGTCGCACTTCTCTGTCGGAGCCGCCGTACGCAGGTCTCTGCCTGGCTCAGTCTCCAGCTCGCGTTCTCTGCTATACTCCGACTCTGAGCACGAGGCCTCAAACGCAAGTACTGCGGCACCACTGCACGTCTCGGCCCTCATCAAGGAGCATGCAGCATCGCTCCTCGGCGAGAAGCCTCGTAGGGCGCCTTCCTCTGCTCGCCTCGACTTCTCATTGCATGCCGTACAATGCAGCTGGCCGGCCTGTGCACCGAGTACTTGGGTGCAGCTGCGCAGCTCCGATCCCGGCCCGCAGGAAGCACAGCTCAATCTCCGAGGGTCTGCCAGGGCGAGGTCGCCTCTCGCGCGCCGCGAGCATCGCGATTCTGCTTTCTTCTCCACCGCATCTGCTGCCTTGAGGGTTCGTTTTGAGCTCAAAAATGCAGCATGAGGCGTCTCTCTTGCTGGCCCGTCTGTGCTCATCATCCCAATGCGGCCCGCTCGTGGGCAGTCAGGGGTGCGCACGCTCGGGACGCTACCGCGTGTGAGGGGGCGCGGCGCGCGCGAGATGCGGCACGGCGCGGCGGGGCAGCGGCAAGCGCGTCGGGACGGATGTGGAGCAGCTGTTCTCTCTGCTCTCTACCCCATCAACCCTCCAGATCCATGGCAGTCAAGCACGCATGAGCTAGAAAGCGGCGGCGGCTTATCAGCGCTTCGCACAGCCTCTCGCTCTGGCCTACGGGCATCCAGCGCAAGCCATGTCAGCGCCGCCTTTCCCCGCGCCAAAAGGCATGCGCTGGTCTCCCTCACGCAAGCGCTTCTTCCCGCTGAACGCACCTCGCTCGAAGCCTGAGACTGTCGAGGAGCAGACGCAGGTAGCCAAGCCGGAGACACCTACGCGCACAGCTGCGACGGCGGCCTCTGCATTTGAGCAAGCGAGAGCTGGGCCAAGCTGCTTCGGCACCACTGCTCTGAGAACTGCCATGCCTCGCAGTGCTGATCCGCATCGGTAAGCCAGCAGCGTGACGATGCGATGCAGAAGGCCTCTCTGGAGCTCAGTGTCACTCCTTCGCAGACTGATCAATGGACGAGCGGCCAATCTGCGTCTTCGAGCCGTGCATTCCCTTCTCCCTTACTGCACGTATCAGCGACCCAACATCACTTGTCTCGCTGTGAGTTTGACTGACCGTCGCGTTCGGCTTCGTACCACTCTCCACTCACTCTCACGCGCGAGGAGTAGTACTCTGAACAATGGCCCGATTACATCTGGCTCGCGACGGATCAAGGTTCAGCGTGGGTTGCCTTGCGCGTCGGCCTGCCGATTGGGCCATGCTGATGTGAAGCGACTACTCCTCTCGCAGTCGTGGCTACCTGCCTGCTTTGCTGGCCAGCAACGGAACGCTGCGCCGAGAGATGCGCTTCTCTCCCGCCTGCTCCGCCATTCTGCGCGACACGCCAGGCCTGTCGAGCATCTTCTGCTCGGCGTCTTATCTGTGGTAAGTCCTTTCTGCCGGGCCCTCTTCTCACGTCGACTGACGGCAAAGGTCCTTCGTCCGCAGCTTCTCCTCGCATCTAGAGACGATCGGCGCAAAGCTAGACACGGACAGCAGCGACAGCTCCGAAGCAGGCCCTAGTGTCTTACGCCTCGAGTCGTCGCGAGATGACGAGCAGCCTCGACCGCGAAGCGACGTGCGATGTGCCGCTCTGGTGCCGTTGCAGCCATCGCATGTGTTTGCCAAGCAGACTGCCGATGCCGTCTTGCTCGCTAGAGGTGAGTTGTCGAGACCGCGCCCTCGTTTGCTACCGGCCCTGCTGATGGTTTCGCGACTAGGTGTGGGCAGCACATTGGAGCTTCGAGCGCCGCATCTCAGCAATCTAGTCGAGACGATCCCTCTCCCATCCGACGTGCTCTCGGTGCTGATAGCGCCCGATGCCTCCTTCATGCTCGCAGGTCTGCGCAACGGCAAGCTCCTGCGTCTGGCGCTAGGATATGAAGCGCCCAAAGGCGCCGGCTCAAAGCGACAGTATCGAGTTGTACGCAAGTGCAGAGGTGCTGTTACTGCGCTACGATGGGCGGGAGAGAGTGTGGTGCTTGCTACCTCGGCTGGAGAGGTGAGAGAGCGCGTCGGCGTGACAAGAGCTGCCTCGCCATGTCCCGACTGACATCCTGCTCGCTGCGGCCAGCTGATGCTGATCGAGCCCAACGGCGTCGAGGTGCAGGCGTACACCGGGCACCCCTCGACGTTTTCTCTTACACTCGTCAGTCCTCTTCAGGCCGTGGCGTGGTCTATCTCGCAGCGCTGAGCCCTGCTACTTGCAGCCCGTGGCCGTCGAGCCGCGCCATCGCTTGCTGGCCGCCGCCGGCGAGGATGGCGTCGTGCGCATCTGGTCACTGGACCATGCACTGCCTCTCTCCGGCGCAGCGGCGGCATCCACAGCCACGGCGGCGGGCGCAGGCGTGCTTCGCGGCCCCGGCACGTACGAGGCTGGCGCCCCCCTGCGCAGCCTGCGCGGCGTCACGGCGCTCGTGTGGCTCGGCGCCCTGCCGCGCCTGGCGGTGGCCGTGGGGCCGCGCCTGCTGTACTTTGACTGAGATGCGACGCTGCCGGCCACTCTCTACTCTACTGCTGCGACACCATATGTACCATTACCGATCCCGCCAACACCACGCACACGGCCGCTTCAGCCGCAGGGCGTCTGAGGCAGGGCAAGAAGCGGGGCAGGCGCCGCCGCGGAGGGCGGAGTGCTGCGGCGCTGTGCTGACTAAGCGCATCGGCGCCGCGGCGTCTGCGCGCGTCACGTGCGTCTGCCGCGCGAAGGCGGGCCGGCGCGGCGCGGCGCAGGCGGCGCGCAACGCTGGCGGCGGCGGCGGCCGCGGCGCGGTCGCTGCCTCAGCCCCACCACCATCCCCCTCAAGACTCTGCTGCACAATGAGCTCGACTAACAAGGGTGCTGCTGGCAAGGGTGAGTCGAGCTGCGGGCGGCGCGGCATGCGCCATGCGGCCAGGGCGCACAGCATGGTGGAGGCGCGTAGCAAGCGGTGATGGGGATGGTGGTGGCGCATGGTGGTCGCACGCCTGCGAGCAGCCGGCTGATGCCCTCCCGCTCGTCGCTCTCAGCCGGCAAGGCTGCCGCCAAGCCCGAGGTCAAGAAGGCCTCTGCCGCCAAGAAGGCCGCGCTGCACGGTGCGTCGGGCAACAAGATCCGCAAGGTGCGCACCAGCGTCACCTTCCACCGGCCCAAGACGCTGCGTCTGCCGCGCGCGCCCAAGTACCAGCGCAAGAGCGTCCACCACCTGCCGCGCATGGACGCACACACCACCATCCTCTTCCCGCTCAACACCGAGAGCGCCATGAAGAAGATTGAGGAGGAGAACACGCTCGTCATGATCTGCGACCGCCGCTCCAACAAGCGCCAGGTGAGTTGATGGGCAGAGGTGCAGGACGCAGAGTTGGCCAGAGGACGGAAATGGCGTAGAGACGCAACAGCCGGTGCCCGGAGGAGCACGTGCAGAGCGCCGGCGATGCGATGCTTGATTGGCGGGGGCAGGAAGAATGCTTCGGACCCGCGAGAGGCAGGCGCGACGGATGCAATCGTGCGAGACGCAAGAGAGCACGACAGATGCATGGGGCCCGGTCAGCAGCAGTGCGACGCCTCTGTCTTCTCCCACTCTCCACGTTCCATCTGCGTGCAGAGTGGTGTGCTGACTGATGCCTTGGCCCTCGTCTCGTTTTGCAGATCAAGGCCGCCGTGAAGCAGCTGTACGACTGCGACGCGCTTGCCATCAACACGCTCATCCGGCCCGACGGCCGCAAGAAGGCCTACATCCGCCTCACGCCCGACCAGGATGCGCTCGACATGGCGAGCCGCGTCGGCCTGCTCTAAGCGCTTTCGCCTCGCTCTTCGTCACGCTTTCGGCTCTTCGCTCTCCCGCCTTCATCATGCCTTCCTCCTCACATTCCCCTCTTCGTCACTTCTCTCCATCATCGCCCTGTACATCTACCCTCCCACAAGTCGCACCTGCCGTACTCGCTACGCAGTGCGCGCACCCTCTCTGCGCCGAGGCTCTGAGCCTCGATCATGAGGAGCCTCCTCATCCTTGGCGCAGCCAAAAGCCAACCTTTTTCCAAAAGGAGCTTCCCTGAAGCGACGACGCACAACCCCATTCGTCATGCCCCTGACACAGAGCTCAAGCCTCGATCGTCAGTTTCTGGGCTGGGTTCGTTGCGGACGTTCGTGGCGTGATTGCGTAAGGTATGACGGAGCTGGGTCGTGAGCCGTGAGCCTGTTGAACCTCGCAGTGAGATTGTCGATCAATGCCATGCGTGTCCCATTTCTTCGTCTGTGATGGCCTGTGCGCTGTGTCTGCCGAGTGTCTCTTTGCCTGCTGCCACTCGCCTGCACCGGTCACACGGCCGCGCATGATACATGTAGCTCTCATTGCGAAGTCGTGTGCTCGAGCAGGCCCTCTTCGATGCGGGAGAGCGCAACGGCATGCCGCAGATCGCGTCTGCACACGGCCGCCGGCTGAAGAGGCAGTGGGATGGGGGACACAAGGCTGGGATCGTACGGAGCAAATAGAGTGGGTGAGGAACACAAGGGAACAGCGGAGTGGGAGAGGGGACACAGAGCGATGGGGCTGATCAGAAGTGGTGAAGGGGGGGAGGCGCGCCTAGTGCTGCAGCAGACCCACGGCCTGCACGCGCCTCTCGATGTCCTCGATGCGCGCCGTCATGGCGTGGAAGTGGCTGAGGGCACTCTCGGCGCTCTTCTGCTGCGTCTCGGCCTTGTGCACCTCGGCCTTGCACGCGGCAATGTGCACCGTGAAGAGCTCGTGCAGCTCCCAGCTGATGAGGCGCAGCACCTTGCGCGTGCGGTCGGCCGTGTGCTTGGAGTGATACTCGATGAACGCCGGAAGCGAGGAGGTCGCAGAGGAGGAGGAGGAGGAGGAGGTGGCGAAGGCAGCCGCAGTCGAGGACACGGCAATTGTGGTCGACGTAGGCTGGGCATCGATGGCCTTGCGCGATCCCATCGGTGCCGCCGAGAGCTCATGGCGGATGGAGCGGCCTGCGTTGCGCGGAATCGAGTTGGGCAGATCGACGACGAAGTAGACGACGAGGCCCGTCGTGGCAATGGCGAGCAGGGGACCTGCCCACCGCCGCGCCGTGGGATTTCCCACAAGGTCCGAGAGACGCACAAACGCCTCAATGGCCGTCTTTGCGCCGAGCGTCTTGCCGCCGACGAGCGTGATGGCGCCGAGGCCGAGCGTCAGGCCGCCAGTGAGGCTGGACTCCTGCTCGAGTGCCGCCTTCTTCGAGCCTCGCTCCTCGTCCGCAGCAGAGCGGCCAGCGACGACTTTGAAGACGTGCGGCAAGTCGAAGAGGTCCGTAATCTTGACGTCGACCATGTCGTCGGGCACGCCGAGGCCGACAAACGTCGTCGTCGTGGCAAAGGAGCGCGCACGACGCTGCCGGAACATCGTCTCTGGCTGGAAGACTCGCTGGCTGCGATTGGCGCCCTCGGGCAGATGCGTCTCGCCCAGGGCACGCACGCGCTGCACCGCCTCGGTCGTGGCGGCCCGCGCGGCCTCCTCGACGTTGCAGAGCGACGCCTCGAGACTGCAGAGCAGAGCTTGACGCACATCCTGAGCATACTGCAGCACGTTGAGCAGACCCGGGTATGCGGGCAGCGTGACGGAGACATCGGCCGATTGGCCGTTGCCCACGAGATCGAGAGCCTGTTGCAAGCGCGCCCTTGCGCCCTGCATGACGCCCGAGACGACGCCCTCCTCCTCGCCCTCGAGCTGCGTCTCGAGCTTGACGTGGTTCGCCTCGCTCTGTGCCAGCGCCGGACGAGCGGCGGCGAGCTTCTGCAGTGCCTCGGCGCGCTCCGTCTCGGCAACCGAGACGTTTGTGCGCGCCACAAAGGCGAGGTCGAGCAGCAGACGCAGCAGGTACGTCTGCGCCGGCATCAGCTTCGACTTGGAGCGCTTCAGCAGCACAAAGTCGCGCAGCGACGCCTCGAGCTGCGCAAAGCTCGTCGAGGAGGCCGAGGAGAGCGTCGAGGGGGAGGAGGCCGAGGCAGCGCTGCCGCCGACCTTGGTGTCCTCGCCCGGCGTCTGCGGCTCTTCCTCGTCGGGCGCAGCAGCCTCGTCCAGCACGGCACTCGAGTCGACAAAGTGCACGAGCTCATCGGCGTCCTCGTACGTGCGCGGCGAGAGCTGCTTGATCTGCTCGAGCACGAGGCGACGGCACTTCTCCTTGTTGCGGATCTGGTCGTACTTGTTGACGACGATGAAGACGTAGGCCTTGTCGTTGGAGGCGTTCCAGAGAAACTCCTTTGCCGAGAGCGTAAAGTGGTTCTCGGCACTGACGACAAAGACGACGACGTCGATCTCCTCCTGGCGCGCAAAGAGTGCCGTCGTCTTGAGCGAGTCGCGGTTGAGGCCCGGCGCATCGATGAGGGCAATGTCGACGACGCCGTTGCGCAAGAGCGACTGCTGACTGGCACGCGTGTCGCGGCAGTAGCACTTGAGCAGCGGCGCATTCTCGGGCGACACGTCTTCGGCATCGGCCACGATCTGCTCGACTTGCTGCAGCGAGTGGCGCGAGAAGGTGGACTCGTCGAGGCGATCGTACTGTGCTGCGTCGCTCTTGAGAACATGCACCTCCTCGCGACCCTCATTCGCCTCGTCTGCATCGAGCACTTCGCAGAACACCGTCGTGCACGGCTGCTGGTCCGTCGGCATGACGGCACGACGCAGCAGCGCATTGACAAACGTCGACTTGCCGGCGTTGAGGTCGCCGGTGACGAGCACCTTGCTCTGCTTGTCCGCGATGCGTGCCTGGAGGAACTGCAGTTGGCGCTGCGACTGCGCCATGCGACCATCGAGGAGCTGGGCAATGGACGACTTCTCCAGCGACTGCACCAGTGCGCGCGGGTTGTTCGACGCAGCTCCGAGCTTGAGGTCCAGGCGCAGCACCGACATTCCGCCACTCGACTCGCCACGCTGCAGCGGCGTCGTCTCTGCGCGCGTGGGCGTCTTGCGCACGGGAGTCGTAGGTGCGCTGCTGGACGGCACACCAACGCAAGTGAAGCCGCGCTGCATGCCGGGGTGCTGCACGGTGCTGCTGCTGCTGCGTGCCGCACGCTCCGCCTCGAGCTGCGCCGTGGCGGCGGCATCGTCGAGCGACTCGCCGCGCGTGGTGCTCTGCGACCGACGCAGCGACGACGAGGGTCCAGCAGCGGCGGCGGCCGTGGCGCAAGCATCACGCTCCGTCTCTGGGTACGTCATGATCCAGTGATGCTGTGCGAACTCGCGCAGTGAGCCAACGACGGCGGACGTCGAGTCGATGGCGCTGCTCAGGCTGCAAGGAAGAGTGGGCATGAGCATGAGGACCCTTGTGAAGGGACAGTTCTCCTGCGCCACCATACATGCCACGAGTGACGCGCCTCTCATGTGATTGCTGCCTACACGTCCGCACGCGCAACCCCACTCACATGTCTCTGTTGGCCGCAAAGGCCGTCTGATGCATCTCCATCTCGCGCTGCTTCTCCTCGCACTCCTTGCCCTGCGCACCCAGCATCACGCCGCTCTGTGCACGTGCGGCGGGTGCAATGCCGAGCGAGGCAGCGCTGCTGCGGGCGGCAAAGTGGGCCGTGGTGGCGGCGTGCATCTTGTGCAGCGAGGGCCGCGGCGCGTGCGGCGGCTGCGGCTGCTGCGGCTGCTGCTGCGCCATGATGGGCGCCGCTTAGGAGCGCGGAGACGCCAGTAGGCGCAGAGAGATGCGCTGAAAGTGGTCGCGCGGCTGTGTGGCGTCTGTGCGGTGTGGCACAGATGTGAATGAGAGGCGTTGAGAGGAGGGCGGTGGGTGGTGGTGCTGGAGACGGTGTTGGCCATCGACTCAGCCCGGCCTGCCCAGCCAGCGCAGCAGCGGCGCCCGTCCCGCGCGCGCGGCGATCGATGCTTCAACGCGTGCGCCAAGTGGGGCTTACGCGAATAGGCAAATGCACGCGCGCAGCGAATACAGCAAGGAGATGTAGTCGCGCGCGCGGGCCCGAGATTCTTATTCAGACGCGGCGGCGCGCGGCGGCGGCGCCCCAAGCCACGTGCGCCGCCTGGACCCGGCATTGGCCGTGGGCTGCGCGCGCCGCCCTCATCTCGCCGTCGCCGCCGATGGGCCCGCTCGCTCCTTGCCAGGTGAGGCCGGCGTCGCCTTGGGATGGGCAACAGCTGGCAGCTGATGAGCAACGCTGGACAAAGTGCAAACGCCGAGGCTGCAACTCTTACTGAGCAAGCAGCCAGGCAGCGCCGAGCGAGGCCAAGAGACGCAGCCCGCCTCTCAGTGAGCTCGCTCTTGCCCCTGCCCTGTTTCTTCGCCGCACAAAGCGCCGTTTGCCGCGGCGTGAGGCACGCTCGGCGGTGGCTCTCGAGGCGCTGCGCTGGTGGCAGCGTTGCTGCTTGCTGCTTGCTGGCTCGGCGCCTTATGCTTGCCGGCTGCTCGCTGTTGCCTCGCTCGCAAGCGGACGTCACGTGTCGGCGGCTGGCCGCTGTTCCCACGCGCGGCGCGCGCACGAGTCACTCTCGCTGCTGGCGCGCGCCGGCGATCTCGCTTCTTCTCCACCTTGGCCCCCCCCCCCCTTTCCAGCCATGCATTCCCTCGACACCTTCCGGCCGCTGCTCAAGGCACTCGTGCTCTCCCTCTCTCCTCCGCACGCCTCGCGCGCGCCCGGTGCGCCGCTGAGCGCCTCGCAGCTGCACTCGCTCCTCGCGCACCTGGCCGATGCCGACTTCACCTCCAACGTGGCGCACCATGCACTGCTCGGCGCGGCCCTCACCGCCCTGCGCCTCTCCGGCCTCGACGCGCAGCCCGAGACGCTGGCGCTGGCCAGCGAGGTGTTTCTGGCGCGCAGCATCGGCGTGCATGTGCCGCCGCCGCCGCCGCAGCAGGCAGACGAGGAGGCAGTGTATACTGGCACCCTCGATCTCGTAGGCACCGGCGGCGACGGACAGGACACGTTCAACGTCAGCACCACGGCCGCAATCGTCGCCGCAGGCGTGCCGGGCGTGCGCGTGTGCAAGGTGAGCGCAGGTGTGCTGAGGGGCACGAGGAGGGGGGGGGGGG